TTTCGAGAAACACCCTGGGAGTTTAAATGACCACAGAGAGTCAGGACCTCGGTTTTACATCTCAGCCGAAGGACGGCGCCTCTGGTGCAGTCATAGATTTTCTATAGGCACTATAGGCTTTTCAGAAGACAAAAATCAGTCCTCTTGTGAGTGATTATTCACCTGTAGTGCATATTAAACTATAGTTTTATTCTACACGTCTGCAGAGTTATTTTAAAATTCTCTTTATTTTACATTACACTTCATACAGAAACATATACATGTAAAATGTTGATATTTCTAGATATTTTACATCACGACCTTCAGTCAGCCATACAGATCTTTTTTCTCTTTGTTTATTGCTCCAGATAAGCAAATTCTTTAGCCCTTTCAGTATTGAAAAAGCTCAAGGCTTTTTAATTTAAAATGTAAGGCAGCACACTGCACCACATGATTTAAATCTTCATACAAGCCAGTTGTTGAGCCTTAATAGAATTGCGTGGGTGTATCACTATGAGAACACACTTTTTTTCTCATATTCTGGCATTTACTCCTTTGGGAAGTAGCAGAAAAAGCACAGCATCACAGAACTGTGTGGCTCTTTTCTAAAAGTAGATGAATTTAATATATAGTAAAATAGGTTGGTGCTGAATTGTCCAATAAATCAAGCGCACATGGTTACTCTGTTTCATTTGCCTTTTCTTCAGTGATAACCTGGGTTTAGTTTCCATGGGATGCGTATGCACAGAAGAGCTGTGGAGCATTTAAACTAGGAAACTACCAAACAGACCAAATGTGGTGGGATCAGGAAAACAAGGGACAACATAAAGCAAAGACATGAAATAAATAACTCATATGCATTTTAAATGCATAAATATACATCAAAGACTTAAGTATCTAGTTTATAGTAGAAAGCATGAACTCTAGCCCAGCTGTGGTTGACGGGGAGCCATGAGCAGAGCTCCTGTACCTGCAGCAGAGCATGAGTGAACGACAGGGCCCCCCCTTCAAGACAAACGCTTTCTTCATGTTCTCACGAGGAAACCACTGACCTGGCGGCACCAGTCACAATCTTTTCACACAGGACCCTCACGGATATTAGCACCAGTGAGAACCAACACAAAAGCCTAAGGAAAGTCCAAGGTTTCAGGGAAACCCTTCAGTGGACAACTTGATTCAGCAGAACAAGTAAGAGGGTATAACTTGTTCATCTAAGCAGCAGACTTGGTCGGAACAAGAAGACAGTTGAGGAGCCCGAGTGGGATATCGCCACTGTTACAATAAGACTTACATTTTGGCACTTGGGTTTATGTGCAAGACCCCTGCCATGCTATCTAAAATGGGATCTTTCACAGAACCTTACAGCTTACTGCTACATTACTGTGCTTGTTTTCCTAAGATCCACCTATTTAAAGAACCTGATATGGCACCTTGCATCTATTCCCACTGGCCCTCACCAATCACAGCCTCCTAATAATCCACATCTATGGACTGGCTTCATCACTCTGTTCTCCTCCCCACTATTAGCTGGTGTGTGGGGAGTGTACTGGCGCACTATGGCTGCTGTCACATCATCCAAGTGGGGCTGCACACTGGTGGTGGTGGAAGGGAGTCCCCATTACATGTAAAGCACTTTGAGTGGAGTGCCCAGAAAAGTGCAATAGAAGTGAAAGCAATTATTATTATTATCATCATCATCATCTAGCTATGCCACAAACTAGAGTCCCCCTGTCTTGGCTACTACAGCCCAAAGCTACTCTAACCTGGTCTCTCAGAGAGGCAAACCTACCGCTACTAAAATACGCAGGGAAGAAAACCTGGATTCCCAACAAAAAGACTCTTCAAAGGACAGCCTGTTCTCTAACACTGTAGCCCACGTTTGACAACTGTCTCTACCTCACATAAAGCAGCTAGATATACAAGTTCTGCCTGCTGTGTGCTTAAAAAGAAAGTAAATCTTCCAACAACGCTAAACAGCCACATAAACCATTTGCCCCTTACTTTAATTTGGTCTCTTTCACAGTCAAAATCACCTGCACTGCTGCAGTCTCTAAAAGGCATGCTGAAACAGTCAGTGCTGTCACTCTGTATGCAGGTGGACACTCACCAAGGCGAGGAGTTTGGTCTGAAATGGTATGAACAGATGAAAATAAGAGAGAAAAAGAGTGAGACTGGCTTGATCAAGCTGATCTCACAGGCCAGTCACTAGGAAGATACAGTATGTGAGTAAGTGAATAAGGGTTAAACAAAAAGGGTTAAACAAATCAATTAAAAAAATATAATGGGAAAGAGAGTGCTTTGTAAAATTGTATACATACAAAATATATTAAAATTTCCATGTAAACAAAAAGAGCATGTATTATATAGGTACAAAGAATATTAAAAAAGCCAAGACAGATGTTGAAAGCAATGTAGCAAAGGAGGCTAAAATGAAATAAAAAATAATACAACAGGATGAAGTCAAATATATTTGAGACAAAAACTGTAATATTCCTGACAACAGAAGGGAAAAGGCTGATGTACTTCACACTTATTTCACTGAAGAAGAAGCCATCCATACAAGGAGCATATGTGAACAGAAGGAGAAGTGTATTAGAAGCACTCAAGATTAATAAATCCTCAGGACTTGTTGGCATCTTACAAAATGTACTCAAAGAAATGAGAGATGTTATTCAGAAGCCTGTGATGCCACTCTTCCAAGACCATTACTAATCAAACTGAAGTTGACAGTCATACGCTTTGTGAGAACCAATCAACATAAATTCAGCGTTGTCATACGTAAAAGATTTTCTCATCCAATTCCCAACGTCTAAAATGTGTGACCCTGCAGATGGTGCTTGATTAACATCAGGTTTCAAGTGAACATAAATTCAGGCGTCATCAGTGCAGAGAAAACAGATTAAAATAGAACAAAGGTAAACACAGAGCAACAACAAAATGGGACCATGAACAGAGCACTGCTGGACACTAGATATAAACACCTCTGTAAGTGACAAGGCTGAATTAGAACAAAATGTTATCTGTCAAATACTTTTTATCCTTGATAAAGCATTTCCAGTGCTACTGCCCCCTAAGATTGATTTAGTACGATTATATGATCAGCATTATCAAACTCAACAGTGAGGTCCAGCAGGACAAGAATGGATAAACAAAATCAGGAGCAAATTATCGATAACGTTTGCAGAACCTACAGACCAGACGCAAACATCTCAGTCAGATTCTTCACAGAAAAATGAGCTTGTAACTGAACAGCTACAGCCTTTACCAGAAAAGGTCAGATATTTTCCAACACTGACTAAGGAGCCAAGAATATTTTTTTAAGAGCTGGATGACAACTGCAAATTTAAGTATTAAAGGACGGGTTTTAGAGTTTAATGATTCATTCGTGATATATGTGATGATGTTCCATAAATGATGATGACATAGAACAGGAAAACTGAAACTGAGCAAGATGGTAGAAATAGGATCCAAAGATCACAAGGTTGATTGTATTTTAAACATTAATCGTTTTAGAATACTGCTGTAAAAAGAGATTCTGCATTCAACTTCAAAGTAAAGTCTGAAAAATCTGCAAAAGATCACAACTGCATTGGTGCACAGACTCTTCAAGAGTGGTATTATCAAAAGTAACCAGATTTTTCATTAAATTTAAACAAAATGAGCAAAGCCATTGCTTCCTTGTGGGGAAAGTTTTTGCCTCTTGAATTCATGTGAGACAAATCTTTCTGAGATACATTTAAGAGACAAATGATTGTGGGAAAATGGGTTCTTAGATTACTCCTTCCTTATTCAATCAGCTTCTCAGAAAGTACTGACCTTGTGGCAGTTTCAATCCATTATCACAAGCAGGATTATTGGTATTGCAACTAAATGAACATTCTGTGTATAAGATTGATATTCATTGCATTTCTTCAGCTCAGATTATCTTGACTACTGTTTACAGACTAACACAACATCTACAGGTCAGCAATTTGGACATACAGATTTCGCTTCCATAATAGTTCGAAACAACAAAGGAAAATTTTCATCAAGAGAAAAAAATGTTAAAAAACACAAAATGGAAAAAAAAGTAGATGGTTTAACATGGTATTGGGCCAAAACGCTCTCCAATCAATTTCTTTTTCAAGAGTCATCTGGTTATGGAATTGTTTCAAAACAATGAAGTAAAAGTAAATTGGGTTCATCATTCTGCTGATGTTGAAGGGCTGATTTCAGCACTTTTTACACAGCTGTTTCTTTATTTATTTTCCACAGCCTGTGTGTTTTAATATTCAAGCCATAGTCTTTAATGCGTTTAAAATTTTAGTCTACGCCTTAACAAAATAGGATTGACTGAAGCTCTTTAAGTATAATCTAAGGACTTTAGTTGTCATGGAGGTGCAAAGTGTCCCTACCATGCAAAACGTCTTACGCAAATGTTTCATGATATGAATATTAATTTGCATTATTTAGATGTGTGCAATTATACTGGAAAAATGTTGCTAACTGTTTTGAAACAACAAGGGAAATGTAAATATCTAATGTATGATCTTGCATAATCTGGAATGGTACTCACCCCAAATGCAATACATATTTGTAATGCAAGTGCAAGTGTGTAAGTACACAGATATTGATGCTGGTGGATACTGCAACATTTCTGGGTATGGAAACAATATTGCAAAATAAAAAGGCTTTCTTTTTCCGGTAAATAATTTAAGCTACATCATTTCAGTTGAGACTGAAGCCATGGCAACATGTTTGGAGTCAGAAGTACACCATGAATAAATAACCTGCATAAACATTAAAAAGAGTCTGTTAGTTTATTCTGTTACCTTTTTGTGTTTTTGAAAGTTTTACAAGGAGACGTCCCTTACAGAATTAAAAAAATATATATGTTCTTAAAGAATGGGAAGATGCACAATACTTGAACCCTAAAACCATTATCCTAGATGTTTCTTGCTACCTTTCTTCTATTTATGTAATTATTAACTTTTACTGAGGTACTGAATTAATCCTTCATTTGTTCTTTATATTTAGGGAACTGCTTTTCATGTACAGCACTTCATTTCTCTCTTCTGTACGTTGCCATGATACCTAACCTCATATTTCTTTCGTGTTTCACTATTTTCCAGTCATTTCGCTCGCTAACCATCTGGGAAGCCAAAAAGGGCGAATGGCACACACTTCGTTTTGAAGTCGCAGAACGTTTTATAAAAAAAGCTTCTCAATCACATTGTTGAAGCAGGTGCATTTTAAGAAACAACTCTAATTAGATCAATTACATACTTGCAACCAAACAAGCAAGGCAGGCCACATAGCCTTCAACATGACTTTCTTGTGTTGTTAGATACTTTTTTCATTGTTGTAGTCTTAGTGTGCCAAGCCTCTGCCTTCCAGAACATTTCCTGGCTGATTTAGACTCATCCATGAATTGTTGAAGCAGAACATGTTACTCTTCAGAAATCCTCTCTCGCAGAAAGGAGGCGATGATCATACTATAGTAGTCAAACAATCTTAGCTGTTCAAGCTAGGCATTAAAATGACTGTTTTTACAGAGTATTAGCAAACTCTTTTGAGCAATTTTAATACAACTCAGATACTAAACTTTGACCAATTAACATTTTTATGAAATTGCATAGCTTGAGTTCAATATTTTATTACAGCCTACAATCAGCAATCCTATCCACTCACAAAAGCATTGAGTGTGCCCCCAATGAAATATTGATGTCAATCTGAGTATCAGTTTACTGTTACTGTGCTCATCCCAGATTATTCAAACACCAATGTTTTCCCACTTGTCAGCCATTATTACTTAACAAGCCTGAATTCTCCCTCTTATTTTTACAGTATATCTAGTTTAGAGATTCAGAGTCACTTGACTATAAGAATCAGTCACTTTATGTACTAAGTTCTTACGTGTGCTTTTTGGGGATTTTATTTTTGAAATAGTGATGTTAACAACACAGTTCCACAGCAGCCATGCAGTGTGGGTTGCACCTCACAGCAAGAAAAAAAAGGCCAAATTAGTTCCCAGTCGACAAAGAGGAGTTTTAGAGAAAAAAATATTGCTGTTATAATTTCCTGAAGGGTGTTACAAGGTTTCAGGGTGCTAACAGGCAGATAAACTGATAACCAATCATGAAAAACAACCAGGGTGTTATTATTTCATTGGATGAAAGCATGAGGTAGCTGAGCTCTCTGTGGCTGCCTTGTTCTATGCTCTTGCAGAATGAAACACCATCCTGATTTTTAGATTACATTTTTTAAGGAGTAGATAAACAGTGAGGTGCAGTATAGATTTGGCAGAAATACAACTAGTGCCTAGAAACATCCCAGGAACAAAGAGATGCACAAGATAAAGCTTCATGTTCATCTTATAAATTGGATTTGCTTAATTTTCCAAAAGCCATTTAATTTTAGAGTTCACAATTAATTAATGTGTTGATTTTGTTAGCAAAAGGCAAGCGAAATGGTGAGACGCAGTGTGTTTTCTGAGTCTTGGTGCCACTCTACATAGTGAGTTCACAGCCGGCTGTTGCTAAGGGAGACCATGACATTACCATGAGCACCTACCCATAAACCAGCCCCAGGGTAGCGAGATCAGGCCGCCTGTCTGGCAATTTCCCCCAAACAGGCCGCCAATAAGTAGTCAACCACCCTGATTAAACACCCTGTTTGAGGTTCAGCTCTGTGCCAGACTGGTGCTCTGACATGGAGTTTCCCTGCGCTGCCAGACTGACTTAGCTCTGCGTTAGCCTGCCACTGTCATTTTAAGCTCAAAGTACCGACCCAGAGGAGCCTTTTGCCCTTGGGCTACTCTCCAGCTGACCCTGCCGCCGGCTCTGGCGGGCAGTCGCCTCCCAGGTGCTTTTCAGCGTCACTCCTCTGCCTTCTCTTATCCTCCCTCAGCCGTTCCAGCCTGCCTGCGTGCACCTCTCCAGTCTGTCGCGCTGCTACCTCGGAGTCCGGAGTCTTGACAGTGTCACACTTCCACATTGATCGACGTGGGCAGTGGCGCCAGTTCTGCCACCTCTTTCCACACATTGAAGAGAGATCAGTGTTAAAACCGATGTTCTATGGTAAGCACTTACAGGTACTGCAGCACATACTAGATAGTGTTATTTGCTTTTATTTCTTTATTATCTTTTATTTATCACTTCTGTATTCTGCATACCATTAGGAACGCTTTTATTTATGGGAACAGATGTAAACAAAGCCTAAAATGTAGCCTTTGCGCTTTGAGTCCGTCTGCCCATCCTCTGACCACTCACTCCTGCTGAGGGAGGAGGGGATAACAGACTGGGCACAGCCGCCTGCACCTCTTCCGCCAGCAGCAAAAACAAATCATGAACATACTTAACTTCCTTCCTTACTCAGCTTGTAAAAATGCTCACAAGAATGAATGTCTGTTTTTCGGGGGGTCAGGAGTAACTGCAGATATTTTAAAGCACTCCAGTGCTCAAGGACTTCTTTATTATGCCCAGTACAACAGCGCAGAGGGCAGAAAAGCAGAATTGAAATAATAACAGTAGGAACAGGGATCTAATAAACGTGGTGGATTTCACACGCGACAGAAATTGACTAAGGCATGAAGCATCAAGTAGAGAGAAACTAATAGACAAAAGCAAAATGGGGCATGCAGAGAGGAGGTGTAGCTGTAACATGGGTTGTAGAAAGAACGTGATGTCACTCTTGGAACTCCAAAACTCCAAGAAGTCATTGCAAAATTATAATATTGGGAAGAAGCAGGCAATATTGTAGGATGTTCAACTTAAGCAACCTGTTGATGGTGGAGAACAGGTATCTAGGATTAGGTTATTCTAAGAATTCTAGATTATTTGGTTATTAACTTTTCAACTGTAAGCCCTTAGACCCAATGAACTCCAGGTCACCCAATTCTTAGCCATCACTAATCACTTTAACACAACCAGGAAGTATAGGAAAAAAAATTTGATTAAAGTTATTGTTCTTCAAAATGTGATGCACCAAAGACCTCTTTCGTGCTGGGCGCGTACCCTGCAGGTTTTTGTACGGGAAAGGCAAAGCAAGAGTAATCTGTCATCTAGCTGAGGCCTTTATAAATCACAACAGGAAACACTGGACTGACTGGTAATAAAGGTATTGCAATTCCTAACAGACCACTGCTAGTGCCTGCTGCTGCAGAGATTCATTTTCAGGTATTGAAATTAATTTAAGGAGATGTAAGTCATGTTTATTTAAAAATGGAACTTGAGCTTTTTCTTTTTGTTTGGTTCCAAAAGGTCATGTTCCTGAGAAAACATGCACCGCAAAAGGCAATAAGGTAAGTGAAAACACAAAATTCCTACCCAAAGGACTGCCCCAAGTGACAATTCTCATTCTGTAAAGGCATGTCCTTCATTTGGGAAACTGGACAGTGAGGGCTAAGTAAGATGAAATCTGCTCTATTTCCATTTAACTAAATTTGTTCAGAGGAATGCGATCCTACATTGACGTTCTGGTTCATGGTACATATCCAATCTGCCAAACAAATATGTAAACTGAAGAGGACTCAATCTACTGTTTGAACAGAAATACAAGATCATTAAAATGTGTACATCACCGGAACACATCCTCTTAAATACAGAGCTTTTTAAGAATTATTTTTAAGTCAAGGACATCTTTATTTACTTTTATTTGTGAAACTGATGTATACCTAGGAAGGTCTCAATCTGTATGCAAACCATCACAAAGATATTTCATACCACGCATTTCCTCCGTTTCCCCTCTGTCTTCATAGAATACAAGACAGATGTGTCATCACAGGCCACACTGATCTCCATTACTTAAGAATTTATAGTTCACACCAGTTTTTATGTCATGATCATGTAATGATGAAATATTGAAGGGTTACCATTTGATCATTTTTAAAAAGCACGTTGGGCATAAATCACGATGGACATCATAAAAAGGGAAACTAGAACTGGGGAAAATATATATATATAATTTACACGACATGATAAAATGTTAATTAAAAAAATAAAGCAAGTAATCATGGCTAATCATAAAAATCAATTCTTAAGTGCTACTAGTGCTGATATGAAGTACTTTGCCAGGTTTTTTGTTTTATGTTAATTGGAGAGAGCCTAATAATGGCACTGTGATGTGGTCATGCGATTGTTTAATCTGTGCATGCAGGGCAAAAAGTAAAAGAGCTTTCATCAGTGTTCCATCAAAAACAATGCACACACATCACGGTAACAGGCTACCCCCTTGTCTGACAGAGCGATACACTCTTCTTTTCTTAATTAAGAAAGGGTGTTAAAGCTTCTTGTAACTTTAATAAATGCTTATTACTTTGACCAATTTCCAGAGTTACTTGAGAGTGCTGTTCTTCGAACTGACTCACCCTGCGACCTTCGTGCTGGAAACCCACCTGGGCAGTAGACACCAGAGTGGATCGTTAGCCTATTACGCCTTTAAACTAAATCAAATGGCCTCTCGACTGGATGAGCTGCCCAAAAGACAAGAGAGCAGTACATGATACACAGCCTTCATTAGCAGCTTTTCACTGTTGTGATCCTGTGGGGAAATACGGTAACTGGCAAAAGAGAAAGTTCCAAGTATCAGTCTACAAATAAAAATGTGCAGATGTGCCCTTGCTAAGTATATATCGATTTTTTTTTTAATTGAATATGCATTTGAACTTTTCTGTTATACGTTAGCATATAGTATTTTAATTATATATACAAAAATGTATAATTACAAGATAAAGGGTGTTAATATTTTTTTAAATCAGAAATCTGACACCAGTATACCATGTAAGCAAATAATAAAGTTGAATAATTTCACCCCTTTGATATTACCAAGATGATTACATCTGAAAACGTGTCCTTTTATTCTTTGAAACACCTCTGTGAAGGAGTAATAAATGGGACCAAAACATAGACAAGACACATATTTATTAAACTCACACAACACAGGAGTACATTTTCCTCTCTAAACAAGATTTCCATCCTCCCTGGTCTCATGTTGTTCACCTACCTAGGAAACTATGCTATGCTAACAGTTGCCACTATTCTTTAAGCTATGCTTTCAGACTCTTGTATATACATTACTCATACTTCACTAGGGACACTCAGTAAGCTTATTCCCTGATGCTCGCTACTCTTTTCTGCCATGGTTCTTGAATATGGGTACTCCGATAGCTCGTTTTACATGCTTCTGGGCGTTTTTCTTTAGATCTTGAAGTAAGGTATAAACATTGCTTCTATTGAATGCTTGCATGACTTGCTGCTGTGATCTTCTCCTCTCCAGGAGCTTTACGCATTTTTAGATGTCTTATTCCCATACCAGTTTCCCAAAAGAGGGAATACGTTTTGAAGAACAGCAAGGAATAATGGCATAGAAAAACCACAGTAAGAAATGGTCCATATGTCAACAACACAAGGCTGACAACCTGGAATCTTAAGGGTACCTAAAATGAACTGAAGTCCAAGCATAGCAGAAGGGCAGAGGTAATTGTAATGAAAACATCTGGTCCTAGACAGAGGTCACAATTTAAATGACACTTTTCTTCAAACCATGCAATAGATGGGGTGTAACTCAGAAATAACTACAAGCCATCCTCACTAAAGGCATCTTACAAAAAGGACTAACTGCATTATGACATACTACTTCTAAATTTCCATTTTTTAATTCTTCAACTAAAACCTGTGCCTCTCCATGTTTAAAAACACGACTGCATGTTCCTTTTAAAGATGTATTGGTTCTTGCTGCATGCCTGCCTTAAATGATGACATGATTACATGAGCCCTTTCTCACCCACTGCCTCATTTGATCCCACTCCTTGCAACCTTCTTTCTCCATCACTACCCTGATTCATATATTAACTGCAGCCATCATAGCCTTACCCATGCCATCACTCAACTGCTTTATATATCGAGGCTCCTTAGACAGCGCACCTTGACCCCTGTATCAATACACTGCGGTTTGGCATAGCCTTGAATTTGATGTCCATTACAAAGTACATTTTTCACATGCTGTATGAAACGCAGCAGTGACGACACTACTGTGATCCCGTAGAGAATGGAACGTAGTGCCGGTTATGAGGACAGGGTGTGTCTTTCCTTGGACAGGTTGTTAAACAGTTCTCAGGGGTTCTGCCCTGCTAAGCTTCGATAATGATCTTTTACTGACACAGGATTACAAGGAAGGTACTGTAAGCCAAACTAAATCAGCTATTTCTGAACATCAGGGAAAAACATGTGGAAAAAGTGTGTTGTTTGTAGCCAGGGAGTTTGACATTTTTTATCCGACCTCCAAAACTCCTGTTAAAAAAACACCATTGGTGATAATCCGATTAGGAATGACTCCTATCAAAACAGAAGTTTGTTTTTGGTAATTCCATGAATACAATTGAGCTTATTAAACCAAACACCTGCATTTTATTGAACCCAACAATCTCAAGTGAGACACATTCACTTTAAATTCCAGAGTTCAGTATTCCTCTTCCTCATCCCCATGAGGCAGTATTAAGTCTGCGAATCACTGGGCTCATCATCAAAGACTTTGTGTAATCAATTGAGATGCTTTGCAAAGCCACCAGTCCTGACAGTTTTTGGGGTGTTCAAACTCCTAGTTTTTCCTCAGCGTGCAAAGCACATGTTTATTTGGATATAAACCTGGATACTGGTTGATTTCCAGTCTGATATTTTCCACATTTTTCTCCTGGTGAACTCCTTGGTTCAAGCAGACAAATTGTTTCTGTAAACGTATAACTGAGGCTGCTGCCATCATTAGCTACATCGTCAGTAAGGAGCAGTGGGCTTGTCCAGAGGCAGCCAGGCCTGCCCAGGACAAGGCACCCCCTCCTCACAAGACAAGACTCAGATGAGGAGCTACTCCTTGAAGCATCGGCAGTTCCCTCCTCTTTCCATCATCCACCTGTGGTGTTAAAGGTTTATGCTGATCTCGGAGTAGTTTCTTCCAAAACTCTCATGATTCCCCTTTGTTTCTCTAAATAAATTCTGAAGCAAAGTGGAAGCCCAGTCTAACATTTTGAAGTGACAATTATTTAAAGGACGTCTTTACATATTTAAATTAAAATACCATAATCATTTTTTAAATCTTTATCATACAGAAACTAGTTTTTAATTAAGTAACAAATTGTTTGTCAAAAATGTTCACAGTGAATAGACTATGTGTTGGGACCTCAAATAATTGCTTTAAATTGCCTTTGTTACCTTGGAGCTTTTAAAGAAGCTAAAACACGTCTGGAATAATGAAGTCCTAATGAATCCTATATTCTATGTACTTTAAAGAAGCTCAGAAAGGCCATTATTTACAACACCAGTTTCAGCTGCATTGTAATATCATATTATTTTGAAGATGATTTCAGAATGATGATATAAAATAGGCAGAAAGGGTTGCTTACCCAAGTAATGTCCAAATGAATCATGATTGCATGTTCTGCATCCTCCAGCCCCCATGAACACAAGCTGAAATACATGAAATTACTTCATTTAAGGACTTTGCCTGGCAAGTATTCCTTGTGTCATTAGCAGATGTAATTTAGAAATTACTGTATTAGAGAAGAAAAATAAAGCTATTTTCTTGAAAGAATAATTAACCTGACTCTACCAATTTTAAAAGACATTTTGAAGGTTTTTTATCATAAAAAGCTCCAAATCATACCTAGGTAGCAAAAGTAAAGGTTTAATAATAAATTAAAATAAACACAAATATAGTTTTTTTTTCTAAAATACCAATAAACTCAAAAAAGAATTATTTTTTTTCCCTTCTTTGGTAATAGCAAGTGAATGTATAGATTTTGTTTCCTCCACAGCATCCCAAAGTGGGAGGGAACCTGTGTGATGAAAAATCAGCAGTCCCCTCACACAACAGACCAGGCAGAAAACTGGAAATGACCTCAATGATCATATTCAACTCAAAATTCAGAAAGGCCAGCTTGCGCAAACCAGTTGCATATAGCCAGGCTGCTGGGGTTAATACCGCACACCTACGAACAGCACTACGGGATCTTTATTCCCCACAGGTAATCGGAACCTCAGTTTAACATCGTGTCTGAAGGACAGCATCACCAACAGCACAGTGTCTGAAGCCACCCTCCAGCACCTGTAACCTGATTTTCCTGAAAGAACTCATTGCCCTCAGACTGCTCTTCAAGCTTCTGAGATCTGACACATTCGGGGTACAGGTGACAATGCTGCTCTCATCAGAAAGAACATAAGAAGCAATTATTTTGTGAAAAAAAAAATTCAGACTCCCTGCGTTCGGGGCAGTATGACTTTTAGATCTCCCACTAAAAACAAACGCATAACACCACAAGGTTCCATTTTCACTTCATGCTTCTCCAAGCCAGTGCTGAATGGTTGAACAACTATTCAATTATACAAGAAAAAAAAATCAACACCTTCACACTTCCTCTGAAAGGCAAGAGTGCTTGGATTATGTTTTTTTCAGTAGTAAGTTCAATTATAATAAAATTTACTCCTGGTAAGTTATTTTATTAAAGAAAAAAATTGCAGCAAGTTAATTGTCTTCAGAAACAATTTTGAAGTTATTATCTGAAACATATTTGCTAGTAAAAGACAATTTGTCCATCTGTCTGTGTCAAAAGGAGTGATTGCCTGTTCTCGGTTGTAAATAAATTAACCTTTAATTTAAAATTGTAACACCCGTCTATATATTTTACTGAATTTGATATAGTCCCATGGTTTGACCCCATATTTACCCCCTAGGATTTTTAAAATATCCTTTGTTCTACACTGAAGACATTTAGCTTCCTTAACCTCTCTGTATGTGACAATTGTCACGGACCAGGAACTGATGCTCTTCTTTAAAGTCTATTTAAGGCTAATACGTTCTTTAACCTTTTCCTGTAAATACCTTGGTTATACACTTAAACTGCTTTCTAGATCTTTATCACCTTATATTATTAATTCCCTAGCAGATTTTTAACAGCTCCTGCTTTTATTACTCTTGAAGTGCTGCAGTACTGACTGCTTCAGTGAAACCACAAGCGACTGGACACGGCAAACTCTGAGGATGTTACTGCTCACAGTGGGCACAATTCCCCAGCTGGGGTGTGGCTTCCAGCAGTTAACATCAGACGCCATAGGTTCCAGACTTGTTTTAAACCACGATTCGCAGGGAACTAAGCAAACGGTCAAAATCTGAGAGATGCTGTACTTTTGCAATGCCTTGAAAAGGAAAAATGGAACTTATCGTCGTCACATGAAGATGGTACTAACCAAAATCCCATTCAGTATTATCGGTGTACAAGAGAGGCAAAATGACAAGTTGATTTAAATGCGTTTTATTGCGTTCCTCCCACTCTTTGTATTGGGAATTGAAAGCCAGTCGCATGACCATTTCATGTCATTCGGTGCCCCTCATTCCATTAGTGTAAAGCTAATATTATGGAAAGCAGTGAACATGATGAGAGCCAGAATGGGTATACACATCACCTAAGAGCTGCAATTTAAGGCAAGCTCACCGATAAGGAAGCTGACATCAAAGTATCCATTTTCATAGAAAAATGCAGTGGGGGTAATACATATTTTCAAATACGCAAGTTAATTTTCCATTTTATGATGGAAAGGCAAAGTATCTTTTTTAAGAATCGAGATAAAAATATTAGCACACCTTTTGATGTACAAAGTCAACCTCTCACACTAGGTATGTAAAAGGTAGCTTGTAGATGTTGTGAGATTGACTTTAAATGTAACTTCTGACTTGTTTCATGTTTTGCAATATATGTTCTGCTCAATTTCATTTTCAAATGCATTTAACTTGGAGCAAAAATTCTCTTAGAAGCTTTTTGATCAAAAGAAATATTTCAAAAGGTGATGTGAACCAAGCAAAATCTAAAAAGCATGTAGAAAGAGAACAGATATTTATAAGTTATACTCATACATCAGGATATGTACCGATGGCTATATGCTGCATTTATGAAACACAGAAAGCATGCTTCCTGAATTTAGACTCGCTTACACAAAATGTGCACATATATTAATTATTCACAATACTATTAAATAATTAATAGGTTCATTTGAACCGAGCTGCAAGCAAGTGCAATGTAATCATTTAAATGTTTATAAAGATTTATTCTGGCCTTGATAAAGAAGTCAAGAGTGGGATCCTACAGTACATAATCGTTTACAGAGATCGCCTCTAGACCCAGAAAAGGACAACATTCACTGACTTTATTTTAGGAAATCATTAACGGATTGCTCACTAGCCAAGAGTAGTCTGCCGAAACCCACCCGGCTGTGCCATACTAAGAACCAGACGGACTGAGACGTGGAGCGGTGACCTTTAAACAGGCCATGTGACTGGAGAGAGGAAATGCATAAAGATGCCTTGCTAACAAAACGGTTTCAGTGCCTGGGAAAAGAATGCATCAGTAAATGATTAGGCGAGACATCCGGCAAGCACTTTCCTGATGGCTATAATACTAGGAAAAGGTCAGCAAGGAAAACCAAAATGCTGATGAAAATCATCCCCGGCTGCGGGAAAAGATGAAAATCACATTTAATGACTTGAAACGGTCATATCCAGACGACTGGTTGCAAAATACTTACCTACCAAACTGAAGCAATGCTACATTCAGAGCAATTTTAATCAATGCACCAAAAAGAGAAGGTCTACTGTCTATCCCCACACTCTGAAATAAAGGCTGAAGAGCCGGCTACATTAGGGGCTGTGATGAGTGGCACAGCCAGCTCCTGTGTGGGTGCTCAGAGAGGAGGGAGGTTTGCTGGGGTTTGGAGGCTCAGAGAATGCCTGAGGGGGGGCGCCTCAGTCATAAATTAGCGGCGGCTGCGAGACGCGAGCCGGGCGGCTCTGCACCCGTGCGAATGCGCCGCTTGTTAGTCACACCTGTGCGAGCGAGGTCACAGCGCCTCTACAGAAACCCACACAGATCACCAGAACCACAGTCACCGCACAATGCCTTTTCATTTTTGCACATTTTGACGGTGGAATAAAGGAATTCCTCATTTTGATAAGTCTGCACTGAGGGACTCTAAAACATCTGTTTGAATGCATCAGTGTTTTCTTCACGCAGAGCACGTGAGGGAGAGAAGATACTCAGTCTCAACCTACTCTTAATGCAAGCAGTAAAAACATAAAACACAACTCAAGAGTCTGCAGGTCTTAGCTTTCTGATGCCCAGAAACACTGTAAACTAGAAGGTTACTCCATACTGCAAGACACTACTACAGACATTAAAACATGGACAGAATCAGACTACTGGCACCAAACCCATAACCTGCAACGAAAGTCAATTCACTTTTGTACTTTACTACAGATTTAAGTCCACATGTGCCCTCCAAGACAGATTAGCATCTATGCACAGTATATTCCCAGATATTTATAGGACGTAACTTCCTTAATGTATTCATTATGAATTATGACTGGGAAAATATATTCATTTCATTTAACACCAATGAAAATGTCTTCCATTTTTCTAGCACAGTATTAAAATTAAAACATTTTGGTCACATCATGCAACCGAACAATCTTGACTGTTCTGAACACGTTGCTGAATCGCTGAAGGCTGGAATATAAGACAAAGATAGACTGTCGTGGTCAGAATCAGACACGACTGGCAGTGCACAGGTGGAAAAGAGCGTATCTGGTGTTAAAATAACAGTGACAGTTTGCAGGTACTGCAGTTGAATATGTCTCTTAACAATCTTAGGAGGGAAAAGTGCTACAACTCTTCTCCCTGCACAGAATCACCCCCAAATAATCTTCAGTCTCAAACAATCCGCTCCTTTCCACTTGCCTCCCAGTGTGAAGAAGAGGGCACACAAGGCCAGTAACCCCACTGGCTGAGCTGAGCTAATTGAACAGTACATGGGCAATTCATCCAGGTGCTCCTATGATGACCTCAATCACCAGGAGTTGTCCTTCCCCTGGTCCAGCGCTGGTCCTAGCCGGCTCAGCTCACTGCGTGCTAATTGATGAGTCTCTCAGTCTGTGATTGTTGTCTGCTGTACACTTCGTGACGGGTGGCATTAAAAGGGGAAACAGATGCAAAAGAGACAAAAACACTCCCAAGCTTAGGAGATAAAGGCAATGGAACCAACCATAATCACTTTCAATGGCTAGAAAGTGTAGCTCTCAAGTTGAATCATGCAGACTGGACAGACAGATATCTAGTCAGCAAACCAAGAAGACGAGGTAAAGTAGTAGCAGACCGGACTGCAGCTGTGTCAGAGCCACACTTTTGGTTTTTTGTCTAGCAACCCCGGCAAAACAGGACCAGCTGGGTAGGTTAGGCTGCTAATGGTTAAGGTGATGAAGGGGTCAGATTAAAGGTTAGGTTTAAGATTGAGGGAGAGTTTGGATTGAGGTTTCTCTCCCCTGGGAGTAGTTTGGTTTGGGTTTCAAATCCCAGACACTATGGATAACTGTGGAAAGGAGCCTGTACCCTTGCTGTGGGTTGAAGCAACTGTTTTATTCGAGTGTAAGAGCACTGGTTATGGCGAAGTGTAGACAAGAATCCTGTCTGTAAGATCTTAAGACAATAAAGATACATTTTATGCTAAGAAACCAGACTGTACACCCATTGTGTATTCTGTATACACTGATGGAGCTTTGTAAGTGAAAAAATTAGCTGGGGTTCTCCTGTATAAAGCAGCAAGCACCCTTTTCTTGCTGATCTAGTTAGATGCAATTCTCTAAATAATTTTCATGTGAAATAGGTAAGAGTATTTTTTACAATCTGCACTGCACAATTCGGAGGTACAGATCAACAATGCAAGAAAAGTAATTTGGGATTCGGTTCCATCTGTAAGCAAACCGGAGGTGGTGCTTATGGTTGAAGTCAAGAGAGTGTAGTGGATGGCATTTTTTAAAAACACTTACTGTGGATTCCTTCCTTTGGATTTAACACTGCTAGTATTGATTCCCTGTGTGATTCTTGTTTAGTCACAAATATTATTTTCTCTGCACTAATCTAAATCTTTGTTCTTGGTGAACTCTAAATTAATATAGAGCAGAGGATTCTTACCGCTGTGGTTAAGAGGTGTCATACAATACAAAAGATGAATTCAAAGAACATTGACTGCAGTGTTGCTAAGCTGCATCGCTGCAATTACACTTAATTGAAAACAGTACTTTATAACTCAGGAGCACATATACATTGGAGACATGGAAGTTAAAGGTGCCTCTTCTTTGTCATTGATAATTGGATTCTAAATTTAACTCTATTATAGTCATTTCTATTATAAATTCACTAAGCAGACCTAATGCAAACTCTTCTGGTTTTTACATGCTGTGGTTTTCCTTTTGCTTGTTTGCTGTTTTTGGTATTCAATGCTTTAGTATATCTACAAATTCATTCTAAAAGGGTAAAGGATTAATTGAGGTTGTAAATTGTAAATGGATTAGTCAGAATACAATACATGAGGGGCACAGGATATTTTGTCTAAAATTAGAAATCAATACTAATACCAGTTGATGCAGACAATAAAGATTCCTGGAAAAGACAAAAGGACACTCAAAGAATACCATATGTCAGATATATTGTTATTTATTGAATATTGTACTTGTTCGTGCTTGATAGATTGTCAAAGATCTTAATAATTTCAGTCAAGAAAACTCTTCGAGTTTGCCTGCCATCTCTGTCAAAGCTCTGTCAAATTTGGTTCTAGTCTTTTCTCAGCAGTAGCGAAACTAAATGAGTTGAAACTAACAGGAATCCTTGTGAAAAGCTGGGTCATTTGGAGTTTAAGTTTCCATATTTAGAATTTTAGGGATTTCACAGAATATCCTGCAGAGACAGTGTATGGAGCTTGAGATACAAGAGACAGGAGTGCATTCACAAACATTGCAGAACGTAACAGGCACAGTGACAGCATTGCTGCCTCCCTGGGTCAATTGCTGGGTTGCTATCAACATGGAGTTAGCATGTTCTCCACGTCTTTGTGTGGGTTTCCTCTGGGTGCAATCTTGGGAAAAGGGCCATCTGAGTAAAAAAAAACAACTTTGCCATCATATATTCATAACCCCAAAACACAAGAAACAGATGCTGTCAACAGCTTTTGTATGATCATTCACCCCCTGCAATCTCCAGCCTCCAACGCACCTCATTTGTTCCTAGGTGATTTCAACCACTGCAGCTTAAGTAAGTCTTTAAACATTTCTACAAATCAGTCAGCTGCCCAGCTCGTCACAATCGAGCCCCGTGCGCTTTATTCCAGCCTTCAGGACAGCCCTGAGGTGGCCAAAGAGCAAGTGCAGCATGTCTGGTCTGGTAACAAGACAGCACCCTGCGTCTGCAGCGCTGCCCGGATTTCAAGTCTTCTCTGAATCTCGTGACAGTGTAGACAACCTCGCAGATATGGTTTGTAGAAACATGTCTTCTGTGAAGAAAGAGTGATTCCTATGAAAGCCGTTCAAGTTTATTCAAACAATAAGTCTTGGGCAAACAGGTCACTGAAGATGTGCTGAAGATGTCCTCCTGTGCTGCAAGTACATACTGTCGCTTCTCAACAGAGTAATGAGTCTCTTAAGAAGGAAATCAGATCTGAAGTTAGATCAACAAAAATAGAAGGCAAACTCAGCTCTAAGACCTGGAGAACTGCATGGAGTTAAATGAAAACTCTAGTGTGGAAGCAGGACAAAGGTCCTTTCTCCAACAACATATACAGAAGATGCTGAATATACTGCAAATGGTTTTAACACTAAAAAAAGAGCTGGCTTATGAATAGTTTTTGCCTTACATTTGACAAGAATGACTACAGTGGAGAAATTAGGGAACTTAAAAAAGAGGCTCACCACCTCCACCAAGGTTGAATTCAATACACAGTGCATTTCAAACAATTCCAAGAAAAAAAATTCAAGAAAAATCACGGGCCTGATGTATGTTATGTTGAGTGTTATTTGTTTTTTGTGGTTTTGTATTGTGATGGCAAAGACAAATGTCCACCCTTTTGGGTGGAATATAAATGTATATCTTATCTTATATTTTTCCTGTGTGCAGTTAGACAAGGCATGTTTCGCCTGACCTGTGTAACTTCTCGCCCTGGGACCGACTTCACCAGTGAGCTGTTAACACAGGCTGAGGTTCTCTTTGCTGCAATTGTGGAATATCCTTATGTGGAATTCTAAAATCTATGTGAAATCTACCACAAAACACTCTGGGTGGTTTCTTGGTGAATCCACTCCCGTGTGCCCTGTATGTTCTCCATGTTTCAGTCCTTTACATTGAAGTAACAGATGTGACTGCACAACAGATACCCTTGGTTTCATTTTGATACAGAGATCCTTAAACACCTTCTTCCTCAGATGGCCAAAGGCTGCACTTGGGCATTTCAGTCGCTGCAGGAGTTCATTGTCAATACCAGCCTACTGTGGAAGATAAACCAGAGGCGTAGAAACCACTCTGCTTTCTTCAGACGCTCATCGTGAACCTGAGTTGATACTTCTACGTCATGGGCATTTGGAGCTTGCTGACGGAGAGTGTTGGTCTGCTCACATATTCTTAGAATCCTCAGTAAATATTTTGACAATTATCTGGAGATGCATTGCTTTTAAGGCAGTGCCATAAATGTCAAGACACATACTGCAGGATGGTCAGTAGTCAGGGTGGATTTCGTTTTGGACTGGAGCCAGTGGAGATTAACTACAGAGATCAGAAATGTCCATTTGGTGAATCAGCAGGCAGGCTGACTGTTATCTACTGCAGTATGGCATTCAGAAATTGTGAAAACACCACGAAACACCAATGTTTAACTCCAGTCCAAACGTCAAAGTTCTTTGCAATGGATCAGTTAGTGAGGATTACTGCAAGCGGGAGAAGTATGCCAAGAGGTTTTGAAGGACTTCTGTATTCAGAAAGACCTCCTGGTTTATCCTCCTCCTACTCCCCACCTCATGACTTTTGTTCGTTCTTTTCCCCAGGCTTGTGAATATACCATGGGTGACAGGGCCTTCCCCTGCTGCACTCCAAAGCTCTGAGGATATCAGAGAGTCACCTTCTCTCAGCCCTTTCAAATCCAGACTCTTCTGAAAGACTGTTCCTGGACTGGGGTCTGCGTCTCCTCCTTTGCATCTTCTGTCGCACTCAAAGCCCTTGTTTTTCTTGTCCTCTTCTATCACCTATCTTTGTTTTTCTTTTCTGACCGTAAAGCTCTTTGAGAGACAATTTTTTAGGAGCTATATGCAATAACGTTTATTATCCTCATCATTTTTGTTGTTGCTGCTTTTTTTGTTTGTTGTTGTTTTTGTTTCGGGCAAAAGTGTGTTGGTGATGATGTCGCCATGCTCTGTGCGTTTGGTAAGGCACCTCCTTCCAAGACATCAAGTTGATGGCCTGTTGGTGATTCTCAATTAGGTGGTTTTTTCTGAAAATAAAGTACAATCTATAAGGTTTGTACAAATGAAAAGCATTAAATGTAACAATTAAGCCTGCCCACAATTAATACAAACTCAAGGTGAAGCCAGACGTAAACAGCCATGATACTGGTGACATAGACATGAAAATGTGGCTCTTTGTTCACTCTCCACTTCATTCATAAGAGAGAATCGAATGGGTTATTTTCCAAGGAACAGTTCAGTGGCGTTCTATAAATAAGAATATTTTATAAGCCCCCTTCTCCACTATGCTTTAGTAGGACATTAATCACAAAATGAAATCGACACAATCCAGAGTCTTGTTTCAAAAACAATCAAACACGTAATTTCCCTTTGCCTTAATCTATTTTGCCTTTTTATTTTGTAACAATTCTTCTTGGAATATTCCCTCTGCCTGGAGGAAAATCAGTGTGGAAAGCATGAGACACAACTTGATAGGAGATTTTTTTCTTTAAACTGACAAGGGTGTATCATGAATCTAAGATGACAATCTAAGGTGACAATCCCCTCAAACGCTTCCAGATTTGAAAACTTGACAAAAATAGAACCAGCATTGTGTAAATGCTGCTACATGCTTGCAAGGTTGTACGCTTTAGAGGGTTCGAATTATAAGGTCTTGTTGGAACTGAAACAGAAAAAACATCTTTAAATGGTTGAATGGTTTATTCTGGCCTTTTCCTAAAACCATTATGTTGGACAGTGCTGGGCTGCTGGGGTTCACTGTTTCTGTGAGTGTGTGTGCCCCTGGTGGATACTTCTTAGTGTGTGCTCTTTTAATAATTACACATTTTAATTTGGAGTGTAGTTGTGTGTGGAGTAAATACTCCAATTGTGTACTCTTTTTTGGTCTTTGGGTGCATTTGTTATTCTGGGAGATATAAAGAACCTGGTACAGTAGAAAAAGGCCACTTTACAATTTCTAGGTGCTCTGGTCTAGGTGCTCTACTTGAACTAGGTGCTCTGGTCTAGGTGCTCTACTTGAACTACGTGCCATAGTCAGATACAAAGCAAGAAGATTGCTGCAATCTGGGGCCACTATATCTGTCACAGAGTTATAGTGGCTGCCAGGTTGCCTATCAAACATTTCTTCCCAGAATTTTAAACATTCACTATTAATATTTCACTGTTTTGAAAACTGTGATCCAAATGGCGCTGACACGGCAAACATAAAAGGTGGTGAATCAAAAAATCACAAAACCTTTGTCAGCCTCAGGCACAAGCAAAGAGTCTGCAGCCTTTCAGAAGGGCTGTGCCAAGAGTGAGCTCATCCCCCTGTTATTATGGACATTTCAAATACTTACATTTGATTTAAGCTGAGAAATTTGAGAAAACTGAGAAATTTCATATTAAAATAGATATAATATCTACAATTGAGAAATTGAATATTAAAATATAATAATATCTAAAATTAATAAATCAATACCCAACTCTTACAATTTTGTGTGACCTTTGCCCTTGCTTTCCCTTGCTGACATTTCAAGCAGCACACAAGGCCCTGAGTGTTCAGCTACTGGAGGAGCAAAGAACTGTGTGAAAATACCTGTTCACAGAGGTGTGTTTAGGCACGTGCTGAAAACATTCACAAATCGTGATCTTTTAAACATCAGTGATTTGGAATCTCTGTGTATTTTCCTCGCAGAGTTATTGACATCAGAAATATTGTTCCTCAACAATGAGCAGGCGTTCGAATGGTAAAGTGACAGTTTTGAAAATAAAATTGCAAATCTCCCTCAGCAAAATGCAGGACATTTGACATCTTTTGGTAGTTTCTTTAAGATGCTATTGAAGTTCCAAACAATGAAAATTAAACTTTGTATTTTAAAATCCTCAACACCCACCCACTGAAGCACTGAAAAATCCATGTCGCTAGTATCAAAGCTATCTGATTTAATCAGAAAAGGAAACACCAGGCCAAAACGTTGGAAATACTGAAATCTGAGAAAATTCAACATTTTTTTTGTGCAGATTGAGGTAGTTTGGGTTTTAATCTTACAAAAACACATTGATTGCATCAAGTCCAAAATGCTTGCCAAAACCTTCCCATGGACATACGATACCTGACTTTACACTTGAAGTGTGAGAAATGTGATTGCAAGCTTTCCTGTGAAAACAACAGGCTAACCTTGCTAAAAATAATGTTGTGAATTAACCAAGTGAATATTTTTTCTTAGCTTTCTAAGAGCTTTCATTGGGTAAAATAAATCCATACACATCTACAGTATACTCCCCTCGACCAGTGTGCAGCCCCACCTGGATGATGCGACAGCAGCCATAATGCGCCAGTACTCTCCCCACATTGGGACACATAGAGACTGGAAACAGGGTTTCACTCATAGTTTACATAATGGTAACATGGAAACCATTCATGACTGAGCACTTGGATTAATAATTCTTACTGATGGAGTGAATTGCAAATATTATCCTCTAATTTCTCTACACTCTGGTGCCTCATCACCAGGAAATATAACTTTCCTTTGAAGTTTGGACTCTATTTTCAATTTCCTTAATTGCATGTACTGAAAGAAGCTGAAATGAATGGTATAAAGTAATTTCTATAATGCAGCTCAGACGTATCAGGACATGACTGGCCAGCTCCATATAAGGACTTTCAGCAGGTTTTAATTCCTCTTTCCTCTCCCTGTGATGTGTTGTCTTCCATGTCAATGCACCTGACAGCTTTCATCCTACCAATACATCATCTGGTCTCCTGGGTGCGCACTGACATTTCGCTAGTGATGCTGGGAAGAGAAAAACACACACGTAAACAAATGCTACTCAGTGTCTGATCATATTGTTCCTCCAAGCATGCAAGGTTATTTAAAAAATGCAACTGAAAATTCAAGCTGTAAAATAAATTGGGAACACGCTGTACCTTTTTTTGAGTTATCCTGTAAATGTGAAGATAATTCTGGAAAGCGACGATCAGTATTTCCTTACTGCTGTATTCAATTTTCATTGATTGGAAATTCAAAGCACAGCCAAATGATTTTTATAAGATCTACAAGATCATTAAAACACATTGCTCAATATCTAAAAAACAGCTTTCTGAATATATATGAATAACTACAATCCCTGCAGCGTTTCAAATACAAATCAGTATCCGTCTGAACACAATCGGAGTTTTTCTAGTAACACAGAGCTTTTTTCCCAGCTTGTTTGCTTATCGTTTTTATTCTGACACAGAATTATTAAATTGATTTGAGTTCCTGTCTTCTCTTAAATTCATTCCACTCATCAACGTGACCTTGATCCATCTTCATATCTGAAATTGTTTTCAGTTGTATGATTAAATATTTCATAGGTGCAAACTCCCCCACGACCCTGTACTGGATAAAACAGTTAGAAAATGGGTGGATGGATGAAATATTTTCTGCCTGGCACTTGTACTGCCTCAACCTTTTACTGTGAACTGATTATCCTTTTGTTTCTTGTCTTCTGTGTAACACGTAAGAAGGCGAGTTATCAGCACACAAAAAAAAGATGTTATCAACTGATTTACTGTATTATTATTATTGTTTTTTAATTATTGTTGTTGTTCTTATTTGCCTTGCATAGGGACAGTTCAGTACCTACATAGCTGTTTAAAAACAAATCTGTTTGATTTTGTTTTGTAATAAAAAGTAACATGTAATCCCCACCAGCTACTATTTGCTTTTGTACTAGTGGTGCTTTGTTAGACAACATTTTGAAAAGATACAGATTCCACGAATTTTCTTTGTTGACATTTGTCTCAAAGGAGACAGCCAGGAGCCTTCTGTTCCGTTTGAGTGGCATTCTTTCTCATTAGCTCCAGTTTTCTAATTCATGCCTTTATCTCTGTCACAAAGACTGGCGACCAACACATTTTCAGAGACAGAGAAACCTTGCAGATTTAAACAGTCTTTAACTGCTAATAATAATTCAACACCATAGAGTCTGGGGAAGAATACACACCACCAACATGCTTGAATTCAAAAGGCTATGCTTCTAAATTGCAGGCTGTCTGGGTTGCCGTTTCCCAGGTGCTCTTAATTCAGATTAATTATTTCAAATGGCCCCTTAGGTAGGGTTGCGTTTACCACGACCGTGTTTAAACTGAAATCCCAAAAGAAACAGACAGGTCATAAACGCAGTCAAAATGTATACATTAAACGTAAGACCACATTGTAAATATACAGTGTTTACATGCCAGATTTCGTATTTGATATCTTGAGTGCCAATACATCATGCATTGGCATTTAAACCTGCTGTACACTGCTTGCGTCTGCAGTCTACGAGCAGTAACGCACACCTGCGCACCCGCAGTCCACACCCATGTGCTGTCTGTCAGGAAATGGACTCCAACAATAGCTCCTGTTTCACCTCTTTCAATATGCAAATTCTTGCCGAGGTATATCAGGTGATAACCCGGAAAACCAACTAATAAAAAAGGAAGATATTTTTCGGCAATACTAAGAGGTACTCCAGGGGTAGGTGAATAGATTTATTTTTATAAACCCAAAACACAGGGAATGAACGATATTACTGTACATACTGTTAAGATACTTTTTTCTTTGGCGAAGGAAATGAGAAATCCTGGCCTACGGTAGGCTGTATGTATTGCCGTCAGGTGTTATCATCGGAGAAACAAAATTGCTCCGTCCATTTTAGACATCGCTGCTTTTGCAATTTTACGATAGATCTGCGCTTTGTATATTTGGAGAGAAATTTGGATTTAGGTAGCAGGGAGATTAAATATCAAACTTTGACAACTGTAAAACAAATTATGTAGTATACTCAGCCTTTTGATTGTGTTGCTTAAATGTTTGAGGATTGTCAAAAACACTGATTTTTGTTACTTCCCTAAATTAACAGTAGTAAGAACTACACGAATAACACAATACACATCTTAAAAAGCATGCCTTAGAGGAGACCACATGCATTCTTTTCAGACAGATTTTATAGGAAATACTGTACATGTTTCAAAGCTAACGAAGCTAATATGTGTAACTAAGCTAATACTTGGATTTCAATCTAACACTTTAATTTAGATCAACGTTCTTTTCCATTATAAGTATATAAAGTATGTAGAACTTTATATTTCAAGCTTTTATCTGTACTTATGACGCTAGCAGGCAAATATAAATCAACTTAATATCAAAATGGAGCATTTCTCTTCGTGTAAAGCTGTCTGAAAACTGCACCTCTCCATTCATTGTGTCAACTTTTTAAGTGCAGATGTTCATTTATGTTAACCTAGTCCACAGGGTCAGAGCAGGCTGGAGTAACTGGCAAACACACAGGGCACGAGACCACTACACCCTAAACAGGAGGCCTGTCCACTGCAGGGAGCACTCGCACACTCACACACACACACAGGCGGAGAATTACAGGTGCCAGGTAACCTGGCTCACGTGTCTGTAGAAGATGGAGGAATCTGCTTCACACAGTGACAACCCATGTCCGCGTGGGGAAACACGCAGACTCCCAGCAAAAGGCATCTCATTGTAGAATTACAGCAATACTGATCACCACACTGCTCATGAAATAAGTGAGTTGCTCTTGTTATAAATAATAACATTTAATAACACACCACATTCATCTGTACATTCTGTGGCGGAAAAACAGAAGGTACCACATATACGGAACAGTGACCAAACCAGATGATAATATGATAGCCACTGTATTCATGAATTGTTTGCCTCTTCTGTGTAGGTGAGAAGATTGGGCGAAGTGCCTATTGATAGTACTATTAGATGGATTATTTACTGCATTAGTAGTCCTGGTCAGGAACATATTACAGATACAATGTGTTTTCTTATCTCATACGCTCTTCAGTTACTCACTGTCGGCTCTAATGTATCATAATTATGTTAATCCTTTTCCTGCTGGATCCTTTTAGCACAATACAGTTATTTGTTCTTTTTATTTTAGGAGCGAAACCTCTAGCACACAGGCCTTGACAAGAGAAAAATGTATTTGGGTAGCAAATAATATAGTCAGAATACTGTATATTTAGAGAAAAGAAAAACTGGAATTGATTATATGATAATTTAGATTATACTGCCTGCTATGTAAAATTGACACTGAGCAGCTGTTAAGTTCATTTTAAACTCTTAACATCTTAACTCCTCACAATATTATTCTTAGTTTCAAGGTATGATTACTTATGTGTGTGATTTAACTTAAAATCTTCTAGAAACCCAGTGATCACGCCCATGGTAGACTAAAGTGTTTTCTCCAAACTGTAAAACGTTTAAAGCATACATACATATGGACACCAAATACATTCAGTACCTGAGACAAAATTTCTTCCTCAGAGTTGATTTTTTATTTTCTTCCTAGCAAGTAATCAGTGTTGTACAAAAGCAGTACCTTAAAAATGTCTTGTGATAAACATTGATACAAAATAAAATATTATGTTCATTAATATTTTTAAAAACTGAATTTAAAAAATGTGTATGCATTATTTAATAATTTCACAGAATGCGCCATCGTAAGAGGGGGGTGCATACTTTTGCAAGGCACTTTAGGCACAAATCACACACATTCTTTGATTCTAACAGAAACGTACGTTTTGTTCCTTTCCTTCAAGCAGCCCTCCTCCTGTCTGTTTCACGAGCCTGGGTATGACAATGCAGCAGAACAGCATCCAAACTGAGCTACAAAACCAGTTTAATGATGCTGTCAGCAGACTGCAGTCAAAACAGATGTTTCAGTCAGACTGGGACATTGCTTCCTTTGCTATTTTTTTCATCTTTATAGGTAAGTGAAGGTGCCTGGTATTTAAAGAGTGCAACATACTGTATCTGTAGTGTCTTTGACATTCTAGGGGATAAACCTATCATATAGGAAGTGAAGCACAGGATTTGGCAAAAGAACATTTCTGATCTAGCCATGTTGCACCTCTAGAAGCCCAGCAAACTATAGACGCTGACTTGTTACACCAACTAATTTAAAGTGAACAAAGTTAGACTCCATTTGTGAATTGTCACCAAGATGTACAGTAATATTTGGACTTTAAATACAGTAATTGGTATAGGTGCTGGTGTAGTAGCCTACACTGACAAACAAGAGACATGGCAAATTTTTGAAAACAGAAAAAAATATGCTTAAGAGATGTGACACCTACAGTAACTAACTGAGGCTTTCGTTTGACTAAATCCCACCCACAAAGATCATCTAGATGCACACCAATGAATTTCCTAGTTAGGTTTATAGGTGTTTTCCAGTACTAAGCAGAAACAGGATTTAGTTGTAATACAAGTAAAGAACAGCACTGTTGAGGTTCACCCAGTGAAGACAATATCGGTCACTATCGGAAGACCATCCCAATATTTAAAAAGTTACTTGTGAGCTTGTGCCCTTGGGATCACTGGTAACTACAGCCTGCTGCTTCACCTGCAAGTACATGGGATTGAAATAAGTGAGACTGGCTTTCAAAGTTAGGGACAACTGTTGTAACTCCATTGAGCTCATTCATGATCTACGAGTCTTATTTGTTTAGGTTTCCCAAACATGATGAGATTTGTTGATTTTATTGGGGTTTTTACTGTGAAATATCATGTCATGCCAGCAAAATACAGAAAACCAGTCCGGTTAATGTAGTTTAAGCACATAACGTTCTTGAGTTTCATTTATATAAAATATATGTGTGTACTGTTTTATGTTCAAGGCACAGTCCTACTGCTTTTAACCCTGGTTCTCATTCGCTGTTGCTGCTGCTGCTGCTGTGACTCAGAGAAGGTAAGACCGGCTGTTCAGTTCCAACAGTGAAGTGTTTCGGTATTTTGGCACTATAATTAGGTAACAGGTAACTGAGAAAGTCTCCGCGTGGATTCGTTAGAGCTGTGTTAAGGCTGGGAATGGGCTCTGAATGGAAGATTTATGCTGAATAGAAAGGCTTACATTCTCTTGGTATTTTGTGAAAATATGCTTCAGAAACATATATTATCAAAATAAATATTTACACTTTCAATAACAGAATGCATGAGCATTACATTGCATTACTGTGATAGAACATAGGAATTATGTATTGTAAATGAGGAATACATGTTGTAATGACAGATGTAACTTTTTTTAACATTTTCTCCTATACACAGCCCCCCAGGACCAAAGTGGGTGTGGACAATTATGCACTGGAGCCGTAGAAACAGGGACAGTCGCTTGTGTTCATCTGCTGAAACCTGTCATGGAATCAGGCAGGAAAATGTGCAAATTCCAATATTCCTTCTTACAACATCCACCATGGATGGAAAATAAAACCCAAACTGCGTGAAGGCTTCTAGGACAAATGATTTAACAACTGTTTAAAAATGCTTTAGGGTAACATCAGAAATCTTTCCCAGTAAAGAATGTGGTTATGAATTATACTCTATGAACTATATTTTCCACTTATTACATAAAAATGTTTACTTACATGATTCATATAGATTGTGTTTTTTTAGAAAATTGATTAAAATATGATTAAATTGACAACGATGAAGCTTAGCCGTTGTGTTTTCCCAGACAGCCCCTAAAAATTCCTTTGCTGGGTAGTTTTTGCATTAATACATTGAATACTCTTATCATCTCAGTAGTCACAAACATCTTAAAAATGAGGTGTCTGGAGAGTGTGTACCAGACAAGACTTAACAATGTGCCATGTGCAAATATCTCATTGTGAAACAGCACTGCAGAATTCTCATTAAAAATGTTTGATGTAAAGCTGTTTTTTGACATTTTCCAAAGGTTGTTTACAAAGTTGATAAGCTTTTTCAGGTGCCCAAATAAATGCATTTAAAATCCTTAATTAATGCAACCAAATTGAACGAGGTTTAAAACCTTTCTAAGGCTATGTATCTCTACAGATCAAATTACACAGTGAAGACAAACTTGATCTGCAATAGTTATAGTATCTGTGTTGCAGAAAACAAATACTAACACCATGGCCAGTACATCACCACAATAAAGCTACAGGGTACAGACATGTAAACAAAAGTCACCTTGAGTATAAGAAAATATATAAGCACTACTGTAGGCACTGCATATTGAGATAATTTGACAAGTGTTCTTGTACAGCAAAGCAATGCTGTATAACCCCGTTAAATATATAATAACTTAATATGAAGAATAGGTCATTTTCACTTGTCCTGTATGAAAACTTCAATGCACAAAAATGTAATTAACCGTTTTCACATTTACAGCTTCACTTTTTTTATTTTGTGATTGTCTCACTACATGTATATATAATCAAGCAATAAAATATTAACTTTTTAATTTTTGTTGTGAATAGTAATTTTATCCAAGGTATTTATGCATCATCCAAGCCAGCTTTACTTATGTCGAGTCCAAGTCACATGTCTGAAATGTGCTTCAGGTCCTTGGTCACCTTCTGTTGGCGAAAGGACAGTTCTTGCAGGAACACAGCCTTAATCTGAAGCAAGTGTGTCTCAGTGTGGTCTGGAGCCTGGGGTGCTGGCTGTTAGGAGTGTGTTCTCCCTCTGTTTGCATGGATTTCCTCCCGCAATCCAAAGATACACTGGTAGGTTAATTGACTCCTGGGGAAACTGACCTTGTTGTCCTGCGATGGACTGGCGTCCTGTCCAGGGTGTGCCCTGCCTTGCGCCTGTTGCTTGCTGGGATAGGCTCCAGCTGCCCTGTGACACTGAATTGGAAGAGGAGGTTAGAGAATGAAAGGAAACCGAGAGCAGGAGTGATCTCCCATGAGGACTGGGAGTGTCTTGCTCACATTTTAGACCTGATCTTCTGCTGGGACAGAAGTGCTTCCCCAGTTTACTGTACATCCTGTAATTTACTCATCCTAGAACATGTTCCTCCCGTCACTCCTAAATCCCTTTTTAAAGACAGGATAAAGAAACAGAAAAAGATGACTAGGCTTTTTTCCCCCAGTCTTTATCAAGTTTCATTAGGAGACTGTCAGATCTGTAAATGTCAGGAGGGGTTGGCAGATAACATTTCGCTGTCCCCCGATTACGGCTTTTATCTGAAATAAATTGTATGTTTTGTACTTTCAAATATCTGTCCAAATGAGCAAAAAAACTGTACCTACCTCTTTTTTAGAATGTAAGATCACGTATGACTGGAGATCCTATATTTGAAGAATCACTGTTTTTTGCACAATGCTACACTGAAGAAATAAAACAAACAGCACACATCTTCCTCATTACCACATTAACCCATCACACACATTGTGCTTAATGGCCTTTAGAAACAATAGCATTGCACCTAGATGTATACAGACGAAAGAAAGGGTTTTTTACGTGACACATAATGTAGGTCACTGGGTAGAGGACCTACTTACAAACTGTGCCCTTCTTACTATAATTATAGTATAATAAAACTGAAACATCACCACTATTCAGATTTAGATTTTCTTAATTTGCATTACATTTAGAGTTGAAAACAAATGAACAAAACCTCCATTTCAGACATTGTATTGACAAGAATAGCACAATACTGCCATCAACAGCTGAATCACTGCCTGCTAACCAAGAGTTTAATGCTAGCTTTACAGTTCTGGGAATGATAACCAGGTTTTTCTGTTCTTACAAGAGATATTTGGATATTGCCACCCTCTAATTTGGTAGAGACAACCCTGATCTGAAGTTATTCTCAAGAGGTTTGTAACAGACCAGGCATATGACCTACAGAGCAGTGAATCCTGGCATGGAATGTTTTCAATAGGTTGAGGTTACTCTGCTTCGAAGAGAGAGTATTGTCTGGGCTCAGATCAGACAAACGAGTGATCTACCAAGCCCTAGGGGTCATACAATCCTATAATTAGCTTACTAGTTTGTGGTCAAATAAAGAAAGTACATCAATTAGATTATTTTTTTTATGGTGGGTGGGTTACAGTGAAATCCTGAAGTCACTGTGTCCTCTGCGGGACATGCTTGATCGCTACTCTGATCCAGTGGAGAATACGAGAGTGACAAGGAAGGGAATGTGCTTTGACCTGCTATTGTTGCGTTTCTATTTAATCTCTCAAGGACACCAGTATTGCTTTTCAAAAGACAGTGGCCGCAACACCAAATGAGTTCTGGCTTGCAAATCCTATTATTTTTAACATTATAGGAAAGCTCTTCTTCATTTCGTTTCTACAGGTCAGTAATTCATCCGTGCAACACATTCAGCATTCAGCTTTGTAAATACAAACAACAAGCATAGTAACCGCATGCTACTTTTATCAAAGTAGTATTGAAAAGAACAAAAAAAGATACATTCTAAATACATTTATAAATACATTTATTGCACACACAGTGGATTGTTTGGTCCATATATACTTTTTATAATGCATTCACAATCGCTTTAATCTCAAAAACCTAACATGTCAGGAACGCTATCTGTAGCATTAGTGTGAAGGAATGGGCATCGTGGGTTTAGAGGGAATCATTACTTCATAATTAACAAAGACAAAAAAAAGTGCATTTGCTTTACAAATACAAAAATGAAAGTCAAATTACTTTAACTCAATAAATAAATGGGAACACAATAAGATAAATAATCTCAACACTGAATTATATTTGTTCATATAAATCAAGCAAATTAATAGCTTTCAAGACATCACCAAGGTGAAACAAATTCAGTTTTCTCTGCATGAAAAGAATGGTCCCAGTTGAAAAATGGCTCACGCTTAAAATAAACATTTGTTTTTGTTCTTGGAATGTTTGTAAATTGAGAACAGAAAAATATATTCACAGTCATGGCTAACTTCTGACATAACTTCTGACAAGTGCCATATGGCCACTTGTCTTAGTGTAGGAGTAACATTGCGTATCAGAGTCAAACAGCTAGCCTGAGAGTTTCTAATCATTCCTTTCAATGCGAATACTGAATAGTTCGTGTAACTATCACAACTCAGGCTGCTGTGGTAGACAGGAAAATTGTAACTGCCCGTCATGCATACAGAAGTTTAACATGACAACATGGGCTGAAACAGAAAAAACACTTTCCATTGCAGATACTACCTAAAATAAATATCAAGTCTGCTGTTACTTAAAAAATCTATAGCATACATGGCATATATAGCCATATGTACAGAGTCTCCGCAATTATGCTCCTGTGCATACATGTGCAACATTAGTATGGTCATCCTGTTGGTCCGTTAAGAACACAAGCCTCAGAACAGCACCAGCAGGGTGATGTGATTAATGTTTAAAACATATTCCATTGTGTATAGTTTTGACTTAGAGAAAAATGTTTCTCAAAAGATATATTAGCAGAAATAATTATGTACATGGATCCATGTCCTTTGACTCAGAAACACTTTTTCCAAAGTTCTAGAGGTTAATAAGGCTTGTAGTTCCAATAACTGGAGAAGACAGAAATCTGCAACAAGAGATGGTATATTATAAGTTATTGTAACATGACATGTAAGCTGTAAGAAACACACAAATTAGTTTTACAAAACGTTTTACTTGGAAAAAAGCTTTCAAAACTAACATCAAAATGCCATTTTTAAAACAGTAAAATAAAGTAAAATGCCATATTTTGCAGAAACATTCTTATATAATGCACAGACATGTTGTTTATGTTTAATAAAAAAGTTAAAAAAACAGTTAAATTCCAGGTGACCTGTAGGAATTAAATAGACCTGTAGTCAATGAGACTACTAAAACTCAAGAACGCCTCTTTAATCACATGTCATGTCAAGCTTAAGGCAGTCCCAGCTCCTGACCTACCTTATCTTTCAACTGCTGACACAGCTGGAGTGAGATCGTGAAGAAGACAAGGGTGTCATTCAGCCAGGGGACCACACACTCCACTTTGTGGACATGACTTACTTCAAACCTCATGTTACCAAGTTCACTGGCAAAGACAAGAGCAAACGTACAGCATTAATCTCACGGAAACAGGACTCCATGAAGCAGTCACTAGTCCACATGGACAGCAGGACATACAAATATCAGACCGTGGGAACCATTTTCAGCAACAACAGAAAAATGTATTTTTAGATGTATTTTTGTAAACATAGAGGAGAGTTTCTATTTTCCTATTTAGATGTTGCAATAAGATGTCTAACAACAACTTACAACATTGCGCCAGGGTTATGCAACACTGAGCTTCCTGAAGGTTTGAAGTTCTGTGGAAACAGAAAATATAACCAAAACAAGAATGGCGTTAAAATAATTTAACTATTGCAGTACTTACACTTTTGAAAGACCACAAGTCTTTGTCTAGAGACGAAGGAAAAGCAGCACAGAGAAGTTGAAGAAAAATTTAATTTACTACAGGGACAAAAACAAAACATAAAAATATGGAGACCTCAGTTAAAGACACACCTAGTCACCTACTGTGACTAAACCTTCCAGACCTATTTTATTCCCAGTAGGTGCTGTTTTGTAGTAGATGTGCCCTATATTGTTACCTTGTTGGTATTGGGCTGGAGGACATGGAGCTGATACACGATCAGACAGAGTTTGCTGAGGTTAATGTAAAAATTCACCATCACATCTCCTGGGAGGGGTGGTGTGAACATTTTCTAGAATAAAGAGAAGGAAATCATTTGTTTTTGAGCAAAATTACCATGCAGTTGATTCACAGGCGTTCACAGCTGTGGTCAGCTTACCATCAGGCTGCTCGAGGCCAGTTCTGGCAGTGTCAACGTTGCAGGAGTAGTGAGACGATTCCGTGCTCTGGTTAGCTGGAGCATCACCGCATCCATTAGCTATGGATGGCAAACAAGACACATGTTTATTTGTTCCAAGGCCAAACCCTTCAGTACACATATACACATGGGTAAGTGTACGACACTTTCCTAATATCATCTCAAAGGAACTGACAGACATTAGCAGAATCAACTTTATAAGATGTTTACCAATATCTTGCACTGTCTAGTAGACTACACAAACATTACACACCGTTAGGGTTTAACAGTATTCAGAGGGATAACTGAACCCATTCATGCTGGCTGCCTGGGGAGCTGCTCACACGCCTCCTTGCCAAGCAGAGACAATGTTGCCTTGTCTGAGGGCAGAACTCTGAAGCTCACAGATTTGTAAATGCCTGTATATAATACTACGAAGTGTTAGGCACTGTATATTTGTAAATTAATGTGTTTGTTTTTTTTCTACGTTTATTGTTTGGTTTTTGGTTTGTTCCTGTGTTCTACTAAACAAATAAAACACGCTACCGGTGACGCTTAGTATTTCCTGACTATAGGAGGTGTATAATTGTAGAATTTCATAAGCAAGCTGGTTGATTTGATACATCTTCTTATTTTACATTTATAACATGTATTCAATTGTTTACACTTTCTTAACTCCTTTCAATAGTCAGCTTCAAGGTCTGAATCTTCTGCCACATAGTGCTTGCACAGGTCATTCCATTTACAAGCTGTATGCGGGTCGTATGAAATACACTGCTGGGAATGAGTCAGAGAAGATTGCCACAAAGGAGCCCTTTATAAAATCTAAACAGTACAATAACCATGCAGCTCATAAATGATTGAGCAAACCTGGATGAGAACTAACCCATCACATTCCCTGTCTCACATACAATAATGATTGCAGTTACACTGCAACAAACCTTATTAACTTCAGCTCCTGTTCGGAAGTTATAACTCTCATCCCGGCTGCTCAGCAGCTGAAGAGCCTGGTTCACATGGTTTCTTGCATCCTGAATCTGGGGAACAAGTCGTAATCCCAGCAACAATTTCAAATGTGTTAAAACATTTGTTAACGCGAGCAAATGTGAAGCAATAGCTGGGGAAAAACTGTTTATGCACAATTGTGAACAATTCTATCACATTAAAATGGTCTCCTAGGATTCATAATCATAACCAAGAGATATCATCACTCCAAACCATCATAACATATTGTTTAAATGAATCTGAAATCTTAAATTTAACCTCAGTCATTTGCTTGTTCATGTTTAGGGACAGTCCTGATATGAATGTCATGTTAGACAATTATTAAATTATTTTATATTTGTTGATTTTTTACACTATTAAATGTTATTCTTATACATATATAAATATTAATATAAATGCTTTAAGATACCTAAATAAAAATAATTAGATCTCTAATATATAAAGGATTAAAAATGATTGCATTTGAAGGTTCCACAGCCAAAACGTCCTCTCTTTTCAGCATGGAATAAACCTGTTACTTGTTCCTTTGCAGCTCTCCGTTCGCTCCCTGCCTTGTCTCTTGCAGTTGCTAGGAGACCAGTGATCCTAAGGCTTATAGCTTATGAAGATAAGATACATGCAGAAACACCACAACACACCTCCTACATTTCATACTAGAAATGGTGTTCTTCCTAACTCTGGCAGCTGAAACCCCTTATTTAAAGCCTGTGTAGAGACAGAATAATGAAAAATAAAATAAAAAGACATGCTCATTGCAGTACCTGCTGCATTTTCCACTGTTTATCCTCTCTGAATGTGAAGTGTAAGACTTGGTTACTTTTCGCCATTTTCAGATTAATATCCTACAGAAATGAACAGAGTAAAAGGAGTCAAGTGATTCATGAAAATAATGAGGAGTTTAGAAGTAAAATGAAATACTGAACATTATCCGAGTCATCTCCATGGTTTGGATGAAATATTGCTTTTACAGAAATACATGAGAACCAGAACTGTTGTGAACACTTACAGCCTGTGTTAGCGCTTCACCTTGTAACGTTAGCACTCCTTTCACCTGGTCCATGCTAAAAATCAATTGAAAATGAAAGAAAATCACATTATTTGTTTCCACTCTAACATTAAACCTGTTATAAACGAGGCCGCTGGTCCAACTGGGTATATTTGTTAGCATTTAACTGATCTGACTATTTCAACCAGCTATTTATCAGAATCCCACAGCCCATCATGCAAAAGATGTCTCCACATGTTTCCTGGTCAATTTTTGACATAATATTTGCAGTGCTATTCACTTTAAAAAATGTGAAAGTTATATCCCAAAATAGTAAAGACAGAAGTGAAAGTGAGTTCAGGTTCAGCCCTAGAGATTACAGTATGTAAAACTCATCTCACGTTGAGCTTCCCAGTATGAAATTTTCCTGTTTAAGCTGGCTTTCGAGACCCGTTGGCATCGCAAAGCGCCGGGAAGCTTCCTGTGTGAAAAGAGAAAATATAAACAACTGAAAACAGAAAGTAACAATACCTCCCAAGGAAACCCAGAACTCACAGCTCAGAGATGATCTTAAATAAGAGAAACTAGGTTTAATTGTAAAAGAAGTAGTAAAAGCGAGCCCAGCTGTGTTTTATTACATGATTATCCGACTTAAAAAAGGCCTGCACTCTTATAAATACAGACTGGAGTCATTAAGTGAGACTGGAGTCATCTCAGAAACTTATCACCCGAACACAAAAATTGTAATGTGTTTACTCAGAAATTGAGACTCAACATGAATCATTAAGCTAATACCACGAAGCTATTAATGTTGTATTAAAAATGATACTGCTCTTTAAGGCTTTACCTTCAGAATATCCTGCAGCTGCTTCAGGACAGCGTGTACCTCCTCTCTCAGAAGCCATTTAAATTCTTCCTCCTGAAACAAAAGACAAGAAGACATGTAGAGTTTTACATTATTTTATTCTTTTTAGTCTTCCAATTTAGAAACACCGTTTGACTCAGCTGATCAGTATGTGTCTTGTACCTGGGCAGTCAAAGGACGTGGTCAGGGCAATACTGGTTAAGCCATGTGGAAACCCAGTGTTTTTTAAATGGATTTTTATTTGAGTGAACAAAACTCATCTCATCTAAAGGACCGAAGATGAGACTTTAAAATCCATGCCCCCGTGACTCCACTGCCTAATTGTTTTTTGTCCTTGGTGAAATCCAGATTATTTAAATAATCCACAGATTTGGGATTTTTAATGATAAAGATTGTATTTGTAACTGTGTTTCCAGTTCTGTAATTGTGAGAAATTGTCAATTTACCTATAAATATTTTATGGAACACTGAAACAGCAACTTTCAGAAAACAAGCATTCAGAAATGCCTAATCAGCCATGTTATTATTTTAATTAAATGTTAATTTGAGCAACTGACAGAAACCACACAGTCGGGTCCCGAGGACAGGGCCAGGGGCAGGGAATGCCAGGGTTAAGGTGAGCACCGTGAAATTTCCACTTTCGTCTTCTCAGGTATTACAAATCAGACTTCTTACAAAGCACTGTCCCACTGCAGTATAAAGTGGCTCCTTTTTGTAAATCCCAAACTGTAATTCACCTGTTTACAGAAGTGTTTACAGAAACACCCCCTGAGGCTCTCCAGGTTCTGCCACCGTGAGAAACAACTACAGTGCCTGGCACACGTTTTAAGCTTTCTTCCCTATTGGTAACGCCATACTTTGATAAATAGTTAACTGCAATGATCAAACCAAACACTATTACACGCGAAGGCTCCTCCTGGCTTCACCACCCCACCCCTAACCCTATCCTGCTTGCTCGGCTGCTCTCTTCGAAAGGGAAGCCTGATCTATGCAATGCCTCCGAGGCATGACGCGTTCTTAATGCTGATCAGCAACTTGTCTTGTAAATTGGTTACATTTCCTTGTAACCTTCACTTCATCTTCCCTAGTTTTCGAAAGCTCCAAAGTTGGCCATATCAGGATATGAGCTGTAGCTCGCATTTTAATATTTAACTAAGGGCAGCATACAGAGACAGACTATTTACTTTGAATTGAAAACCTTGATTTTTACATTTTACAGTTTATTTTATTTACAAACAATTTGACATTTTATAACTAAAATAGTTTGGACAGTGTTGTTTAGTTTCTCAATCTAAAGTACTATTTAAAAGTTACATGATTGAGAGTGGAGATTATAACAAAATGAGGATCATTTGCAGGGCAGTGAATACTTCTGAAGGCGCTGTACTCTTTGTGATGTCACATTGTTAGACGTTTTTCTCTAAGGTATCATCTTCGGCGTTAATTTGCCTGCTGAGATGTAATAGAGTTCTACAGAAAGCTCACCAGAAAGAAATGAATACAACTTTTTCATAATGTGTACTTTACCTAAGAACTTTCTTTTTAGAAAATATTTTATTTTTAGTCTCGTTATTAATTGGTTCTTCATACTGACATTTGTGCTGGCTAGGATTCTGACTGGATAAAGTAAAACAAAAATGACTTACTGAATGTGCAAGTGTGTGACACTGAAACAAATCTAAAAACCCAAACTAACCAACAGCAAAACCATAGCAAAGCCTAACCTTTAAATACCATCTGTGCTTACCAAGGGCAGTGGAATTGTCAACATAAACAATCCACTGTCAAATTTAAACATGTAGGTATGTACATTGGTGCGTTTCTATAGCTACAGTAATTGGTTTAATTTCAGTAACTAGCTATGTCTGGATAGAGTTTGCTAATGCAGTTTGCTAACAATACTATGGCGCTCACCTGGTCCCCTTATCCCAACACCTTGGAACAGAACAGGATTATAAAATTGCCCATGAAGCTGAAATAAATTATTTTGCTTATTGAATGCTGAAGCTGTACAAATGTAATAGTGTTGTAATGCAATAGTCTTGTAGACGTGTGAGATAATTTAAAGTTTCTGCAGTAATTTGTATTTTCCATTTGACTTGATCACTTACAAAATGTGAGGGGCCTTGGGCAAAATGCAACCCTGATCTGCATTTCCTATCGATCTAGCATGTTCATTTGTAAACGGAACACTAAACATGTGTGAAATAATGATAACGCCCACTAAGACAACTGGTGTTTAACTCAGAACACAGTAGTGGAGGATAGCTAGTTCTATCTCTAGTACTCGAATGGTTTCAGGAGCCTATCTGCACTAGCTCAAGCAGGTTTCTAAAAGGATCATCTGACATTCTGTTACAACTGTTTCCCCAGGGTAACAGTACTCAAGTAACATATTTGAATATTATTTCAACTCTGATTCTTAGTGTTAGTAACTAAATAAATAAAAGCATTAGTTATAAATATACTATTCTATTTTAAATAAACACAGAGCAAGCTCCAAGGTCCTGCCAACATCTGTTTCATTAAACAATACCTGAGAAATCGATTCTGATCAAAGTGCATTGGGTATTACTCTAATTTTAGTAACTACAGCTAAATTCTACTTGTTTTTTTTGTGCAACTTTCAGAACCATATTCCAAGTAAGCGCAGCTGGGGCTACGATAAATTATAATACAATGCTTAACACTGAGCCCTCTAGACATTTCTAAGAGAACGATACAATAACAACTACAGCTATCTTAACTTTTAATTCATTATTTGCAAATAACATATTTGGGACACCTTATAAACCTCCATGGACTAGGCACAAAAGAGCAAGTTTTCTTCCCACTGCAGAATGAGAATCCGATTTGAAAAGGGAAGCCTACCGCATACTGCTACCTGTACTATAGCCAACTAGCAAGGACTTGCAAATAAGGACTTCCAAAATATGAAGCCGGAGGCACTGGGCTACCAGTGCATAAATACGGTATAAATGAGCACGATCTCTTAGTGACATTCACCAGCTTAGGACAATTTAGACTCATACAAATGTACCTATTGATATGTAATTAGCATGCCGTAAATTAATATTGGATTGATATTTCTAAGCGGAATAGACTGCTACCCAGGCTCTTTGTCACCCTTAAACAGCCGAAGAGAAAGATGAAAATAATTCCCCCAAAATCTCATCACACCTCAGCTAAAAGCATTTGGAGAACCGTGCCGTGTTTTAATTTAATTACATACTCTAAAGTCCGTCGCTAACGTCAGAGTAACCTAAAACACTTCCTCCAGATCTCAATTTGCTCTTCTTACCAAAACCGCTCTCTCTGCTTGGCTTGCCGCTGACATCTTCGCTGCGTCAGAGATCACTAAGCGATGTGATTCAATCAATGCCATGAACAGAGTGCCGCTACCGTCTTCGTCCTTGGAGCAGCTCCCACAAACCCTTCTGCTGCTGTATAAATTACTACACTCCTCCTCCTCCCGAGCTCCACCAACACTTCCGCTTTTGCGCTACACACTAATACGTCCCACCGCAACAAGAGCACTGCGGAACTAAATACTGGTTCCGCTGAAGAAAGATTTCCATTCGATTCTCTCCGTATTAAAGTTCTATTCCCAACCAAATGTCATTCTGCCAGGGAAAATTTAGCTTTCATGTGTTAAAAGGAAGGCGGAAAATCAGCCTTCAACGTTTAGTTTGTCGCTTTATACTTGTTTAAGCACCTTGGAGATTTTTGTTGCAGTATTTGGTTTTCATATTACCCATCCCTCAGACGGCAAATTTAATTCTTAAGGCTCTTTGAAAGTAAAAAAAAAAGTTAAGAATCGGTCTACAGAAATTATAAAAGTTGAAAACAAGAGCTTCACTAACGTCAAGACACTTAGCCACTTTTGGAATAAAAGGCTAATTACTGATCATAGCCTGATTTTCTTTCCTATGATTAGGACAACTACTAAATACTACACAATTATCCAATATTCTCTAACCCTCACACACGAAGAAGACTCCACAGCCCAAACGTTCCATTCTTCTCTTTTCAGCATGGAATAAACCTTTACTTGTTCCTTTATAATCTAACATTGCTTTATCTTGTTTTTACAACTGTATTGTAAAAAAATTGAAAAACGTTTTTTAAAAAAAAACTAGGAACCGTTGAAGCTTCCTTCAAGGGAACAATAATATTTTTAACATGAGGAAATATTAGGAAAAAATAAAACCACATTACACCCAAGACTTAAGTTTCTTTATTTGTGAGAAGCTTGTTAACTGCACAAAAAATTCACATTTCACTTACATACCAAATGAACATCTTAAAACGGCAAAACCTTCTTTACAAAAAAGATTTATTAGTAAATCAGTTATCCATTATTGGATATTTCTTCAACAAGCTGTTCATTGTCACATATTAAGAAATCAATTATAACATAAGAGGAAAGAAACATTTAAATGGTCAACACTCAACGGACCATCTACAGTAATTAAGACAACACATGATTTAGGAGTTCAGAGCCATTTCTTGTAATTAAATTCTTTTTATACCCCCCAATGTAATTGTATGTATCCTTTAAACTCAAGACAGACTATTTACACTTGTTAAAAGGATTAAATTATGAACATAAAAGGGATGGCCATAAACTTAGATAAGCACCACCACTCAGACTAACAATTAAATCCTATTTTGGTAAATAAGCAAATAACCTCAACTCTGTATTTGGTGGTAGAACATGTTCTTTAAAATATGCAAAACTAGGATTATTTTGTGTTTCAGATGTGCCAAAACAAAAGCAATTAAAAAAACGAATAACTTGTGGCAGTATGCATAGGTTGCTCATGGTTTGAAAAACTATTTAAATGTACAGCTTTTTATTGTAAATATTTACTAAAGTGAAAGAAGCTGTAAACCAACAAAGTGATACTTTTTGGCCAGGACATGAGGCATTTAAAATATATCCAAATATTTATTTTGGATAAAAACTGTAGTTTTTATTTTCTACCTCAAAGTAATGCAGTTTTATTATTCTAAGTCACCCACTGCCTTAGTGTTGCCTAAAGTTAACTGAATTTTCAAAAGACCCTTAAGTGGTCTATACGTTAGTCACTCAGATTCATTAAGCATTAAGGCAAAAGGAAGGCTTGCATATGCACATGAATATTGGCCCTCAAAAAACCTACAGCAATCCATAATTAAAAATGACAACTTATTACACGTATAACTACTTGTGAAGTGTTGTAATGAAAAGGGCGAGCTATCTTAACGCAGGTTTTTTCGCCCGTTGTGGTGAATTTAACACTAAAGTGGACACGACAAGGTAAAGTTTATAAGAAACGAATGTTTACAGAGATAAATTTTCTTACAGTTACAATTCACATTTTTTTAAGATATCCCATAGACCTATTTGGGTTATGCTAAATATTAACAGTCAATTTAATGGCTGATCCCAGTAAAGGTCTCATTCTAACAGACGTAGGTAATGCATTTTAAGGCATTTAAATATCCTAAATGTGAGACCTGTCACTTTGCTTTTGCATTTACATTTTCAGTTTTAAGAGTCTTAAATAAATAAATACATCTATTATATTGGGGTTACAACATTAAGGCATTGCAGTGGCATTTTCTTGGTGCTTCTCCAGCCTTATCATAATATTAACAGAATTACATAAATATATATCTTCCCATTCCAGACATTGATAGGTAATTGTTACACTGAAAATTAAATAAAACTGCAAATACTTTAAAAGAAATAATGTGAATGTATCACCAATGAAACCTAAAAAGGTTAGATCCCCTGAAAACAAATTTTCTTCAAAGGGTAAAGTTTAACTGATACATTACACACTGCATTACTTTCCCATTCATAAACGTGACCGAGGTCAAACTCAGCGATCAGCAGAGTTGACCAACCTCATTCTGAGCTCCAGACGTGCTGCTCTATCACAGTCAGTGCAATACTCAGGTTTGGCTACTTAACCAATGCTCCACTCTCACACCAGGGGAAAATCACTTTTTCCAGGTTGGCAGAAGAACATTACTTAAAAAAAGGAAATGGAAAAATCAAAGAGTGTGGTCCAGAGTTTAAATTACTTCTGTAGGATTTAGTGAATGTAGGCTCTGTAGACTGCAGACATGTCATTGTCTGACTGGTCCAGTGCTTTTGCTCTTTTATAGACCTGTCAAGACAAAAAATACCTCTCACAGATGAAAGAGAAAGGAAAAGATTTGATATATATACACACATACAAAGTACTTAAAACACAGAACTGCATTTAAGATAGTGATCCATATCCACAGTTTACAACAACTGTGGCAAGGCATGCAGATGTTTGAAAACGTTTCGACTAGTCTGCATATTTTCAAAACTTGATTTTTACATAGTTTTACCAAGTAAATAATTTAAAGGCGGGTAAATGGCACTGAAATTAAAACATCCAAATATTAAAGAGTTCAATTTAAATTAAGGATAAAAACAAATTAAACACTTTCAGTACAAAGACTTGGGTTTTCTCTTAATGTACGATGATTTCAGTAAATTGTTCTTGCAAATCTCAAAGCATGTAATGAAAATATTTTGACCCTTTAAATTGTTTCATATATGTACAAATGACTCATACTTTTCGCCCTAAGGTTTCACTTAAATTGTTAATTTAAAACCTTGTGCATCTTCTATCTGATGAAATCTACTAGCAATGCTGGGATTAAGACTTCAAATTAAATGTTTTTAATTCACCTCCTTTATATTCTGATTTCACAGAGCTTCACATTTTGCCAAAAGGAAGGAAAGTGACAGTGACAGCATTTAATATATGGAACAAAAACAAAGTTAATTAGCATCCCACTCCCCCAACCTGACTGACAATAGTAAGGATAATTACCTCAAAAAGCGCTGTATAACAATTTATGAAAATTAAAAAAACAATACTGGCTCGTTTACAAATGTGAGCTACTCTAACAGGAAAAATGAAATTTTGGTTAATAAAATGTATCATGTTTATGTCTGGGGCACGAAAGAGATTAAAGATCACACACCCTACAGTATTTTGTGTAATATCCTTCAGCCTTGTGAAACCCCAGCTCAGCGCTCAGGCTTCATCTCACCTCATTGGCTGCTGCCGCCATTGGAGTTGGATGATTGACAGAATCGCCCATTGCGATGGCTAACCTGAGGTCCTTCTGAATATGTTTCAGATAATAATCAGGCTTGAAGTTACCCTGCAACACATCTGAAAATGACACGAGGGAAACTTATAACAACGGAACTGAGAACAATCGGCACACTCATACAACATTAAGGCAAAGGGTAGGCACAAAAGGCCTCAAAATTTAACAGTCCAATATTTTACCAGCTTTAGGACACATATAATACAGAAAACAGACTGTTACCTTTGTATGTAACATCATATGGATATTTAAGATGACAATGCTGCCGTAAAAAAATTAAAAAGAATTGCAATTTTTAAAGATAAGAGTCAAGATGATGCGTGAAGCCTACACCGGAACACCAACGTTAATGATTCTGCAATCAGGTAAGCCAATTTGTACTCGATTTTAACAAGTTCACAAAAGCGCATAAAAAAGCATATTAAAACTTGATTAAGCAGTTATCAATCAAATGCTCACTTTGGCATTTCTGGTCCAGGAAAGAACTTGCCATCTGTCCTTGACACAAAATATCTAAGAAGGTCTGCTGTGATTGGCCGGTGACTTGTGCCAACGTCAGCCCCTCGGCAATCGTCGCCATGAAGCTCCCCTGCACCATATTAAGGATCAGCATCATTTTTGCAGCATTACCCACCTCACCTACAGAGTGGAACAAACAACGGGAGATTTTTAATTAACACAAATGAACTTGACCGATCTGAACTGCCAGAACCACTATCTTCCCATAATGACTATTTTACTAAGGATGCCAACAGCTGCTTTAAAGCACATTTGCTTTCTTTAGATACCTAAGAAAAAAGACGTCTTTCCCATAGCTTGGAAACAGCTGCTACAGTCTTCATAGAGCGTTCGGTCTCCAGCAGCTAAAATCACGAGCATCCCATCATTGGACAGCTGCTGGCTCCCAGACACCGGAGCCTCCAAGAAGCGGCCCCCTCTGGAAGTGATCACCTTAAAGAACAACAGCGAGTTAAAACGAGTGAATAAAACTGCCAGGTTTCAAATTCAACAACTGCAAAAGTTCTTCTGACAGGCCATCAATCACATTATGTGGAGAGTAGGAACAGTTGCTTAAGCATTACTGTTTCAATGAAAGGCTGAAGGATATGTTAAGTTTTGTTCCACATGAACACTAAATTATTAAATGGAACACAACTCTGGTTTGACTGATTGTGGACAAGAAGTTCCAGGGCGTTAGAAACCGATGATTTAACGGCTTTCTATACAGCCTTGCTGGAGCGGGGACTCTCCAGGACCGGGGCTGGCAAACCTTGCAATAGGTCCTTGTGCACCCAAACGCCTGCAGGTCGTTTTGCCTGAGCACCCAATTAATTTAACCCTTATGAGGCGTAAGGGGTTTAAGCCAAGACCACAACTGTAAGGAAAAAAATAGCAGGTGTAAATCTCAACAGGACTGGGAACCCCTGCATTCGTTAAAGAGAATCTTGTTCAACACACACATGCACTAAAAATACAATACACTATCCACAAAAGAGCATGGCAGGCTGGAGTGAAACCCCCCGAGCAGTGAGGCACCCATTCAGGGCAGAGAACATCTTTATTACTTTTATTTGGAAAAAACGAAAATCTTAACATGCTATCATGACAGTCAGTCGTGTTTAACAAAAGACGTGCACATAGACTGCAGTGAGAAATAACCCTTGCTGCTTCAAACAAACGTATAAGCAAAACCTTCAGGATCACGATTGAATACGCCTAGCTTTCCACTGCAATGAAACAATACCAAGTAATAAGCCATGTCTTTTCTCTTCATTTACAAATCTGAAATAATGGAGTGTTCAAATGTTCTTAGAAAACTTTGAAAAGTGCTTACCTGTGATAATTCTGCGACTGTCTCTGGATCTACAGTGGACATTTCAACGTAACATTTCCCTGGTCTAATTCCCTGCAGTACACCACTGGGGCCAAGCACAAGCTGAAGAAACAAGCAGGTAAGTGATGTAAGGAATGATATTCACTGAACAAATGCCTCTTTTAGAATCCTTCTGACAAGAGGGCGGCAAAGAACCCAAATTTACTGAATTCTACCATAAACAAGAATAGCATTTTTAGATATCCTGAACATAAACTATTTTTAATACTTTTAGGGAAGAGGCATATCTCAAGACAGCATTCCCAACTTGGTGCAAGACATGCACCACAGATACACCGCCTCAGGGCTTCCCACAGGACAGAGCTCCAGCCAGGCAGTACCCTTCACCCTCCCCAGCCAGCCCTCATGCTGTCTTACAGCTGGATTACTTTACAAACGGACCAGCTAACTAGCCGCCTTACCGTTACTCAACTATTATACCAAACAAGACATTATATGACGGAATTTGATTATGCAGGATTGAGAAGTTGAAGGCTATCCACAATGCCCAAGGAAGAGCTCTGTGCTTCAACACATTGCTATTTGCTCTTTTCTATATGAACCAAGGCATCATGTCCTTTGGTATTGAGGCAGTCTTTTTCATGGAGGAAATTCAGCAGCACACAACAAAGTGACAGTATTTATATGTAACACAATGATTCAACTGCAAGAAAACCCTGCAGTTTTTTCTGTCTTACTAAGCTCTTAGTACTCAAGCGCTTAAAACCCTAATGCATGAGATTTTCCCCCCAAAACTGCAACTGCATACTATTATAAAGGGTTTAAAGGAACAAGTGAAGGTTTATCCCATGCTGAAAAGAGAAGATACAATGTTTCAGCTGTAGAACCTTCTTTGTGTGTTACCATGCACAGTACAAATAAGTAGACTTGGTACTAATAAACATTTAATCATCATAAGAAACATCTGTTCAACAAAGTGTCTGTTCACATGCATCCAAAACAGTCCATTTCTGCATAAAATTTAATTTAGAAGTGGTAGGACTCTTTTCATGCTCAGTATATAAAAGATTGCTTATTGTTAACCATTGATAACTATTGCTTACTGTTACCCACGGCAACAATTCTACTTTACTACTGAACGTAGGGTAAACCACTTACGTCCTTGGCAGCCTTTGGGTCTGAAACGCAGGAAAAAGTGACATCACACATAGACACAACCTCTGCTGGAGTTCGCCCTAGTCTGGCTCCTTCTTGGATAAACAAGTCACACTGAAAGGAAGCGAGGTTACTTATTCAAAAGTACTTTGAAGAAAACATTTGAGTTAACTATTAATGGCTCAATTTGATAAACTCACAAATACATATCCTCAACAAAACCCACCAATAATCTTGAGACCAAGCAAAGATCATTTATTTTTTTCAAGTGATTCAAGAAACGACATTACTCTAGTCAGCTTTACAGTCTTGGTTCTTGGAAGGCACCTGTAAACTGTAAAACCTTTTTCGCTTAAATGATGACCTATAAATTGTGAGAAAAGCAAGAACATACAGGCTGTGTTTTGTACAAAGTCACAACAAAAAGGGATACTTGTTTAAACATTAAACTAGTATACCCTCAGTGAGGATGTATGTGATTTGGGCTACTTTTGCACACTATTAATCAAAAAAGGAAGGTTACTTGATGAAATGAGTCATTACACCTTTTGCATACATGTCATACCAGGAATTTATGCACAGCACCTACAAAGCTTTAAGTAGGTACTTTTTATGACCTATTGGTGAAGTATTTTAAGAGTGCAGCACAACTGCTAAAAGGTGTAACCAAAACTCAAATATATGGCTTAAAGAAGTGACTATCGCACAGCATATTCTTAAAAAAATGTAAAAGTGACATCTTACACAATTTTCGGATACCCTTACGACCCACGCAAGCAATTTTCCATTTAAATTAAACAGCAATTTCCCCCCTGACATTCACTGAAGTCTAAAAAAGTAGCTACAACAAAACTATTTTACCTTTTCTGCTGTGCGGTTCCAGACTGTGACAATGTGACCCATCTTTAAGAGGTTTGAAACTATTCCACTCCCCATCAATCCAAGGCCAAGAAATCCTATCCTATTGATACATTAAAATAAGAAAAAATGTTAATGCATGTCCTTATTAAATCGGGCACCTATCCTACTATGCAATACATTTAAAAAAGTTCATATACGTTTGTCAATGGACAGTAATTGTGTGTGACCTTATTACATTTCCAGAATTGACAGCAACAGTAATCCAAGGTAATTAAACCCATATTTAAGAGATTTAAAAAATACCTTTAATTTAACCCAGATTCAGTAGAGTGAAAGAAAGTGTACCTTTTGTCTGTAGGGGTGATAATGCCATTGACTGCTGTACTATCAGCTGCTTGAATAGATGTAGATCCAGTGTCCTATTTAAAAAGAAAGGCATGTACTTCACAGAGGATGTAATCTAAGAAAACCCTATGCATACCACAATTAAAAAAAAGAATAAAGCACAATGTTGGAAAAGAAACAACTCAGAATAGACTTTGCTGGCAAATTTCCAGATTGTACAGCACAAGGTAGGGTTATCAGACCTATGAAAACAAATCAGACATTGTTAAATACTAGCTGGGATTACAGAAACAATTTTGTAGGGTACAGTGATAAATAAATGTATACTAGTGGATTGTTTATTAAAAATCAACACCAAACTGTGACCCAACAAGCCTAACAAAATGTATAACATTTGATATATGTATAAAAAATAAAACTCTACAGATTTGATGGCATACAAATACATAAAAGAGATGCATTAATAATGCAAATGAATCTCAGTTTGCTAGCAATTTGCAAAACGTAGACTGTCTTACCTCCTCAATAACCTTCAGCCTCTTGCTGATGGGTTCCAATGAAGAAGCCGGCTGTACATAAAGAAATCACAATGTGAGACCACCAAGCACTGCCACTACACACTAACTTCCACACAAAACAAGCCCATCAAAATAATGTGCAATGCTATGCAGTGCTAGCCATTTCCATTCTAATAAAACCAAAACGGTGTTAATATGCAACAGAACAACTCTAGTATGTTTTACTTTTGATACAAATAACACAGAAAAGAAACGTTATTCAAAACCATATTTTCAATCCTATTAATTTCAACAAATAAAGACCTGTTAATTCCAGACAGGAAACCATAGACGAGCTCCACAATTTCCTGTGCACGTAAACTCCACGTCCAGACAGCACCCACTGCCCAGCCTGCCCCCTGCTTACCTTCTCTGACTGGCTGAGCAGAAAGTGATGGAAGTGAGGGTCATCCTTTACTTGCTACAAAAGAAGAAAGTTTTATCAAAAGTTTTATTCTAAACAGACTTGTTGGACTGATAAGTGGTAATACAGCAAAGCTACTAAAGTGATTTGCACACAGGTCATTTTGAACAAAATAAATAACCACAGCTATAAAAATAGCATAACCATTACCCAAAAGTAAAACAAATGTGAACGATGAGTAATATACACATATCTCATGATCACAAAAACGAATTGCTTGTTTGCAAAGCAAAATAAGTTTTGTCTTTGCTGTACAAATATTGTTGGGGGACAATGCATTTCAAGCAAATATCTTTTATCAACAGACATGCATAAGACACGACCAGTTGGATAACACCTCATAAATAAACGTACATTACTCTCCCACTTAAATGCAGAAACTGTTCCAGCCACCAATCGCTGTACAGAGGAAGGTTCAGGATCTGTTAAATCCTAAAAAAAACATTTACATTATTAGATTGCAATCACATTCCAGCTTGATCAGGTGCTGATAAACAAAGACCTAGAAGACAAAAAAAAAAGGAATAAAAACAGGTAACTCCAAATCAAGGGATTTTTTGAGGTGACAATGTGTAATGTCATACACTGTTAAATGTAGAAATATGTTATCTTCATTTAATTGGCCTTAACTGTAAACATCATACCGACTACAGGAGAGGTACAAATGTAATAGGACTACCAACTACAAGTAGCCACCGATTGACATAAGTCATAAATATGTTTCAGTATAACATTAAAACTAAAGTGTAAATGTGTTAAATATGCCATGACCTTAAACATACAAAACACTGGATATAAAATTCCAAAGCACATCACGTTTCCAAGTGCAGCGATTGTGCAGTGAACATTGGACTCACACTTGACCAATGTCATGCAGCTGCGATTATATAAACACTCAAAATTTAAGTTCTCTAAGTGTAGGGCATCTCATTCTTATCTTCTATGGATGCATTTTATTCCCAACTCTAATTAAGGTCTCATTTAGGTTATGGTGCATGAATATTTGCAAATATCCAAGAACATGTTAACTACCCATATACCAAATCACCGTGAGGTGCCACAAAGACAAAGAAAGCATGAATTTTAAACTTAAGTCTGACTGAACTCTGTAGCAGGTGTGAGCAAGCTGCATTCTACAAAGTTCTACTTAGGCACTCTGATTAAATCACATAAGTATTCATTAAAAAAGTACTTAAAAGCCAAATACTTAAAATAATCTAAAGTGTATTTTAAAATGTAATTTATACAAGCTGCTTCACAAAATACTCACAATTTCTTAACAGCATTTTACATTGTTGTGACGTACAAAAACTTTCAGCCATTTTATTATATTTTAAACCACAATGAATGCTGATATCTTGTCCAAGAGAATAAACAAACGATTACAAGTAATTTCACTGATGTTTCATTGTAACAATTTTAACAATTAGCTCACATTTGGGATTTTCTGGCTGCACTTTATGACACAGATATGTTTATATCCAGCCATCAACCACCCCTTAGAGATGAAGATCTCAAATCCCCTTTGGAGAAATGCTCACAGAACCGGTTCAGTGACTCTGTAGCCATCATCTTTTTAATACTTTGTTGCGCAAGCTTAAAACCAAACAAACAAAGCTGGCTTCAGCACAGTGTTGGACAGCACAATTCCACATACTTTCCAGGGACTATTCTTGTGATCAGTAGGAACAGAACTGGAATAGCTTAAATAAGTATTTGCACAAGGTGCCCTTTGCCGTCTCTAACCTTGTCTTCTTTTGGAGGGCGGCCTCGTCGGCGCAAACCAAGGTCTTCATCATCATCAAGTGGCAATTTCACCATTTTTGCAGCATTTTTTCTGCCTTTTACGTCTGCGGCATTTGATTTGTGTCTTTCTTCTGAATTACTGGAATTGTGGGATGCCTAAATAGGGAGCAAAGACAAACAGGTTACCGCAAGCAAAAGTGGCACCGAAACTCACCGAAACAGCCTTATTTCCCCAACACCACGACCCATCAATAACGGAGTAATTAAATGAAATCTTGAGAATTAACGGAAACATTAAAGTTATTCTAAACGACGCAATAAAGGCACATTTCAAAATGTTCACTCATTATACTGTAGCTCAAGGATTTAACTGATTTTGTTTCACTACAACGGCACAGGAATAAGATTCTGATTTTTTTGCAAACTGGAAAAAATTAAGGCCGACTTCCCTTTAAGATGTAGAAATGGCACCGCAGTGTGTGCATCAGGTTCAGTCGACCCAAAGCCGTTACCTGTTCCTTTCCTTTTGCTTTCTTGAGGAACTCCTCCACTGCATCCACAGCTTGTTGGAAACGCTTGCCTTTGTTGATCTTGATCATTTCTTCCTTGTGGGGGTGGTAAGGCTTCAGCTGCTCGACCTTTATCCAAGCACTGGAAAAGAAACACAGGCATCGCCGTTTTGAGAAAGCTGCCGCGAGAGAACCATCGCCAACCGTTTGTAACTTTTTAAAACATGGTGGGGGGGGGTGGAACTCCTTACTGGTCTTCAGTGCCAAAAAACTTCACAAAGAAACATTTTTTTCCTCTCGGTTTCTTCAAGTCTTTCGGTGGACTTACTATCTAAAAAGAAAACACAGAACGGTGTTAAAATGGGAATTAAACTTACAGGAAGACCCTGACAGAAGGCTCACCGACAGGGAAAAGATAAGCACAATCATCCATCACACTTTCAGGAAAACTGCAAAATTTACAAAACCTAACTAGAATTCCCCCCCTCCCATCTTTTAAACATGTTATGACGGATGTTAAAAAACCCTCCCCATTATTTCACTAAAAATAGTTCACAATTTAGGAATGTTACCAACTGTAACATCTTTAAAACAACTCCTGACCCATCATGAACTGGTGCACTACTTAAAATGTAATGAAAAAATGAAAGATCGGCAACTTTGGAGAGAACACGGATTTGAAATGAATTTACTTTTCCTGGCCAAGGTGGATACCGTCCCAGCTTCCCCCTGAAAAAGAAGAAACATTTCAACTAACGCAACACAACCGATGGTTTCCTTCTCGATACTTCAATTATGCAATGGTTTGAAATGTAGTACCACAGACGGTCTGAGCCTTACTAGTTCATACTATGGCCGAAACATTAGGTAACAGAGAGAACTGTACTAATGTAGTAACAACGACTGCCTGTGTGCTGCAATGTACTGTAAAATTAATTAAATGGTGATATGTAAACAAAGTGCAATACATGGGAAATCGCCTATATTTGACAGTGTGAAAATGAAGAGAGGGGTACACGATTGTTAAAAACGTGAAGTCACATCGTCGAATGTACATCAAGTCTCCGTTTACGTTAAAGTTTAGGAAATACGACTGAAAAGTAAGTTCCTCCCGCTCGGGTTCAATAAAGGAGCAGGATAAAATGTTTTCAGCAACGAGGAAGCGATAACATCTGGAAATAACGTTGCCACAAGACTAATAAAGGTGTATATATGAAATGTTGTGCTACATGTAGTAAAACTGAACTGTTTGTTCTAGACTGCGGCTAAAAAAAAATAATATACGGATTGCTGTTTTTTTTACGAAACGCTGTTTCTGTGCTGGCTGTAATCACTATTTTCAAGATCATTTCTGCAAAGAAATACCTGCCATTTGCTCAAGCAAGTAAGCAAGGGCACCGCGCAAGCGACTCCGTTTAAATCACCCTCAGCAGACGTCATGCAGCTGAAACTAAACGAATAAGCACAAAAATCTCACCAAACCAAATCGCCGATCCTCAGATGCACGGCCGCCATCTTAGAAAGTTGGTTAAAACGCCGCAGTGCATCCAGGGAAGAAGAACACACCCACCCGCGTCACGTGGTCCCGGACGGCCGTCGCGGCGCCTCTGCACAGCTGCTGCTCCTACCGGAGAGGGCGTCTGTGCTGGAGGGGTTCGGGGGGTTTGGATAACTAAGGAAAGGTACCAAAAAATAAAGTTACATAGCAAAGGCGCAGGGCTTGGAGGGACCTGTTTGTTCTTTGCAAATCCAGCCCCAGCAACCACTTGCACGGATTGAAAAAGGATACCCTTTTTAAGAGCCGTTTGTAGAGAATTGATGTCACACCGTGAACTGCTTGTGAGATATATGTGCAATAAATGTTATTTTGATACAAAAATATAGCAAAGGGGACCTGTATCCTTAACACCACCACCTACACGTTGCATGGCTTAGATCTCCGATTTGAATCGAAACGGTGCCATTTTCAAAGTGGCCGGGAAGCGCTGCGAGTGATCTCTTTCGTTGCTTTACTGCAGCAACCAGCCAGCAAAATGCACCGTAGGCGAGGCGGCTGATGTCTCGCTATGGTTTCCTCGGCACCTCAATGCAGTGCGGGTGATGCGCCAGGGGCACTTTGCTTTCTGGGGAGCTTAGGAGCAACGGGTGAAGTACAAATGTCGTAGGAAACAATGAAACTGCTGCCGTTGGCTACGGGCTATATCAGTCCAGAGCTCGATAACCACAGACGTTTATAAAGAGCGACCCCGCCATTTTCACATGCGAGTTGGAAAGCCATTTTGCTAAAGAGGAAGTAGAGGCACTTCGTCTACGGATTAAAAAAACATCGAAAACGCCCTCCAATCAGCCTCATGTTGTTTAGGTGTTTCGATACTCATCACTGAACACATTTGTCTTTAAAACCGGATATGCGAAGTGGAAAAGTGAACGTGCACATTGCCGTTTAGCAAAGGAGACAATTCGGCACCAATCCCCAGAATAGCAGGATATATATTGGGAGAATGCGCGACCAAAACGTGTACAGAACTACAAACGACATATGCACTTGGAATAAATCAACAGACGCCATTTTCTCTCCAAGTGTAGTATAGATCTCTTCTATTGGGGCAGTGTCTTATTTTTAGCTATCTACTGAAAACAAGTATTGTTTACAGCTTTTCAATTTGATTTTCTTTAAACATTTTGACTTAATACGACGTACCTCTTTCGTTTTGGTGCGTATACGTGATTATATCGTATAAAACTGCATTACAGAAACATTTTTGTGAGATGAAAAAAAATGTGCACATCAAGGTGATGTCAGGGGATACAGGAAAATTTCCGGTTAGAAGCTCTTGGCCACTCAACCTCCTGGGGTGTCAGAAGCTGGTGTTCAACGCTCGTCCTTTAGGCGTCCCTGTTGCCGCTCATCTCGGAAATCATTAACTAATCAGCATAATTGAGATCAATTATACAATTACCAACTCGTTATGAAATAATTGATGCAAAACAATACATTGACACAATCGAATAAAAGCGTAAACAAAAATCTGAACCACACTGGTGACAGGGAGTTCTTGTAAGACCTGCAACGGAAATAGAAAACAGGTGTGTCTTATACATTAGAACCGCATTATGGAAACGGGACCAGATTTGTTTCATTTGATTGGTAAACCAGATGACTATTATATCGAGCAGCAAAATATAAAGCATTGGACGCTTTCTGCTTTTTTAATTGAACTGTGACAAGTACATACTCTTCAGTATCTGCCTTTTCTTCTTCTCTTCCAATTTTTATATATTTATACTGTATGTGCTACTTAATCTTAATTGTGTTATAGTATCCATTCTTCTCACACCACTATTCTATTGTTGCATTATATAAATGTTTCTGACATGACTGTTTTTAATTTACTGTCTGTGGCACTATGAAAACGAACGTTTCAATGTTTACAAAGTTCAAATGATTAAAAAAAACTTGCTTTAAGATATTCGGAGCAAAAATATTTAAGTTCGTTAGAAATAAACAGATCTGTACAACAGAAATTTGTACAGTGTAGTGCAACTTCCATCGCAACAGGTTTCCTGCACCCGTTACCTGTAACTAAACAGTTTTAGACCGTTAACGTGGGAAGAACACAAAAAATAACTGCAAGATAAATTGTGTTTTCTTTTATTTTAAAACCGTCTTGCGCTTATCGCGGTGATTCTCAGAACATTAACAATGTAATTTACAGATTGCCTTTTATTATACTAATAATCGCATTATTGCTCTTGCTCGGTGCTACAACCTGCTTTCAACCAAGTAAACGCAAGCACACGTAAACATTTTATTTAGCTCCACATATTCTTGCAATACCTCTCTACACCCCCCTTATTTCATGCATTCGGCCCACGACGTCCCATGTTTGTGGTTTACTGTGGCTTTGGTAGCTGGATTAACTCCACCAACATGGCCCCCTGCCTCACATTCCTCCCGAGACACGAGAGCTAAATTCTCGGCGTTTTTTTTTACCAGAATGTAAATATTATGAGGTATTAATCGTGCGACGCTGCGGCGCAGGGTGATGACGACGCCGCCGGTTCTATCTAAGGTCCTATATAAAGTCCAGAGCGAAAGCAGAGGGAGATCGAGGGGGTTAAATGAATTTGAAATTAGTGTGAATTGCTTAGTTTGCGTGACTAAATTACGTAATGTTTTCTAAAATATATTTGCATACCTTAACGCCGAAGTAGTGTGGCTTGTTTCTGTTGAGTGCTGAAATGTTTATGACGTGAAAACTACTCAGAACGTGGATAACTGTTCCCCATCTTTTTTTTTTCCTGTCGTCTCGCAGGGCAAAACATTTATGTTTTTCCAGTGTTTTTTGTTAGCCGATATTGGGAGATATACAATTTTGTGCTGTGCCACATTCGCCTTGTTAGTTGTCTGCTGCTTTTGCATGCGTTGTATTTACTATTTCGCCATCATAAATGATGGCAGGACTAAGAGACATGAATTAGGTCAAAAATGTTGTGTGCAATTAATAGATGTGTCACGCAAAAGTTCGACCTAATACGAGATAAAGGGCACCCTTCGGGATCAAAGGGGTTATTTACCTGTACGTCATGTGGCTTTGTAGAGTCTAAACGATAACTGTTGGCTCAGTACACATCAGAAATGTAAGCCTGGTAAAGATATAAACGCACAGACTCAAACAAGTGCTTCCAGGAGTTTGATTACGCTCTGCTGGGGGTTGGAAACGCGTAGTTACTCATGGCTGAGCCACGCAGGGTACAGCTGACCACTCTCTGCAGCAATGTCCCCCTTCCTTCAAGTTTGCTAAAGATTCCCCCCAAGGAGGACATATCCGCTGTGTGCAGCCCCTTGGAGCAGGAGACGTCTCCGGCAACTGCACGCCTGGTGCTCGCCCTCTTTGAGCCCGATCAGCGGCGCTGTCCAGAGTTTTATTACCCTGAACTCGTGAAGAAAAAGGTAAAGACCTGTTCTGTATTTGGCTGCTTTTCCAGTCATTCACGTAGAAATGAATGTCTGAAAAGTCTGAAGTTGTTAAAGCATGTGATGGGGGGGGGCGCATTGTGAACCCGCTGTTAACGCTTAGCGTTTGTTTGTGATTGTATGTTTTAATCAAGTCGGTATGAATCCCTGAATGGGTAGATCTATTGCCTTTTTCTTTGCATGTGAAGCATCTCTGACCCGCTCTACCAAAAGAAAAGATTCGGGGTCTCAAACATTTTAACATCTCACCGTTCTCAAGTAAGCTGTGGAGAACGGCCATCGTTCAAGTCGTCCGTGGAGACTGTGCAAGAACGTCTAACTAAGAAGTCTATCAGCATCAAGAAAAGAAGACCTTGGGCGAAAAACTTTGTTGTAGAGTCCAATATTTAAAATTATTTGTACTCACTGTACATTCGACAATAACTCAATACAATTGAAGTGGAACACTGTACTGAAAACATTGTTGCATGCCGATGTTTTGCCTTATCCAACAGCCCCAGTTTAAACACTTCACTCTTCCCCCCCAGAATAATGCCTTCAAGGGAACAGCAGTAACACTGGAGGAGGAAGAGAGTGCGTCGCAGAGACAAGAGGCCGAAGCTCTTGCTAAGAAGTTTGAAGAAAAATATGTTAGTATTGTCCTTTATGAACCCCAGGAAAGATTCTAAAGGGCGTCTTGGTGAATGTTCTTGTTTCTTTTGTCAGGGTCCAAAGAAGCGCAAGAAGGACCGTGTGCAGGACTTGATTGACATGGGATACGGATACGACGAAACAGACCCGTTTATCGACAACTCCGAGGCTGTAAGTTGTCTGCCTTGCAAGTTTGAAAGTTTTTCATCTACCGGCACTTTTGTCTTCTTCAGACAGACTTTGTGAAAATGACGACCAGGGAGGGCTGATGGAGGTCAGCTCTTCTGCCCGCTGGTCTGCTGTCCGCAGTGCTCTCCAAAACCTTCTCTAGAGATGCCTGTTGTTCACGTCCTGTGTGCATGTTACATGAAAACTTCTGACTTTCTGAATGGTATTTACCTCCTATTCACCCTCGTAGGAGCACTTTATGAGACCGAGTGGTGCTTTCGAGGGCCTCACACAGCAGTCGTGCACGGTGTGCCTTAGAGGTCTTCCTGTTGTCAGTAAGGTGTGAGAGTGGAGCTTGCAAGCTGCTGAGGAACATGTAGAGGGTTCATTCGGTGCTGAAAAGAAATAAATGTCTGGGCTCCAAGTCATTTCTACAGACACCCCAACAAAAAATAGTTTTTGTCTTTTAAGATGCCTTTTGTGTAAAAAATGCACTGGAAACTTAAGGATTTGTCTTTTTATTGATACAGTATGATGAATTGGTGCCGGCTTCACTAACGACAAAATACGGCGGATTTTACATCAATTCTGGGACTCTGCAGTTCAGGCAGGCATCAGAATCTGAACCTGAAGATGATTTTACTCAAGAGAAGAAGAGACTGAAGTCTCCGAAGGTCAGAGGACTTTTTTCTTTTTGCAGGCTGTTTTAAGATTTAGTCTTATAATGTCTTTATTTTTCCCAAGGGGAACTGTAAGGGTCTTATAATATACAGCATATTAAACCACGTAGTAAAAAGAGTCGGGACATGAGTATAATAGTGATATTTTGTGAAATGTATGAAGGACAAAACTATTCAAGAACTATATATTCATATAAGTGCTAAACAAAGAGGGATGCGTTTGAACTAAAATAACGCAAAGCATTTTTTCGCCTTTTTGTTCGCTCCCACTTGCATACAGAAAAAATTAAAGGATGGAAGTGATAAAATAAAAAAGAAGAAGAAAGAAGAGGGTCAACATAAAAAACCCAAGAATGCTGGGTGAGAAACTCCAAGACATCACTTTTAATGTCTTAGGTTTTTGTTAGTAAAACATTAGGTTTAAGTCTTATCTTTTACATTTGTCTTTAAGTGCTTTATACTTGTTTTCCTGACTTATAAGTATGTATTGAAATTGCATATTTCTTGGTCTTTCATTTGAACTTTTCATATGTGTAAATTGTTGTCCATTTATCCGAACTAATGTTAAAAATTAAGCACAAGCACAACAGCAAAACAAAGAGCCACTTACTGTTGTAAACTATACGTGATATTCGCATTAAGAGTTTTTGTTTTCGTGCACCAGCATCATGCCACTTAACGCCAACGGGGAGAAGAAGAAAAAGAAGAAACAGGCTGGAGCCTTGAGTGTGGATGACATGCTGAAGGAATCCCTTGAAAAAGAAGAGCCTAAGCAGAGCCACGGCCATCAGGCTGCCGCCCCCTCGATTCGAGAGAGTGATTGCACCTTAAATGCATCTGACCCTCTGCTTTCTCTCATTGGCTCTGCGAACGAGAGTGATTTGTTTCAGGCTGCTAGCTCTATAGACCTAGGGGATATCGATCTGGACAAGCTCCTCTATGACTCGCCTGTCACTAGCCCGCTAGGCTTGGATGAAAACAGTGACCCCCTGTCGGGGGGACAAGCTCAGAAACAGCCCCCCACACTGCCTGAAGGACTGCCGACGGCTTTGGAGAAGCGCATCAGTGAGCTGACGCAGGTGAGGCGCGCTGTTTGTGAGCTATCGGATAGGAAGCTCTGGTCAGTTGGCAGCGTCCACAGGGAGGTGCGGTTTAAACGAGTTACGAGATCAACCACAGAGAACGGTTGCAGGTTTTTGTTTTATTTTGAAGTTTAGAAGAGAAATGTTTGAGTGGTTGTCATTGGGCAGGGGGGGGTATGTAACATGAATTCCTATCCTCAGTTCTGGAAAAGAAAAGGCACATTGGCAGGACGGCACGTAGGAAGTCATGTTCTGCTGCCTTGTGTATTAGGGTTTTGTTTCAGTAGGTGCTGTTGGTTATCTTAACGGAGCAGGTTCTTGTTACTCCCGTACTCTGTACCCCATCAATAACATGCTGTCTGGCGTGAGTAAGGGTCAATGTCAATAGGGATAAACAGGGAGGGAGCCACATAGTGGGGAATATCGTAGAAATCCAGCTCACTGGGGAAGAAGCAAAGTGGAATTTGGTGTGAGGCAAATGTCTTTCATACAACATTTAAAGTGCAGAGGGAGAGCAGACTTTACAGCTGCTGAAATTTGGTGACGTTTTTTTCTGTAGAAGTGATCCAGCTCTTGTTAATGATGCTTTAAAGAGTAGTTGTTGGTACACTTTTCCAATATTTTATATTAGAACCAGCTCCTTAAAGTACTTTGAAGGCTTAGGAACTTTTTTTTTAAATGTGATTCCTACCTTTGTGCAGGAGAAATTCGGGAACATGTCTGTATACGTTTAAATTCCGGATCTCGCACTCTAGCCATTAAGATCTTTTCTGTTGTGGCCAGTCTGCAGAGTTAAGTTGTAAAGAAGTTTGTCTTTTTCTTTCAGTCTTAATGCATTTAGGTTTGTAACATCATAATGTAAAATATGGTTAGTATTTTATACATAGCACAGGCCCTATAGAGCCATAAATATTATTAAAGTTAACTCTGAACTCTTTTTTTTTTCCATACTAGGCTGCTAAAGCTTCAGAAGGTGAGGGAAAGCAGAAGTTCTTTACCCAGGATGTTAACAGCATGTTGCTTGAGTAAGTATCACTGGTGGGATGAATCCTCTTCTAATCCAGCAAGAGTGCAGTTGGTCATAGCTGTTGAATATCACACTTGAAGTTGACAGACACTTGCTGCAAAGTAACAATTAACGGTAAATTCCACACTGATAAGTAGAAAGTTCCTTGGTGTGTTAATCCCTCTCCAGGTGCTCGCGCTGGAAGAAGGCTTTAACAGCTCGGATGTTTTTCATTCCGCTTTCTGGAGCAGAATGCCAGTTGAGTTCTTTTGCAGGCTGACGCAGCTCCCTTGTCCTTAACTCCCCGCTATTGAGTACGTGCAGTACGCATATTGCATAGCCTCCTGGCTGCTTTCACTATTGATTGAGTGTCCGCTCTGCTGATGCGTGGTTTAACTCCCCATATTGTCTTTACCTGCAGCAGTATGTACATTGCACTTCCAGCTTCCCATTTGATCCCAGTTGTTTTGTTGAACCTCAAGTAAAAGGAATAACTAATGCAAGGCGTGTTGATCATCAATTCTGGACATCAACAGAGGGCATGTTGCACGACACGTGAATGTTTTTAGACTTGTTTTTGGTTATTGCTTAAAACTTTTGGGCAGTTTTTTTGGTATTCATTGTTAATGGATGTGGTGCACTTGGGCAAGAATTAGAGTGACTTCAGTGTAGCAGAGCAGTTGTTTTTAAGGGTTTTATGATCTCGGTGCCTGGGGAAGGATTGAATTCATTCCGCCCCGAGCTATAAGCTTTATTTAAAGAGATTGGTGCCGGCATTCACCCACACGTTAAGTGCATGTAACTGAGCTGTTGCTTATTAGCAGCCTCTTTAAATCATCCCATTAACAGTCTCTGCTCAGAGCTCCCTTGGAACCTCAGTGTGCTCTTCCAGGGCAATACAGACTCTCGCGTTGTTCACCAAACAGAGTTTCTCGTGTGATGAAAATGTGCTGTGGGTGCTCTACTTATCAAACATGTGTCCCTTTGAGTATCTGTGGGATGTTGGTCAATGTGTGATATTTAGGGCAGAAATACAATGGAACTAGCTGGTGTTTGGCCAGGGAACAGAATCCTGAAACTAAGTATCCTGGAAAAATCTAATAAAAACGTTTGAGCATGGACACATGGTTTTGTTTCCCCCCTTTAAAATGCAGTGGTGGCAAAATAAAGACACTGAAAGTACTCAAAACTAATCCCAGAACTGAAGTTGCTCCTTGGGCATTTACACAAGGAGTGGCCAAGCATTCAGACAAATGCTGATGATCCACAACACGCACTTTAATTCGGGTTTCAGAGCATTAAGGGAGTCCATTACGTGGAAAAAATAAAGCTCTGTGTGAGGCTGTACAGTAAGCAGTCCTGCCAGCTCGCTCATACAGTGGCGATGAAAGAGGTGCCAGTTTGGACTGATGATCCTGGGAGAAAGACTTCAATAAATAAGAGACTATTTCTACACGTGCCTGTTCTTCTCTCGACGTGTGATTCGGTGTCGTCTCATTTTGTGCCTTTAGCATTGAGCTTCAGTCCCGAGAGCTCAACAGCCAGGCACGCTCTGGTGTCTACGCTCACCTGGCCTCTTTCCTTCCCTGCAGCAAAGACACTTTAGTAAAAAGGGCAAAGAAGCTGCACTTACATGAACAGGTAAGCAGTATTAATTTCTGCATAGACCGCCTTTTACCTTTTCCGTGTGTAAACTTGCACACTTTTTTTTTAATCTGCATGGTATTTTTATAAGTCAGCTCTGATTTGACATTAAATTTCAATCGGGATTTGAACAAGGGTCATATTTTCCCTTACCAAATGGAGTTGTTATAGCTATCGTCTTAAGAATTGCATTAAATATTTTTCTGCATTTAATGTCTATTGAAAAATCCTATAATTCCACAAAAGTAACAGTATTGTCCTGTATAAATTCTCATTTTTTAGGGCTAAGATGTTTTTGACTAATTACACGTTGGATTGAATTTTTTGAAATCACACATGACATGTCTTTGTGTTTAGGATGGCCGTCTGAAAGAACCACTTCAGAGATTAAAGGAAGCGATCGGCAGATCAATGCCTGGCCAGATAACCAAGTACCAGGATGAATGTCAAGCTCACACCCAGGCAAAGTTTGCTAAGTAGGTTTCGTTTGAGTTTCTAAATTAGTAGATTGCTGTTGAGAAAATGCAGAATTTACAATCACTTTATTTAAGGAAGCATTACTTATGTCATCCCGAGTGGATTGTAGGTGAAAGTCAGTGGTGGTTTCAGCCCAGGTTATATACGGTACTGATTACAATTAAAGATTGTCCCGAAGATGGATGTAAGGTCGATCTACTCTAAGGTGGTATATTTACCCTTGTTTCCTGATTTGGGAACAGTGATGACGATAAAAAAATATAGGTTTACTGGCAGCAACTGTATTTTCGTACAAAATGTTTTTAAGTTTTTTTTTTTTTGCTGTTATAGTAAGCATGATAAATAGCAATATGAAAAGCAGACCACTTCTTTAAAATGTGCAAGTGACACAACTGGTAAAGCAGTGGTGCAAAACCATTAAATTGAGCTATTAGTTAGGTGTCGTGAAACAGTATTAGTGATTATGACTTAAAGCACTTACAGTACACCTCATAAAGGCAGTACTGTACATCACTGTAGTAGCAACATAATGTTGGGTACTGTTTAATTTTCCTTATTCTGTAAGCTTTGGCATTATGTGATATTTGGGTATCTGATGCCCCTTATTCACCATGGATGCTTGATTGTGAAACTTTGACTATGTTGATGGCATAAGTTTCACACCCATAAGTGCAATTTCTGGTGCAAGCACCTTTGGCAGCAGTATTTTTGACATGAGTTTGTGCCGAGTTTGCATGCCGGCTTAGTGCAGTTTCTGCCCCTTTTAGGCTTCTCTTGCCTTGTCTCATTGCTGGGGGACCTTTGGACAGCACTCTGATTCTTTCCATTGATCCTCAGAGGGATTCAAGTTAGGACTTTGAGTGATAAAGGGCCCTCTCTTTCTTATTCTCATGCCACTCCAGTGTAGCTGTGGATCACTGTCCTGCTCAGAATTGAAGTTCTGGATTGTCTTGTGGTTTTTTTTTTTGTAGTGTCGTAAGCCCACACGAGCAGAGCCCAGTTAACTGTGTATTTTGTTTGACAGGATGTTGGAAGAAGGGAAAGAACAAAAGGAGAAAGCCTGCTCAGATGAGGATGAGGATGAAGAGAAAAGTGGAAAACGGGTTATGGGACCCAGAAAAAAATTCCAGTGGAACGAAGAAATCAGGTGCGCTAATGATAAACCTATCGATTTAGAATGCGTCGATCAACAATTTGCAGATCTTTTTGTAAAGAATGCTTTGCAGAAAGCTGTTAAAACTGTTCAAATTAACAATCGAATCCAATGCAATGATGCCCGTCATTAAAACAATAGGTGGAGCAGGAATTTGGGAGTGGTCAAAAGTGTAATTTCAGTGTCCTGAATATAGAAAAATAAGCCTAAAAGAAACAAGCCCTCTGCGGTCTCCCCATACCCACAAGTAATCACTAGCAGTGTGTAGCTCAGAGAATACACAGCCGTTGTAAGTTGTGTAAGGGCTTGGCAGCACAAACGGGTTCAGCCTGTGATCATGAGTTCATGATTAGGCAGGGCTGCATGATAATAATTATCTGTAATACATCAAAGCATTATGAATATTTTCATTTCCTTGCTAACATTTTTCAAGATTTAGGTACCCAAGCCTCTTACTGGCCTACTTAGCCACTTACCCCCCCCCCACAAAATGTGTAAGGAATGTAAAGGCCTGTGGATGGTTGTAAAAATCATGCCGATAAGTCACAATAGGCGTGTGAGATTTCTGGCAAAAGTATCATTCGAAAGCTGGTGTGCTGTTTTTTGCAATGGCCAAAGTAGAATTGTGTACTGCAGCCGGTGAACGGGAGCTGTGAGGCGGGATAGAGAGAGAGGGGGAGAATGTGTGCGTGAGTGCAGGACGGGCACACACTCGTGCACACCCGCGTCATGTGCAGGTAATCTTTACCGCGAGACTGCATGTCGAGAGAGTGGGAGACGTTGAGTGAAAAGATGAGCACGCGTTCCTCTTGCACACTGGTTGCCATACCCACACGTGCAGCGCAGAATTTGGAATGTGACGCTTACGCAGGAGATCCTTATGTGCTCTAGCAAAAAAAAGTAACCTTTCCTTGTGGACAATGTTTGCAATGGAAATGTATATTTGCTGTATCAAAATGCTTTTGTGGCCTTAAATGCAAAAGTGTTTAAATTGTATGAGAACTCTTATAATAAGCTAAGTTTCTGTCTTCAAACAGGAATCTCCTCTGTAATGTTGTCCATATAAAGATAGGCAGCTATGAACTGGAAAGGAACAAGTCTCAGACTGCAGAAGAGTATCTGAAGGCATTTCTGGAAGCTGAAGTTAAACCGCTGTGGCCGAAGGGATGGATGCAGTCAAGGTGAATCACTTTTACACGAGCGTGTGAACTGAGCTAACCACTGAGATTCCGGAAACGCCTGTGCTGTAAAATTGTAGTGTGTCTCTGAAACAGCTCATCTCGATTGTTTTGGTCCCTTTCATTCTGATATCTATATTAATTTTTTTATTTTATTTTGATCTGTTGTCGCAGGGAGGGCTGGAGTCCCAGCACACTTAGGTCCTGTCAGCTAATTCTCGGAGAACGTTTTTGTGTGTATTTTTGTTCTGTTTTGTTGTGTTTTGCACTATATGATATATAATTGTTTTGTTGGTTTGTGGGGCGCACTGTCCAAATAAACCACCACCTTCACACCTGAGTGCTGTTGCGGCTGAACAGTTATTCTGTTTTGAAAGAACTCACTTGGCACCTGTCCCGCCCTCCCTGTGACATTTCCTTAAACTGGGGTCTGTTTCAGATATTAAGTTCTTTGTTTCTTTCAACAGGATGCTTTTTAAGGAAAGCAAGAGAGTGCACAGCCATGTCACTTCCATACCGTAAGTACTGTTACCACATGTACCCTGTGGAGTGAGTGTTTGAGAAAAGAAATCACTCTCTAGTTATTGGGAAATTCCTTTATTTCTTCATCTTATCAGGATATGTTTTTTGTAGGTTTATATACATTTTAAAATATAAAAAGGTCTAATATTGTGCATCCTTACTCAGTCTCTCCGAGCATCTGCTGGAGGTTTATTTTAAAGCATGCGACATTAGGGTGTTGTTGCCAGTGTAGTTTCTAGTCAAGTTAACAGCTGTAGAAGCAGCAAAGGAAACTGTAACAGTTTAAGGCTGGGCAAGCAGGAGATTATATGGGCTTGTCTGAAGAGGCCACCCATGAACAAGCCTTACAGTAGGTGTTTTTGTTGGTATATCATTTCATCTTCTAAACAATGTGTGAGGCGAACAGAAAAGCAAGCAAGGAACAACAAAGAAATTCTCAAGAGAAAATGGTGAAACACAAACCAGAGAAGACAAAGGGAAGCTTAGGGGAAGTACATTTCAAACTGGAAACATAAGCCGTCTGCAGCAAAGTTACGCAGGGATATTGCTGAGGTCAATCCCATCTCTCGAGAAACAGCTGGATGCAATCCTCAGCTTGGTTTTCTGCCAAAAATGAAATGAGTTAGATCAGCCAAAGAACCTCCTCTCATTTGCAGAGAAAATTGTCCTGTACCTTCTGAATGTTGTGCTGTATACTTAGTGTTAAAGAAAAGGCAACTTTTTAAACTGTTTTTGTTCTTCTACTCAGGACCAAAAAGAAAGTTATTGCAGCTCCGAAAATAAAAATGAAGGTATGTTAATCATAATATTAAGTAACTTAAAATATCACAGATCATTTTGAAGCCATGTTTATATTGTGTGGCTAGGATTAAAATCCTTATGATGTGCTATGTTTTAATCTGAATTTTAGTGTTTGTTTGTTTTTCCCCCCACTTCAGGAACCATTTGTGAAGCTTGAAAGAAAAATAATAACTTCATTAAGTGCCACACCTACACGTTCTGGAAATTCGAGTGTCCTGGTACCTTGCTCGGTTAGCAGCCCATCGACGCCTGTGAACTCCTTTATTCCATCTTGTGCAGGTACGCACAGCTCCAATAGCACAGCCACTCCTCAGTCCTATAATATGGATGACTCGCTTGATGAAGACTTAATCCATAACCCTCCCTCGCTAGAAGCCGTTTCTGAGGAGTTGGCAGCACTGAATAATGCTACAAGAGGCAGCCCTGATTTCAGTTTTCATACCGTCATTAAACCAGCGACTGACAACATCACAGTATTAATATCGTCTGAAGAGATGAAAACTTTGCCAAAACCGTCTGTGTCCTCATCGCAGTCGCCACTCAACCTTTTAGCAGAGCAGGCACTGGCACTGGGGCAGCTTTCCCAAGACAAGAAAACGGAAAACTCTCAGACTTTGCCTTTACCCGGCTACAAAGGCCTTCTTTCCCAGACTTCTCCGAATAACAAAACTCTTCCGGAAAACATGCACGCCAAGCAGAAGAACTTTGGAGCCACACGCCCCCATCAGTCCCCAGCTCCAAGCTCTTTGCTCTCCCGGACTATGAAGCCTTTTCACCAGTCCCATCAGCTTCCAAAAAACTTTCCTTCACCAGTGCAGTTTAACCCAAACAAGTTGCAGAGTCCCTCCCAGGCTAAAGCATCCAGGTACTTTCAGCAGGGCGCAGGGCTGCTGCAATCGAAAGGAGCTACAAAGTCCCCAGCTTTCCATCCCCTCCCCTCCGCTCTGCCTAGCGGCGGTCAGGGTTCCTCCGCCGGCATGTCCAAGATCCTCCCCCCGCCAGGGGCCGCTGTCGCTTACGTACCCAAGCACAACCCCACCTCCAGCGCCACAGGCCATCCGTTCAAGCCCTCGTTCCCGCTGCCCGCGGCGGCCAAGTCCAGCGTTCCCCCGGGCGGCTCCGCGCAGAGCGGCCCGACTCCGCTGGGCGCCGGCGCCGGCGCTATGGCCTCGCCCCACAAGTCGCCCTCTCCGGGTCAGGCCGCCGTCCCGCAGTCCCCTAACTCGGCAGCAAAGAAGGCCCTGTCTTCTCAGAAGCTGACCCTCGTGGCGCCCCCTGGCGGGTCTAATGGAGACTCCACCATGGGAATGCAGGGCGTTGCAAGGCTTCTGACTTCCTCCCTAAAGCCAGCGGCAGCAACGCCAGCAGCTGCAGCCGCTCCGGCAGCGTCGGTAAGTGCAGCTAACCTGCTGCTCGGTTACATCGCCTTCTCACTGCATGCACGAGTGACCCAGTTTGTAGACTCTTGGGTTACACAAGTGTTTGGGATGTGCTTATTAAGGTGTAAAACTATTATTCTACATCGAAATGAAAACGTTTTCAAAACCCACAATGATTTAATGGAGAATCTTTTCTTTTTTTTTTTATTAAAAAGCCCACAAAGAGCACCACGGGCACATCTGTGCAGTCAAGTTCTCCATCTATAAACCTTCTCTCGCCGTCGTTTGCCACATCCGGCCAGAAGCTAGCACCGGGAACGCTGGGGATATTGCCAGGAATCGTCCCTATGCACACGTTCAGCTTCCCCGTCATCACGTTTGGCTCCGACTCAAAGTCCAGCGGATCCAAAGACGCTATTGTGACCGGCCCGGCACCAGGGACATTCCACCACGGGCTCACGCACAGTAAGTGGTTTTGATTCTGGTCTAGATGGAATGGTGTTCATTCTCCACGCCTTAGTTCCCATAAACTCCCATTACTTCTGGATGTTAAGTCTCGCATGGTCCTGTTACTCTTAAGTGTCTTATAGGCGTGTTTCGTCGTTGTCCTGTCTTGTGGACTTTTCTGTTTGGTTTCATGTTGTGCACGCTTGGTTTTCACTCCTTCACCTGACCTTAATGTTCAAAAACTCGTGGAGGTAGATGTGGGGCTGCACTTTGGTCACCAAGCAAGCACAGCCACTTCAGCTTAGTGCATGCGTACACAGGCTGTCTGCTTTTCACTTGTCAGCACTTGTTTTCTCTCCTCTTCCTCTAGGTATTTTTGCTGGTTTGCATTCTAGCCCCCTCCACCCACAACAGCTCCCACAATGCACTCTGTCCTCCCATTTACAGCCAAGTCTGCAAGGTAATCTGCATGAACGTGTCTTCTGTCTTGCCATCCCTTGGCCAGAGCTGTTCAACTGTGCCAACAGACTTGTTGTCCATTGTTCTGCGTTTTGTCTTTGGGAAAGCACTCTTGAGCAGGAAAGGTTTGATGTAAAGCATTCCAGTGGATTTTTTTATCTTTTCGAAACAGTTTTCAATCTATTAAATAGAAGCTGCATTTTAACCCCTCCCGAGCTTCTCCATATAAACCCGGGATGTTATTTTGAAGATAAACTGAAGTGTTATACAGTATACTGTTTGTGATGGGAAATACTCTTATTTAAGATGGATACCTGGTTGTCATTCAAAGGACATTTTGAACTTCAGCATTTTGTTCCATTGGTAAAAAAAGACCTAGAGAGAACCTTACTAAACCTTTTTACATCACTATTGAAATGCCTTTTCTGCATACCTGTTCAGTATAGAATGTATTCCTACTTGACTTGGGTACAGATCACTGTGAACCCACAGAAAATCTTATGGGATCAAGACCGTTTGAAGAGCACTTTAATTCACGTGTGTTATCTGTAACAAAAAGCAACATTGAATATTTTAAAATCCCTTTTCTTTCTAATACAATTAAAGCTAAAGAGATGTAGTGTACATGAATGGCTTGTACAAAAGCATTCAGCTTCCAGAAATTTAAAAGGACCACATTTTATTTGTTCAAATAGTGATTGAAATGTTTGCTCATGTTTCATGAGTAAAACATTACTAGAAAATATGTTGTGAAGTCGGCAGCGGAATATGATGAGATTTGTGCACAATGTGGATGTTCATCAGAGGTCTGCTCTCAGTGTAGTGGTACCACTTTGCAGCCTGACCTTCAGATCTCAGAATCCAAGTAGGGTTGGGCCTAGTCAGAGCAGGGATAGGAGACCCCCACACGAAGCCAGGCTGCTGCCGTTGTAGGTGGTAACAATAATTAATAGTAATCATTCCTTACAGGTGTATAGTGCCTTTCTGGACACTGCACTCAAATTGCTTCACAGGTAATGGGGATCCCCTCCACCACTACCAGTGTGCAGCCCCACCTGATTGATGGGAAGACAGCCAGAGTGCGCTTCACGAGTTTGTGTGTGGTTGTTGATGAGCCAGTAGGGGGCGCTCTTCCCTCTAGTCCAGAAGATCTAAAGCAATGCGCCAGTATGGTAATGGGGGGGGGGGGAGTGCTGCAGCAGATGCAGCCCTTCGATTTACAGAGATAACATGACCTTGCTTGTAATAGTAGACGGTGTCCTGGCTCGGCTCCAGCCTGGCCGAGCAGCAGCAGTGTGAAGCAGCGATTCGAGATCTTGACTTCCTAACAGGAAGGCTGTGAGACTGAAGCTCAAGTTATGTTGCGTCTTCCTCAGGGGTACTTCGCTCAGACTCGGTTAAATGTCCAGTTGTATATGGGGCTCCAAAACGACAATTAAATTAGCAGTGTGGAAAGTTCCCCTTTTATTCAAATTCTTCGTTTATTCATCTGATCTTCTGTGTCGCAGGTCTGCTTGTGCAAAATGGTTGCTGTGTCAGCCCAGGTGCAGTGGTGGGTGGAAACCCTATTAGAAAAGTGTCAAGTGCTGTATAAATGCACACAATTAATATGTTCTGCCCTGTATAATGTTCTTCTGCTGTAGAGAAAGAAGTCTACAGATTGCACCATCTCAAGTGTTGAGCTAATACTGATTCTTGTATATGTTTCAGACAGCAGCCAAATCCATGGAGAAAATGCGAATGTGCAGAGAAAGCTGCCCTGATACGGCTCTTAAGATGAAACGTGACTGTTTTCCTTCGTGTGCTGCAGATGAACAATGATCAACGTTGGTCATCAAAGCATTTGTTTAAATTGAAAATGATCTGGTTAACAAAAAAAATGGCTCTTTCAGAAAAGCCAATGTTTTGGAATGGAGAGATCACAGAATTTCAGTTTAAATTACCTGGCATGATTCGTTGTATCCTTTTAATTACAATGTGAAATATGAGATTGGTAATGCAAGTGATTCCTCTATCATGAAGTGTCCTACATGGATAAAGAATGGATCTTTTGTTTGCTTCTTGCTTAATTTGCATAATGTTTAGTATGAACTTGGAGATCCTGCATCTCTTTTTTTTCTCCAATTTGTTTGCCAAGGTTGGTTTCCCAAAGAGATTTATGTAATCATGGAGCTATCCACACAGAACTTTGGAATATTTTATGGAAGTACCCTCTCAAATATGAATTGTGCTAAAAACTAAATGACAACGTTTGATTTTAGACAATGTTGTTAGAAAAGTGATCAGAAAAGCTTATCAGAGGAGGAAAAGTTCACTCAGCTACAATACACATCCACCATGATCTACGACTTGACAATCTTCAATCATGTTCACATCGTTGAACAGGAACTGCAACCGTAAGTCTGAATATTGTTGAGGACGGCTACTCTGAAGCTTCTTGTGGCCATGAAATCTAAAATAAGGTTCTACAAAACTCCATACTCCCTGTTCTAAGTCTGTTTTAGATATTATCAGCCCAAGAACTTCTGTTTACAGCCTGTAGCTGCTCTCTGTTAGAACTCCACTGTATTTTAAGTTGTTAGTACTAAACCCCATGTCCTTGAAGAATAAATCCAGAAAAAGTGTTCTGTTTTTGATTAAATTTACTCATCAATTAAATCTACACTTATGTGGATTATGCAGATATGACACATGGTTCAGTTCAGCAGTAGTGACACCAAGTGCAAGAAATCCTTACCTCAAGCCCTGTTTTTTTTCTTCTCCTTCGTCTCAAACCCATATAGTAATTTGCTCCTATCCCTGTAAGTAAGCTGATCTGAAGACCTTGAGTTTGTGCAAGCGAGATGAAATATAATGACAGGAGTGGCACGGCAGTGGCTTGTACTGCTGCTTCAGCCTTCTGGTCAGATCTTGATTCTGGACTGGGGCGATTCTGTGTGGAGTTTGATTTTGGCCTTTGATGTTCCTCCCACCTCTCAAAGACGCGCTGACCATGTTAAACTGATTTCTGTAAGTTGCCCCGTCTTGCTTGTACCTGTGTCCTGCGATGAACTAGTACAACCAGTCGGGGAGCAGTCCCACCTTGCTCTCTGTGCCGCAATCGTTGACTGCAGCAAGCAGCCTTCTGATAGTGATGGGTGATGTCATAAACAGTGTCTGGAGAGGCTTTGTGGTAATTGAGGGGGTTCAGTAACTGCAAGTGGTCGTTGGAGTCCTGGCAGAGACTGGCGTCGGTGTTCTGGTGAACTGGGACTGAGCCGCTAGAGTAAAAACTGCAGTGGTTTTAACCTGTGAAAGTCAAACTTCAGAAAAATTTCCAGCCCTTTTGGGGAAAAGTGGTTATAAGACCTCTAAAAGTCGTACGTTTGTAAACGTGTAACAGAATGATGCACAGTGAGTTGTTCTATTGCAGTCAAAACCTTGCATTGAATTCTGCTCTTAAGGGCAGCTTCTCTACTGGGCTTCTGCAGTTTTTTGCCTGATACACCAAAGCATTAAGTATGGGTAACCGTTCCTGTGATCAGGATGGCATGTGTTGCTGTGTACAAAAAGTGCATTTCAGATAAGGTATTAAAGGTATATTTAAATATAAGGCAGAAGCTGTGTGCTAGAATTAGGCAAGAAAATCTAAAACCCTTAGAATGAAAAGATTCTCTGATCTGTAAGCCTAAGAGTTCTGCCAACCTTCCCCATAAAACTAAAGTGATTTTTAAAGGGTTTGTAGAAAGTGACGATTCGTCATCCCAACATAGAATGTGGTAGGACCACATTCAAAGACCTAACCCTTGGAAAGAAAACCAGGAAGCACTTATTATAGACCGTAGGTAACAGTGGTGTTTAAACACATCCAGGACTATAGGAGCTGAATGTGGTATTTTCTCAGATGTAAGCTCAAATATGCAAAAATAATTTTTCTTGTAATATAAAGTGCACAGAGAAACATTGGAATATGGGAAAAAAAACTGCTATATAGTTCCTGAAACTTTCAAAAAGCTTTTAAACTTTTTTTCTCTCATGTAGAGATTGCTATTTATTTTGACTGCTTTTGAAAGAGAAACTTGAGTTCTAAAAAAATTAGGTTTTTTTGAGGCCTTATGTGATTTGCATTTAAAATGCTGCCCTTCGTGTGCCACTGTTGACCTACAGATACGTTACTTTCTTTATATTGTGTTTTCTATATATTTTCTAAAAATGGAACTGGAAAAGACTTTCATACCTCCCGTGACATCATGATTTGTCTCCCCACCTTCTTCCTTGTTGGGTTCTAATTTATATACATTTCTCAAGTAGAGCATGTGCACAGCAGAGAATTGGGTTATTTTTGTAACTGGCATATTTCTGAATACAAAGTTTGTTTCAAGAGATTTATTCTAGTCTTTAAAATGGAGGCCCAACAGCATTTTTTTTATTCCTCCTAGCCCTATTTAAGGTTTAAATAATCATTTATTCAATAGATGAAAATTGTACTGCAACACTGTATAATGAAGTGTTTATGCTGTTGTATAAGCTCAGGACTAATTGTTGACCATTTTGAGCCATTTATTTGAGATTTGTATATTCTGATGTGATGCGCTGTAGATTGTCAATGTAAAATAGCATTTAACTTTTAAAATGCTTCATTGTACCTGTAATGTTTGTTAAACCTGTATAAAGTGTTTCATGTTTTGTATTTAATTGATAAGCTGCACGAACTGGACTTTAATAAAGTTTTTTTCAAAAGTCAAACTTTCCAAGATGTTGAATTAGCTTTCTTAGGCATTTATACTTCTGTGCAGGTGGAAGAAGCCTGTTTTTAATTTCTCTGCATATATTTTATACTGGGCATCAAAAGTAGCTTATGCATAAACAGCTACTGTAGAAAATAACAAAGAGATTTCAGGTATTGATTAGGGGTAGCACAGTGCAGTGTGCAGCATCGGGGCTCTCGGTTCAACTACAGAAATGGCGTGCTGTCTGCATGGAGTCTCCCTGTTCTCTTCATTTGCGTGTCTCCTGTGCGTGCTCTGGTTTCCTCCCACAGTCCAAAGATGTACTGTGGGTTAAGAGGCTCCGGGACAAATTGGCCCTGCTGTGAATGTGCGTGCGTGTCCTCCAATGGGCTGGCGTCCCAAACGGGCTTTGTCCTGCCTTGCGCCCGGTGCTTGCTTGGAAAGGCTCCGACTCGGACGGCACACTGACATACGACTTTCGTGGTGTTTAAGGTCAGTTGATTGAATAATTGATTCAGGTATGTCTTTAGGAAGACCAAGTCCAACAAGAAGTTCTTCTCCAAGACCAGAAGTGGAGAAATGAGAATCGCTGCTCTGCAGGCTACAGCCATCTTGGTTGGTTGTTTTATATTTTGAATTTCCAGTACACATAGAGTAACAGCCTCTTGCGCTCACACTGGATAAAATAAACTCATTTTGTGAATTGTAGTGTATGTATTTAACAGTGGACTTCATTACAAGTGTTATGATGAAATTGAAGTATGTTACATGAAACCTCTTGAGATACCGGATTCAGCAGTCTAAATGCAAAAAAATATTGACTGCTTATTGCAATTTCAAATCATTAGAATGAAATTCCCTTTTCTTTTGAAACTTGAAAGTGGTATTTTGTAATTGGAGGAGGAGCTTGTCCAGAGAATCCAGGGAAATGTAAACCAGGACTTGGCAGAAGCCCAGTACAGTAAATGAAGAATGCAGGACTCCTTAGAACTGTTTTATTACTGTTTATTTATGTTTGAACACAATTTAAACCCCCCTTCAACACACACATGCTATTAAGAGTATTAATAAAGGTACATTATATAAGCATCAGTGTAATGTTGCATTAACAGCAATGCATGCATAAATATTTTTCTTTATTACCCAAAGTAACCCAAAGTACTTGCAGCGTGTTAACCAGAACCCCAGCTTTACAATGTATGAAAGAAAGTTCTCAAAACTTGGCAAATAAAACCCACTTGAGTGTTTTTTTTTTAAATAGCTTTTTATGTATCACAGAGCTCAGTGCTTTCGATACCTTTCAAAAACTGTAAAGGAAAACGGTTACATTTCATTCTGTGATTCTGCTGCTATTGTGATTTTGTTTGCTTTTAAATCTTTTAAAACACTTTTTGTAAATGCAGCATAAAAGTCTGATTTCATTAAATATTCGAGTATATGAGACTATATCACACTTATTAATCAAAATACATAATACAGGTAGAACACAGGTGTATTTTGTTGTCATTTTGCAGTGCTTTAACAAGATTAAAACCATTTGTTTTTCCATGTCAGAACGATATAAAAACCTTTCATGATACCACAGCCTGTTTGAACACATTATTCGGTGTGGTAATGTCTTCTTTACATGAGTTTGGTTTTCATCTTCTCTATTATTAGAAGACGTTGTTAGGATTTTGTTTTTAGGTGAAGACGAAGGTAAAATAATATTCGGTAAATCTTCCAACAAGTCCAAGCAGAATGTACAAAAATTACTTGCTTCTGCCAGACACCATGATCCCGAACTCTTGAATACTTATTTCCTTGTTATGGTACTGCTGCAGCTGGCGATTTGTAATGAGGCCATTCCTTAACGCGTCATCGATGGAGAATTTCTTTCCCGATTTTCTGTCATGGAGAACCGACGACTCTCCTTTTGGGCCTTTGACAGAGATCTCCTCCCAGTCGCACTCCTGGCTCTGAAGGTTGACGAACATTTTCCAGTCGATGAGACCCATTTTGTAGGCCTCTTCTGGTCTCATCTCTTTGCCCGTGTCTGGGTCAATGACTACAATAGAACGTCGAAGATGACTCTCCCTTTGCTCTTTTTTGATTCTCATCGTAGACAAATTCTTTTGCAGTTTTTCAATCTCCTGATCTTTTTGATTGGTGATGCTCTTCAGCTCGGAAAGTTCTTTCTGCAGGGAAGCCAGTCTCAGTTCAAGATTCCTGCCATTGTCCGATGGAGAGGACTCTGTGATGTGTTTCGTTTCTTTGACGGTGATTTCAATTTCTGCCTGCAGCTTCCTAATTTCGTTTTGCAGTCGCTGATTCTCCTGCTGCAAGTTGCTGTTTTCATCTCTTATGTAGTCAAGCTCTTTGGATGACTTTGTGTTGGAGAATTCCATTTCAGATAGCCTGGAGTTGAGGTTACTAAGCTCCTGTTCCAGCTCCCGGCGGCGCTGTGACTCCTCCTCCAAGGTTTTCTTGAGCCTCTCGATCTCAAATTGTGTTTCGGGATCCTTCTCAACCTGCACCTTTTCAGAGTGCACCACTTTCTCCCGCACTTCTGTTCTCTCCAGGGTTTGCTGCTGCTGTACCAAGACGTTGAACTCCTTTTCGAGCAGAACTCGCTTGTGCCTTTCCTCCTCCACTTGCAGCTTGAGAAGAGAATACTCCTTTTCTTGCTGGGGATCCTGTTGAAGAACTACCTTTTGCTTCACCGTGACCTTTTCCCTGGTTTCTTTGTCCCTCATTTCCAGTTCGCTGAGGCGGAGTCTGAGTCTCTGGATTTCCAGCTCGGCGTCCCGCCGGGCTCTGCGCTCCCGATCAAGCTCTTCCAGCTGAAGCTCCAGATCCGCTTTCTGGCACTGAAGCTTGTACAGCTCGTCTCTCAGGGCCTCCTTCTGCTTTTGCTCACTGCTGATATTCCTGGAAAATGTCTCGCACTCAGATGTAAGATGCCGGTCTTCCTCCATTTTCACTACCTCTTGCTGCACCACCTTCTCCCTCACTTGAGAAAGGTCAATCTTCCTCAACCGGATCTTTTCTTCATTGGCAGCCTTCTCTCTCTCCAGGTCCATACGCTTCTTTTGTTCATCGGCAAGTTTTCTCCTAAGGGCTTCCGTCTCCTCTTTGGTTTTGGGATCTTCGCGGTACTGAAGAACCTCATTGAAAACCTCTTTTATCTGCACCTGGGGCTTAGTATCCTTCCACCTCTGGATTTCCTCCTTCAGCTGTTGAATTTCCACTTTGGACTTTTCATTTTGGTGTGTTTTGTCAACAATTTCATTCCTCAGTTTTTCTAGCTCCCTCTCAGTGTCTGGATCCATCTTGTACTTGATGACTTCTTTGATGATTTCCTTGTATTCGACCTGCGGGCCTCTGTTCCTGAGCATTTGCAGTTCATCCTGGAGAGCTTTCAGCTGTTGCTCCGCATCTCTGTATCTCCTCTGGTGCTCAACCAGTTCAAGGCGAAGGTTAGACACTTCATTCTCAGCCTTTGGATCGGGTCTCACAATCTCTCGCATTTTTTCCTGAATGATAACTTTTGATTTGTCTTCCTCAAGACTGGCGATCTTCCTCAGGAGATCTGCTTGCTCCCTTTGAGAAGACCTGTTTTTGGCTTTCTCGTCTTCATATTGACGCCGGAGGTTTTCCACCTCTCTTTCGAAAGCAATGTCTTTTTCTACCTTCAGAACTTCTTTGATCGAGATCTTTTCCTCAGCCATGGCCTTCTCTTTCTCCAGTTTCTTGAGTTTAGCCTGCAGAAATTGAAGCTCATCTTCAAGCTGCTTTCTTGAATCTATTTCTTTTTGTTTACTTTCTAGTAATATCCTGTACTCACTCTCAAGCTGGGGGTCATTCTGAATTTTAATTACTTCCTCTTCCGTAATTTTCTCTTGCTCTTTGGACTTCTCCTCGGTCAGAAAGACGAATTGTTTCCGCAGCTGTGTGATTTCGGTCTCCTTGATTGTCTTCTGTCTTCGGAGTTCTTCTAGCTCTTCCTTCAGTTTTCTCACCTCCTCCTCTTGGTCTCTGTCCTTTTCGATGCGGAGAACCTCCTTCACCATGTATTGCTGTGCACCTTCGCGCTTCTCTGTTTCGAACCCGCGCAGCTTGATACGGAGTAGCTCCAGTTCATTCTCCAGGACCTGGCTGATTCTCTGTTCCTCCGAGAGTTTTTGTTGCACTTTGTGGAGCTCCTCGTCCAGCTGTGGATCGGGAACTTTCTTGATCAGCTCCTTCTTTACAATTGTGTCTTGTGGTTTTTGGGCCTCCAGCACATAAATATCACTCTGGATGGATTGGATCTCTTTTTCCAGCTGTTCTCTCCTCTGAATCTCGTCCTCAAGCTGTTTCTTTATCCTCCAAGGTTCCTCTCCAGATACCGCTGATTTCTGAGACTGGACATGCTGCTGCAGGACAGGAACCTCTGGTTGCTAGAACAAAGTTTCATGAGAGTTTATTTTTTTGGTAGAACATCGACCAAATGTTGTCTATCTTTACCGTTTCAAAGTTTGCAGGCTACAATCTAGTATATCACTATACACAAACATGAATAATCTGACCACTAATTTATGAAACTATAATTTATACCCTTCATGCTATTTGAAATGTATAAAATTCCTTTTATCATCTTTGTACCCTCTGTATTGGAAAAAAATCTCTTCCGTCAAGAAAATGAATAAGAAAAACTAAAGCATGTTTACATTATATACTGTTTCAAACTGTATATAAGCCTTCTTAATAAGTTCGCGATGGCCCGCTGCTTTTTCATTTACCTGATTCAGAAGACTTTGGGCATACTCCAGATTTTGCAGTCTTTGCTTGTTCACAGCACTGACTTCAGTGAATTTACTTTCCATGGCAGATTCCTGTAGAAACAAAAATCCATGGCAGGACACTCTTGTTTTAACTGCACTTAAATAATTGTAACAGTAATTTGCATTTAAATGCCCCACTCAGCTCATTACATTTTACACTATAAAAACAAAAAATCCATATAAATGAAATTTTTATTGAAATATATACATGTATTTTCTAAAAACTGATCTATTTGTCTTTTATTGCTCATCCTCTATTGAGAAAAGTCTTATCACCTCATTTTTGACTTTAAGGGCTGGGGACTCCAGCCTTGTTCGTTTGTAAGCCTGCGGGACGAGGCCATCTTCAAGGTCAAGAATAGACTTAAATTTCTCAGCTTCAGTTTCATAGTCCTGCAAATGAAGAAGATAAAAACAGGGCATTGAAATAATCATCTAGAGCACTTTCTTAACACCCATTCAGTATCATTCTACATTTAATAAATAGCATACATTTGGAAAATTAGTATGTAAACAGGCACACAGCTGCTGACTGCTTAATTGTGCAAAGATCCTCCTTTGGTAATGATACTTGTAAACACATATCTCACCTTAACAGCTTGCTGATACTGTTGAGCATTTTTGGACATGTTGTTCAGTTCTGACTCCTTTCTTGCAATCTCAGAAAGTAGGTTCTGGAAAACAAAAAAAACAATATTTTAGTACTGTCCGGAATTCAACATATACCCACACAAGACTTAGAACCACATTTTTCCATTTAAAAATGTAATTAGGTTGAAAATATAAATCTGATGTATGGTACAGAAAACAAATGGCCAACCATTTGCCAGGCTGGCCAGGAGAGCAAACTGGGGGCTGACTGGGGAAGAGAGCCCTGGACTTTACTCTATTGCATGATTCTCTATCAAGCTACTGAAACACTATCTAGTCACCTACAATCATCATATTAGTAAGTTTCAAAAGGTTACCAGCTGCCTTATCCAGTACAGGGCTGTGGGGGACTACCCCAGCCAGTAAGAGGCACAAGGCAGGACACACTCTGGATGTACAGCCAGTCCAGACACACTCACACAAGGCCCAGGTTTTCCAGTAGCCAATTAACCTACCAGTATGTCTCTGGACTTCAGGAGGAAACCCACACCAAAAAAGGGGAACACACAGACTCCACATAGACAGCACCCCTGAACTATTACTACAGGGTGGTACGAAACATAAAACAGTTATTCAATAGTCAAATTCCTTATTAAATCCTAGATACTTACCCTTTGGTTCTTCAGTTTAGCGTCAATTTGTCTAATGTCATCATGTTCCCTGGGTTCATAGTTTGGTACCCTGGCCAGCCAGCTGTTGAGGCTTTCGTAATCAGTCCGGTAGCTGTTGTATGATGCCTTGGCTTTTTGTAGATTCTGTGACCTATAAAAGAAGCCGGTGGATAAGAATGTTACCATGAGAATAAGAATAACATAAACTCCAAACCAAAAAATAAACATAACAATTAAATACGTGCATTGGTGCACTATACTGTAGTCCTGTGAGTAATCCGATTCTTTTTGATGTAAAAATGATATGGAAAATCTGCTGTGTAAATGAAATTTCAATCTGAAACGCAATCAGTCTCATGTTTCACGCTGAGGAAGCCCATGGATGAAGAGGAGAGCCGTACCTGGTGTCGATTTGCCTGTTAAGGTTGTCGTAGCGCTTGCTGAGCTTGCGGACCTCGGACTCCTGTCGCTCGATGTCGGGGCAGTGCTCTTGCAGCTTGTTGGACAAGTTCTCACAGCTGCTCTTGGCAGCTTTCAGATTCACCTCTGCTTCGGTAATCGCAGATCTCTTCGATCTCAGCTCAGAGGACATCACCTTGGAACAGGAAACCCACGTCAGCAAAGTTATGTGCGCAGCAGACTATTTATTATTTTCTTATTCAAATATTTATTTATTATTATTATTTTAGACATTACACATGACACAAATATAAATAGCACCATTAATACTGCCTTTAAACACAACACAAACGATAACTAAAAACCACGTTTCATGCAACAACTTCCAACGCATGAGGGGATCCCATGGTGAGGGTGGTTCTGGGTCCACCGTACATAAACATGCCTCTCATTGCATGGATAATAAAACATAACTTACAGCCAAGTCTTGTTGACTTCTTTCAAGGGAGCTCAAGTCTGGGGGAGCAACGTCCTCTCTGGCCAGTTTATTCTCATAGGTGGACAGCAAACTCTTCCCATTCTGAAGAGAATTCTCGAGCCGGTTTGAGTTTTGAAGTCTACAAAACACAGAATGTAACTTATTCGATTCACTTTCTTTCACTGGATGAGCCATGATGACTTTGCTAAACGTTGAAACAGAAAAGCGGCGACGTACTTGTCCTCCGCACACTTGAGCAGAAGGCTGACTTTGTCGTATTTGTTGTTGGCCTCGTCCATCTTGCCGTACAGCTGTGAGGTGCTGGCACACTTCGGTTTGGAGGCGAGGAATTTCTCTGCTTCTAGTACCTTCGAGGACTTCTCCGGCTCAATACGTTGAACAGCGACTCCTATGTCCTACAAAAAAAGAAATCAGCACTCGGTTAGATGGAGCATTCACAGCTGACTATTGTGAAGTCGACAATAACATCATTAGTTTTAATCTCTGCGTAATAGCGTACTTCCATATGCACATCTTTGAAAATGTTGATATGAGAGTACTGAATCCTTTCTGGTAAATGTGAAACTGAGTGTCACCAGGAATCCCAGCAGTTCGATATTCTGCTTTCTAACCTACCTTCAGGCCTTGCTGCCGTTCTGCACTGTCCTGAACAGGGCGGTTCTGCTCCAGGGGCGGACGGAGACGAGAGTAGACACTCTTCTCCTGCTTGTCAAGGTCACTGATCACTTTGTCCAACCCGGCCATTAGCTGGCGGCACTGCTGCTCCTGCTTGTCTGGAATTCAGGGCATATTGGGGCAGAGGGTTAGAACAAGTAGGGGACCTCTTCATGCTGCACACGGGCGACTGCACAGACACTACGTTGTTTCTGAGAATGCAGTCATCCTGGGAGATGCCATAGGAGTGGGATACATAAAGATGTGTACCGAGGACAGTTCAGGGAGGAACACAAGTAACAATTCAGTCATCTTATCAAATCCAGAAAAACAACTAGTGGAGAAATGCCTACAACAAAAAACATCCTACGCTAAAATTTCAAGAAGAGATGTACAAGTGTGTTATGTCACAAAAGAAACGTAAGACAAGGCAGACAGATGTATTAAGAGTATCACTATTAGCACAGAATTGTACTGTATATACATACCACTTGCACCCACGTTTTCCTTCTTGAGCTCCTCGAAGCGTTTCATAAGTATACCTTTGCTGCTGGAAACCTTTTGCTTGAGGGCTTTTTGCTGGTTAGCGAGGCTAAACACAAAAAGAGGTGCCAATCAGTTTTCAAGACTCTGAAATTTTCAGTTTTTCAGACTATCCATTTTCAGGTCGGTTCGTGGTAAGATTCTTACTTTTCAGCAATTCCAGTGGCCTCAGGGTCAGTAGGGGGAATCATGAAGCACACAGCAGGGGCAGTTATTTTGTGCCCAGTGGAGTCTTTGACCTCCCATTGGGTCCCACTGTTCTTCAGGAGTGTGTATTTCTCCCCACGGGTGATCTGTCCCTGTTGCAGAAGAAATATGAAAACTTTGTGTATCTTACAAATTGAACAAAGGGACGAAAAACATGAAATGCATATGAGGTGAACCCATGTTTGTCAACGCCCCACACTCTCCCTCGTAAACGCCATAACATTCCCAAACCCACTGTTTCACAGTCTCATTCCTAATTGAGCCGGTCACATTCCCACATGCACCAGATTCCACAGATTCTCACTCCTGGACAATTATCCAACCACGTCCCTTTCCCTGCAGTATGAAAAGCTCCCTCACACACCAACCCAGGCTCACTATTGAGAAGCCTCCTGTAGTATTCTCTTGTGTGTGTTTCAACCCTTTTGACTGATCTCCTGGGTCCTAATCTTTGCTCCTGCCTTTTTGGTCATGCTCTTTGAATGTTTTTTTGGATTGTCTTTCTCGGATTTCCCTGGTTATTGGTTACTCATTGCTTCTCCAATCGACCAAGCCCCTGGATTATGTGTTTGGGGTTGTCCCTGTGCTACTCCACATTCAGCAGGATTCACGGCTACGCATAAGGATCCTCCCCTTCTACCCATCGGTTCCCTGACAATGTTGTGCCTGAAGGTATAATTTATATTTATTTTTAAATTTAAATCACCCAAATGTTGAATTACATTGGCAGTAAAAACATAAAATGTACACTGGCGAGCTCCTGAAAATTCCTTCATGTTCTGAAAGACGAAATCAAAAATAAAGTCAATGTAGAAAGAGAGTGCCCTGGACAGGCGGTATCCAGAGGGATGGATGTTGTTACCTCGTTGAGCTCGTACTCGCAGAGGGCTTCCACAGGGAGGGCTTTGGCTGGAGTCTCTCTGCGGTATTTCAGGGGAAGCACCTGCTGGCTGCGCTTCTGCAGGGCTCTCACCTTCTCATCGAAACGATCCAGTGCCTTCAGCTGGTCCTGCCGGGGCCAAAGGCAGCAATTATCCAGCACGCTCAACGCCGGCTCGCAGGTCAAAACTTCCTGTTCACTATTCTGAGAGACTCAGAGCAGCAGCAATTTCTTTATTTTGGCTTGACGCTTAAAAGACTTTCACTTACATCGAGATCACAAATCAGGGCCTCGGTCTGGTACACATCTTTAAACTCGGGGCTGTATTTTTGGTTCAGTTCAGTGTCTAGTCTCTTCATCAAGTCCTGGGTGTCTCTCGCCTCTTTATGATACTGAGAAGAGAAACAATGCCGCCATCTGAATACAGTGTGTCAGGTCTCCTTCCAAACCTTTTACTGCATTTAGAAAGCAAAAGCATGTCTTCAGAACAAATCCAGGATGATAGCAAAGCTTTTTCATTGCAGTTTTTGATTGTCTGAAAGTAGTAGTAAAAGTTCTAAGGTGCACATCTAAAAAAAGTATAGGGACAAAGAAACTCCTAATTAACATCTAAAGTGAGAGAACAGATAAATGCACATGTGGAAGTGTAAAAATGAAATTATGGCTGTTGAAATTGTGTGCAATGAATTTTAATACACAGCATTTTGAACTTGGCTAACCACCCATATTTATTGTGAACCTGGGGTGAGAGGTTTATTCTCCTTTAGGCAAAACGCACATGACAAGACTTGTTGAAATTACAGTTGTCAGCTTCTCTTCAAATGTGCTGAAGGAAGAAAATCTGAATTAAGAAAGAGTTCAGGCTGTGAAAATGCACAGGTCTGTTACTGTGAATTTAACACGCAATTTCCATATTTTAGAGATGAAAGTCAGACATTCCGTTCTATGAATTGAAATACAGCAGGTTCACATAAAAAAGGGTGATAATATAGCAAATATTTTTATAGCTGGAACAGTTTCATAATCACTCACTTTGTGATACTCTTCCATGTGTTTGAGATGGTTTTCCTCACAGATAAGCAAGTTGAGGTACTCCTTCCAGTCTGCATGCACTGCTTCCATGTGTGCCTGAAAGGTGGGAATGCAGTCAGTACCACATGGGACTGATAGTGGAGTCTACCCAGAGACCCCTGTCACACAGAATCCTATTCAAAGGCTTCGTTCAGCCTGCCGTGGCTATGCAGTAAATGTAATTCACCTCTATCGCATTACTTCCGGGATGACCCGAAGCCAAAAGTTTTTCACCATCTTCATGCAGCGTGGCAACAGTGGCCTCTTTGGCCTCCAGACTTTTGCTGATAAAGTTCTATAAGAAAAGAAATGTAGGTGAACATTAAATACACATTTTCGAGTTCATCTTGATTGACCATAATGTTCTCGTCACTGTGTGCGTGCGTCGCTTTTGGCGCACGGGGAACCATCGACGGCCCCAGTTGGCAGAAACGCGTGAGAAAGCAAAGACGGAAAAGTGAAATTGCGGCTGTGCCCCGATTTTTATATCGGGTAGTGGGAGGGTGCATCTCCAGCTCGGCAAAAAGTCGCCCTTCAGTGGCACTGAAAGCCAAACAGCATGTACAGAACCTTAACAGCACACCACAGCCGGTAGCCGAGAGCTTTGAAGGCCATACCTTCCAAGATATAAAACACTAAAGTGATGCAATGGTTTTGTTTGAATGAAAGGGATCAGTATTTTAAAAGGCAGAGCAGGTATGTCAGAAATGCCTCGTATCTTGCCTCGTATTGTTTCTGCCGGGAGGGGTAATCCAGGTTGGCCTCGCTCCAGTCGTAGTTGAGGCGCTCCTCCGCCTGCTGGTCCATCCAGTACAGCTCGTTGGTGCAGCGCTGCATGTAATCCCTCAGGGTGTGCAGGTCCCGCTGGCGCTCCGCAGACGCACTCTGGGCACAGACGCGACAAAGAGTTGTTCTCCTCTCCTACAGCTTTCGGTGTAGGAGAGCAGATGCTGGTCTCCTGCTTGTCTAAGGAGCTGTGTGAGTTTGTATAAATTTGTAAACGTTTTGCATGAGCATAGTTTTTCACCCACAAATTCCAATTGGTCGGATTTTTCATCTCAACTTTCCTGATCTGTCTCACCTAGAGGATGGATATAGGTTACACACAACCCAGTTTGAGCTGTAGATATTAAAACAGTGTGGAGGTCCTTCCAAGACACGCATTACTTACCAGGAGTTTGTTGTATTTCACCTGAAGGCTGCTGACGTACGTCTGCAACAAACATGAGAATATAAAGAGAACATTACCATCATGAAAAATGTGTATGCTGTTACAAACCACAATTCCAGTTATTTACTCTAGCAGTGTATGTGATAACGTTTATATGCTTGTTAAGCAACATTAAAGTCCTTAAACAAATTAAACTTTAGACAGGCTTCTTATATTCTTCCTATGGTTAAATAGGACAGGCATTTTTATTCCAGTACTGTAGTGTGTGCTTTGCCCAAGAGAAGGCTTGTGCTCACCTTGTCTTCATTGTCAGTTATATGAGGGCCTATGGCCTCGATTTCACTGTGGAAAATGTTGTGTTCTTCCACTTGATTGTCAACCGTGGGCAGGTCACTGCCAAAGCTCTTGCTGTTGAGACTTGCCTAAGAAAAAAAAACGCAGAGAAATGATTTAAACACTAGCTTTAAATGTTTGAATTTTCATGCTTACACATTCAACTGCTCTGTATTCTCAGAAGATTGTGCCAATAGATGTATCACTGAGGAGAATCTATAATCTGTTAAGCTTATGACTTATCAATTTTATCAACTTATCAACCATTTTCTTCAAAAAGAATCAATTTACTAAATGACAACAGCAATAATTGTTTGCATCTATACAGGGCTTGTATTTGCTTAATAGATGCATTTATCCAGAACAACTAAGTATACTGAGCTCCAGAAGCTAATCACATGTAATGATGACAAATTACAAAAAAGGTATCCGGAAAACACTGGGATAAGCTAGCAGGTGCCCTGGGATTGTACTTTAAAACCCGTGCCGAAGGTATACTCATTGCGTCAATGTATTAGCCTTGGGGCTGCTCGTGGGTCCTCTGTGGAAGGCCCAGGCAGGCTGTTTCACACGTCTGTGATGTGTGCTTTGTACCAGGAGCCATTCGTGGTCTTCTCCGTGTAAAAAAGCTGAAGCCCTGTCATTGACTGGGCTCTAATATTTTGCACCCTATCAAGTTAGAAATGTCAGATTCGGCAGCCCTGATGGTGAATGACAGAGCACAGACTCGAGACCCCAGCATACCACTGGCACAACGGTGTGGCTGTCTTTGTACACGAAGCTTGGTCCCTTTCTGAGTCATGATTTATTGACCCCATGAGGCTTGACATTCAGCTGGTTAAATTATCTCGGCACCGGCGCCATTCAGCTCTTTCATTAAAGGTGAGTTAGTGCACAGGGAAGAGTCAAGTCAATCCAGCTATTAAAGAGCAATTCAACATAATGCCAAAAACATTTAGTCAAGATCCATAATCTGTACAATTTATTTTTATAACAGAAATGCACAGAGAGGTAAGCTTATTTTGATGTTCAGTCTAAATGAAGATTGTTGAAACATCACAGATGGTTGACAAATTGTTCCTTTGAACGTTGTTTTTTAAGAGCTAAACATTCTGGAACACAGGGATGACAAAATAAGGTTTGGTTAAAATAATCAAATTTAGCTTTGATCTTGAATAAACAATTTGGTTGAGGTTCAAATTTCTGATCGTAAGAAGGCAGAAGTCCCTCCTACCTGCTTCTCTTCGATCATGTTTCCCCAGTCCATGTTCGGCAGGCTTTCGGGCCGTTTCAGGCTGTAAATCCGGTTGTGGTCGACGCGCAGTTTTCTCACTCTTTCTCTGAGCTGCTTGATGCTGAAATAAAGCAGAAGCTACTAGATGAAAACCTAGGACTTCTTACAACCACACTTGATCTAGAATAATAAAAAAATTAACATTTTAAAAACCAGAATGTTGTTTTCATTTTAGGGCAACAGTCAGGAAAGCGTACTCACTCTTGCTCGATCATTTCGGCCTGTGGATGTTTGAGACGAACAGCGCTTACAGAGTCCTGGTCAAGGCTGTCGAGCAGCTCCAGCGAATTGAGGATCTTCTTGTTGGTGTCATCTTGGTACAGAGGGGGCTTTCCTTCATTAATTTTACTTACATCCTGCACATGAGGCCAATTTCAAAGATTAGTTATGTGCATTCTTACTGATTATGAATGAAGCCCTAGATAAATGTTAATCTTGATACTGTATATACATGCATACTATAGCCTGTATATGTAAAAGCACCCATACTGCCTCATTGAACATTGAAGAACTTTGATATAATATGTGAAGTATAGTTTATAATATTACCCCCCTTAATATGTTTTCATTATAAATAGTTTCTCTTATAAGCCTCTGATAGTTTCAGCAGTAATTGACATAAAATACTGTACGTACTTTCATCAGATTTTGCTCCGTATCAATGATGTTTCTCTCCACCTTGTCAGCATTTTTCTGTAGCTTCTCAATCAGTGCTGTCAGCTCCGTGTTTTGTACTCTGTTTACAAAAAAAGATTAAACCACGTTTCAGTGATGATTCAATGTTCAGTATAATGTCTTTACTAACGGGAACAAAGCAGGTCTGTAAGGTATAATCCCCATCTTACACAACAGCAACAGAGCGCCTTTGGAAATGCATCAAACACAAGTATTTTCAAAACACCAGAACGTGAACAAGCCTGGGGTGGTGACTCATTGGTTCAGACAAAAATATCAGCTCCTACTTGGGAGGGAAGATGGTCATGTGCGCTAAGCATGCAGCTTGCAGTTGGTAATCTGAATTGACAGTCCGAAAAATATTTACAGGTATTTAGAAAAACATTAGTGATATTTCTTAATGATAGTTATTGTTTTCACCCATTTTCACGAAAGAAGGTTTCGTTTTTTTGTGGAGTAAACAAGTGCCTAGGACAGTGTCAGATTTTTTTAAATTTGAAATAGTTTTTTGCAATAAAGTGAAAAATAAGTGGCCAGAGAACAGAAAGGGGATTGTGCAGCAGGTGCTGCTCATTTTAAAAAGACAGGATTGACAGACTACCAGCAAAGCTAAAAAAATCAAAAACCATCCGTCATCCACCAGTACACAGCTTCTCTACCTGAAATATATCTGATCAGTGTGTGCGTGTCTGGAGAAAAGCCAATCATCTGCATATTTCTGTAACTCAGTCGGACCACTTTTCCATATATTTCAGGTAACAGACTGCATTGTAAAAATGCCTTCAGTGAATTTTTTTCTTCTTATAAATTAGTATACTTACATTTTTAGCTGTACACAACACACACAAAAAATCACATTTCAATGAGTGCAGTTTCAATGGTTATATTACAAATATTAACTCTTCACATAGACTCTGTTTGCTCTGAGTATTTTGAATCATAAGTACACGTTACATGAATGAGCCCACAATTGCATTTACGTTCTAAAGTTTACACTGCACAAAATATACATTTCTTTCAAATAATGTATATAAAGTGTATATGTGTAAAAACTGCAGTGTAAGGATGCAAGGATTAAATGTGTGCTTAAAGCATGATACTGTGAAACAGGTGTCTATGAATCGTGTAACTCGTACTGTATATCCGAGTTGATTTTTGCCGAGGTCACTTTTACTGTTTTTGAATTGCACACAAGACTGGGCATGAGCTGAAAGACAGAACCGTTTGTTTAGGACGACTCATTAGTTTGACTTCTAATTGCTTTCATTTCATGTGATGTGACCCACACTATAATTTCTTAAAATGTTAAAATTACTGCAGACCTGCTTTCACTATATTATGGTAGATAAATCACGAGATGTTTAGCAGTGCAAATTACAATAAATAAATTAAACATAATGAATAGGAAAAAAATACAGGATGCATTCCTTTAAAAAAACAGCCACACATCAGTGATTTCTCAGGTAAAACATTTTTTAAGAAAAGTAAAGTTTTATTTTTACTGCCTTAACAAAAATACCAGAAACCTAAAACCCATACAAAGGCATTGGTCTTTGTTTCACTATTGTTTTAATATGTATTCATATAGAATAAATATTCTTCCTCACTGAAACATTCACACATTTCACCATTTTCAAGTGTAGCACATGAATATACAAAGATACTGCTGTGAAGGGTTTGCTTCAGATCAAATAGGTCCTGAAGGGCTGGTGCAACAGCTTTTAACTCAGGAAAGCTGGGTTTTTTTCAAGGGGGGTGACTTCTATGATTTAATTAGAGGGTGTGATTCTGAACATGAACTGGTTTATCCGGTTTCAGTTACCTTTCCTCATTTTTTTTCAATTGTCACTTGCAGAATAAAGCTGGTGTTTCTTTAAGAGGCATTTTCAATAAGCTGGTCTTAAATAAACTGTTTCTTTCAAGCAAAGGCAGGATGAAATCCTGGTACATATTAACTACAAGCAGCCAAACTTGGTACAAACTGAAAAGGTATGTAGGTATGTGGACTGGCCAAAATGCTGTCATTGTAATCTTAGTAGAGCAACACTCAGACAAGAGACAACACTACAAATTACAAAGTAAAAAAAATCACATTTCAGCATAAAATTGCTAAAGTTGATATGTGAAATTGATACACACTAAAACTATCTGAACTGAACTAAGTAAATACGTCAACACCACCTACAGTACTAAGTTATTCCCAAACCTGAAAATAAAAAAATGCTGTTCTTTGAGTTAGCATATAGCTAAATTAAGTACCTCACACAAAGTCTCCTCCTTTTCCTAAAATCTCATCTTTATAATAGAAAATGATAATTTAACTTTGCAATAAAAAATTCAAGTTACATGATCACTTTCCTGCTCATGTGTACTGGTGCAAATTCCAAGGGTTTGTTTCTGGCAAACAAGGAACACCCACTATTATGCAAAACTGGCATTCCAAGAGTTGTGAAGTAGCATTTTTAAACATTAAAATATTCTTACATATTAAATCTGACATATTTTTCAAAACGTTTTAGAGTCACATGGAATTTATATGATTAAAATTGACATTCATTCCTAAATAACAATAACTCTAAACTAGTACATATCTCTGATGCTCAGCTGGAAATCTTATGCAACAATGAAAAGAATTATAGTTGTGGCTTGTTTTAATAATACTGTGGTAGATGCTATTTTTTAAAGTTTTTAATAAGTTCCAGACCTTACAGAGCTTTTTTAGTTTTCTCCACTGTTTATTTCAATTTTCTTTTACATTCCTTCATGGTATCATTGCTTTGTTTCATTTTTATCGGTTTTAATTTTATGGAAACAAGGTTTATTCATCTGGGCAGTTGAAAGCTATTGTACAGCACCTCAGAATACAGATTACTGAGGTTAGACTTTTTATGTTATTATTCAATATTTACAAGAAGAAGTTTTAATTCCTAAGATGCTGAGAGTGACCATGCTTTAGGGAACCACAATTTCAGAGGAGACTTCCCAGTGGAATTGAAATTTCATTCTGCATTGTATTCTGCTTTGTAATGTACAGTGTATCATACTGTGACTTTCAAGAGCTTCATGACATTTAGTCTGGTTTACATTCAGTCTAATCATGAAAGAAACAAGAAGAACAAGAAAAAACAGAACTGAGGTCTTATATGTGCTCTTTTAACTTTTATATGCACTGTGACAGGAGAATGCAAAAAATGCCTCTCTCCGTCACCAGGCAACAAGTCAGTCAAACACCCTACAAGCTTCAATGGGAAATGCATTTGCAAAATTCCACATGTGGAGACTCCATTTCAGCTCCGAGGTGTCCCTCATTCAAACAGCACTTAAAAGAACAGACTCAGAGCAGCAAAAGTCACCATAGCCTACAGTAGATCTGCATGAAAGCAAAGAGAGAAAGAGAAACCAGCTCTGCTGCAGGAACCCTGGTCACCCAGCAAGGGTTTCAAGTCTGCACAGATTCTCAGTAGGATTCAGTCAGGCCTTTGACTTACTCAAGAACATTCTGAAGCCAGATCAGTCAAGCTCTGCCAGCATTATTGCACACAGAGGTCACTCAAGTAATTGGGTGTCCAGTTAATTTAGTTAAATTAATTTAGGTTGCACACACTAAAGGGTCTGAATACATGCACAGTCATGACTTTTCCATTTTTCTTTTTTTGCATTGAATGTGTGGCATAGATTGTGTACATAACATATATTAATTGATGCTTTGAAAGTTGAAGTTGTGAGACTTAAGTAACAAAATGTGAAAACTATGAATGAGTCAGAATACTTTTTTAAGGCACTGGAAATGGGCACTTTTTCAATAGGGTACCACATAAAGGAATTGCCATGAGCATGTCACTGAGCAGATTTATGCTCAGCAGATTTTATTTAGTAGGTATAATCTGTGGAGACCCAAGTCAAAAGCAGTTTTTATCTTGACATTTAACTAATGGCAACTGGGTGAGTGCGGCAAATCCTGAATTACAGATCCGCCCCAGTCAGTAAATGGAATAGTTTAGACACGCATGTATGTTAACGGAGACTGGGAATTCTATTTGACAGCTAATGTAACACAGAAAATAGTTTTTTTTTCATAAAAACCTTACTTGGAAGCACTGCACCATTACAAAAAAAGAACTACACTTAAAAACAAATTTCATATTTCAGCAAAAACAACTGCAGTGGAAGATAATTGGTAGTTGGATATATTTTTCACAATTATCCACATTCAACCACACATACATGAAAACATAAATACAGGTACAATAAATACAATCATCAGGGTGGAGCACATTCACATTGTTAAAATTCCACGAAATGTTCCACATAGTCTAATCTCTACAGATCTATAAATACCAAACTTAGCAATTATATGATAAGTGAATGTAAACTAATCAGATGAAACAGCCATTATACAGTAATCTCGATCTTTATAGTGATGCAACATGATTATACAGTACTGTATGCGTACAGCAGGTAAATGACACTGTGTTCTTGAATCAAAGGTGTGTCCTGAATCTCTTTGCAAACTCTTACAAATAGTTGACATTTACACACTGTTTTAGCAACGTCTTCTAGAAATTGATTAGAAAGTGACCAGTTACTTTTTTTTCAAACTTGGCCTGTTTTTAGTATTCGTTGTGTTTAATGAGAATTAAAAGGTCTTCAGTAAAAGGCAAAACTAAACACTGGGCCACCGGACCTGGAAGGTGTGTTTTTACACTATTCAAATAAAGGGTGAGGTTTCCCCTGATCTGGAAAGAGGTGGATAAAAGCTGTTGAAGAACGGTGGCCATCAATCTATACCCGAGACACTATAGATCATGTTTATATAAATCATGTTTATTATGATTTGCATTCCAAAATAAAAACAGAACAAAAAATGTTATTAAATAATTTAGAAAAGAAATAGATACTGGTCTGCTTTCCCTCATGCTGGCTTTCCCCATATTCTGTAGTATTTAAATTAATATATTTCTAAAATTATTCTTTCAACAGGTGGTCTGGTATTTCTTTTTCTTTTATTGCTACTGCAACTGTTACATGAACAGTTGCTTTAGCAGTGATGATAAAAACAGTAGTAGAAGTAATGTTAGTAATTATTTCAAGCCCGCAGAAGGGGCAGGCTTTTCCCCGGCTTCTTAAATACACGCAATAAAAGTTTTATATCTACTTCAGTTCCATCCTGGAACTCAAATACCAAGCTGCCAAGTATATATATATATAAAGGGGCAGGGGGTTGTTGCTTTAATCAACGTAAAAGCAGTACAAAAACCTGTTATAGCATGTTACCTGCTCTGCCACACCCTTCTCCACACTGAGCAGAGCACCTGTGGTGTCAAGATCTTTCCTATTCAAAGATATGTAAACAGCTCAAAACGTTTTAATTTCCTTCTGTCATTACTGCTTTCTGTCGAGACAGACAAGTGCACAGAATCGATTGGAGAGTGAGCACTTCACATTACAGAACATTAGCTATGTTTGTTCTTCTCAAACAGAGGAATACTATATATATTAATACTGTATATAAATCTTATTTTTTGACTACAATTAACGTGGAAGCGCTTTCCTACAGCAAGAAGGCATAAAATTGCATAGTATTGATACTCACTTTTTTTGCGTAATCGTAACGCTGTTCTTCGAGGACTTTTTCTTGAACATCTCGCTGGATCCACTGCTTTCCCAGTTTAAAACTCAGAAATAAGATCAACCCAATCCAGTCGCGGGGAACCCGGTCTTGGCCGTTCAGCTACGTATTGCGCTCTGTCCCAAGCAGTCAGCTCTACAAACGCTCGGAAAACAGTGTCAAACCCTTTTAAGCTTCAGCCTGCTCCTCCTAATGCAACTCATTCAGCAGTTGTCACACAAGTCAAAATACAATACTGTACTTCATACCCCGGATCCTGCTAAAACCCGGACTGGATCCGTCTCCCAGGAATGTCGTGCGTACCTGCAGCCTGGGAGCACGGAGAGTCCTTGAAATATGAGTTTTATTCATTTGTTAGCTGCCTTAAAAAAGCAGTTTAGTGCAAATTTCATTTCCACGTATTAATATGTTAATAACAATAACACATAAAACTTTGCAAACAAACACAGAACTTTTGTCCATGAAACAGAAGTCCATTTAGTTGTACTCTTGGACTGTATAAATGCCCCAGGAGATTGCAATAAGCTCAGACTGAAGGGGATTTTTTTACATATTTTACAGTGACATGTTTGGAACAATTTTACAGTGCTTATCGCTTGCATGGGCTCAAACCACCCCCCTGCAGTCACACACTCTTAAGGACCTGCTGGGTAAAATGTATCATAAGTCATTCATTTGAACTCTCCCACCCTGTCTCTCTCTAAAGCCTCTAAATTCTCCAAATGAACAATTAATCCCCATTCTGCACATTTGTGCTCTTCTGTAGTTTCAAAATGCCTTGCACTGTTCTTTACTGCAGCAGACCATGGGAATGCCATGTCATACCATGGTAAATGTTTCAATGTGGGTTTAGTGCATCTCAGACCCCTCTAATCCCGACAATTTTCCACAAGTACTGTTTATTCAAACTGCAGTAAACATGTTCCCATAATGAAGCCAATGTTCCCAGTTTTTTCATTTGATGTTTTCTGTATGAGTCACAAAACAAGTGAACAGAAAACATCTGAATCCATTCACATAGGCCCCCACACATATGGAGTTCATTTCAATCAAAATCAAATGAGTGATTCATGCTGCTTATTTACTTGCGCATCATGTGTGTGAGTGCCTGTATTCTTTTCATTTCACATGCACGTATGCAAAGTGCTAGACGCTATCCCACTTGGATATTGACAGCCATGGTATTGTTTATAAAACCTCACATGTGCACACACCTACTTTTAAACAAAGACCTTGGCTTTAAAGTGGTAGGAGTGGTTAAACAGCATTCCTTTTGGAAGAGTCAAAATGCTGACCACGCCTCTAGCAGAGGAAACTTTACCTGGTCTGTTCCTGGTTCCTTTCCCAAAACAGTGCAGAATTATCACAGCAGTAATGGGCAGACGTACGTAATGTGAATCCTATGACACGGATTGTAAAGATACAGAAATTCTTTCCTCTTTTTTTTTCCCACTAAATGTCTGTTTCAATTGGTTGTTGGTCTAAACTCTAGTATTGTCTGGTGTTGTCATTAGGAAGTTGAAAACGTGATAAATCTTGTCTTTTTACTAGCAAAGTCAACACTGCTAGTAGATCCCAAGCTTTGCATTGAAAGGTGCTTTGTAAGGTGTTTATTCTGAATAGACCACATGTTCAGGTACAAAGGACCTAATTCAGTATAGTTTTGAGTTAAATGTTTAATGAGCTGGTGTTTTTTTACACTTTATGTTGTATTATACGACTACTGTTATTAATACAAATAACAAGCATGTGTGAAAGGTCACTGTGATGATATTTTATCAGGACTGTAGAATGCTTTTTAATGAGGAAAATGTCAAACTGAATGGATAACTTTGCATATATTCAGGAGCAGGAATATTTATTATCAGAAAGATTTAAATACAGTATTAACCTGATACTTATGTTTGTTATTAGGAATTACATGTTTTATTTATGTCACTACTAATGGCTTTTACTGTACTCATAATAAGAGTACTTCACTGGCTCAATAACGTTCCTTTTGACTAATTGCATCGTGTAACCCTCTAAATACAGACCATGAAAGTAACCGTAAAAACATGCACAGGGATAACTTGTTGTGAAGGGTGCTCTACAAAACAAATGTAATTAAATAATCAAAATCACTCTGTAGGCCCTTCATCTGAAAACCGGAAAAAAGCATGTCTCTAATTCTTTGGCGTGAAGCTTGATCTTTCCTCAGGAAACAAGGTCAGGTTTGCATAGTGCTCAATTTATGTAAACTCCAGGGAGGACAGACGTGAAATAATTCAGCTACCAAGAACTTTTACTTTAAAAACAGGGGGAATTAATTATTAGCAAAGGTGTTTTGTGTGCCTGATAAATGTACAATTAACTTCTGTAAGTCCCTGGCTGTTAAGAGATAAGTTAAACACAAGACTTCTTTAAAGTAATAAAAGGAATTGTAACACAAGTTTGAATAGAAATTCAGAAGGAAGGACAGATCCTAATCTCTCACACGTCTCCTCGCCTACATACAGTATATAAGTCTCACACATGGGCCTTCCCAAACTGTATCTCTCTCACACCCCTCCCACCTCCATCTACACACCTGGGGCACCTCTCTGGCTCATTCCTCGCAGTACTGCTGGGCCTGGGCTGCCACTCCCTCAGCTCAGTACACTCTGCATATCTCCTCTTGCTCACCTTTATTAGGCTCTTAACCAACTGCTGAAACACAAACTGGGGAAGCAATAAAATAATTAAGGTTTAACAACATGCTGTATGAATGAATTTGTTTAAAATGTTTTCTAATTCAGTGATCTAAGGATACAAATCTCATTATCCTCTAATGCTAATTGCATGAATTCAGAGATGTAACATGTTTTTCTTGGTAGTGATAAGAGCAAAAAATAAAAGCGCTACCCCCCACTAGGCTGAGATAGAAAAAAACAATAATGCGGAAACAATTCAGTTCTGTTCTTATTAAAAATTCCTTTTCCTTGTCATATGTATGTGTGTTTTAGAAACACATCACCACTTCTTGCTCTGTACCTAAGCCTCTAACTCCTATTGAAAGCATTTTTCAAGGGCATCAGTGACAGAAACTGTACGCAAATTTGTACATAACTTATTCCAAAATCTTGCCGGTAATGAGATTAGGGGAATCCTGGTGCAGTACATTGAGAAATGATTTCCCCAGCACTGTTAGGATAAGCAGAAACAAATTAATGACATCTCACAGAGAGAAGATAGATTTTCTGAAATAAACAGGGGAGGGGGGAGAAAGTGAGAAGGTGTTTCATCTTTTAATCCATCTGTTAACACTTGGCTAACTCAAGTGACTTCACAGCCTGTAGAACACACAATAACTGCTGCTGCCAGATTGGTTTGAGGGCTGAGAAAGTATATTGGAAGTTCCCAAATAAGTATTTGAAAGGACTTGGACTAAATGAAAACTTGCTCCACCCACCAACCGTTGCCTCATGACATTTACATTGAATAAAATCAAGGAGCCTCAAGCAGGCAAAAATGTTCTTTTGAAGCATTGTTTCTGGCGGGTCGATGAACGTTGTGATTTAGACTGGAGTCAAGTTTAGGCCTTGGAGTTAAGCTGTTTGCTCAGCTGTGTAGTGTATGTAGTTGGTTCATGGGCTCAGGCAACAAACTTCAGCACAACTCCTACACCCACACATCAGGAATAATTGTGTGCCAAAACCTCTGCACTTATGTGCCCTGCTATCCTGTTACCTGGGGTATTTGAATACTTTGAACAACCAAGAAGTAACACAAGTTGCTAAGATAACAAAATATCCTGTTCTGGAATATTAGAAACTACCTGCCCTATCATGGTACAGAATAGGTACATACAGTACAATTAGGTTTAACAGCAGAGAAAAGGATATTAAATCTTCTAGTACAGTAATTTGCTGTAGTAAAAGTTGTTTTTGTACTTGCCTGACACAGCACAGCATACTGTTTTCTGTTCAGTCATACTGCTCGGTGCAACTTACACTGCTCAACAATATCTTTAATCTAGACTTTCTCATTAATGGATGTTGTAAATGCAATACCCATTTCATCCAGGAAAACACAATAAAATAAGTATTGCCTCGTATTCCTGGGAGAAACACCACTGATACAAAGAATTATTGGCGTACTAACCTTAGTTCATGACTCTTTGCAAGTTGACTTATTTTGGCTTTTGTTTGGGGTACATGCAGACGGACTGCAGTTCAAATTTCTGGAGAGATTTAATCACATAAGAAATTCAGCAATGATTTAAAGAAGCTTTCATGCCTCATGTCTTGAGGTTGTTTGTGAAAATCATGTTTATGGCAGTGGACCTAATGTGGAAAAATATTGTGCAATAGTTTAACTCTCTCCTAGTAATTCATTGGAATTCTTATACAGCGAACTTGCAATATCAAATTGCTGCAACCAGTGTCGAGTCGGTGCCTAGGAATCCACAGTGTTAGTGTGTGGATGTGTATGACAAGGTTTTAGTCCTTTTGCCAATCATTCTGTTTGCCTGAATACCAGAAGGTAAAATATAAGGGTGGAGTTTCTTGCTATTTGTTGGTATATTGTTTGGAACAAGTCGACTATGTGATGATTAAGTTATTAAGCAGTGTCATTAATTTTGCATGGCTTTCAATTTGTTCAAGTTTTTTTTTTGTTTTGCTAAAAATTAAAAATCTCTTTCTTAACTTCTGCTGGCATTGTTCTCTAGACCACACGTCAGCTGACAGGGAGGCACAGTGCGCAGCACTGGGACCCTGGGTCCAATTCCTGGGGTCTGTCTGCGTGGAGTTTGCATGTTCTCCCCATGTTTGAGTGGATTTTCTCTGCAACTTCCATTTTCTCCCAACAGTCCAAAGACATAATGTTAATTGGTTTCTGGGAAAACTGGCCCTAGTGTTCTGGGAAAATGGATTTTCTGCAAATGTAAATTAAAGCCATTCAGAGAAAATCGAAGCTATGTTGCACAGATGTGTCGAAAGAGCAGAATAGTAGAGCTAAGCTTAGTGTAGAGTCCTCTAACCTGCTATCAGTAAGTTGCTGCAAAGATTTACCTAATGAATTTGAAAGACCAGTTCCACCTTGAATAGCAGACAGTCTACTGTCTTATGGGTCGTGTCCATAGCACTGTAAGTGTTAGGTTTCAGACAGCTTGAAATAAAAAATCTGTCAAGAAGTAATAGCCAGAAACTGATTGTCCTAATCATAAAGTATGTTTACATT